ACTAGATAGCTAAGGACGTATATTAAGTACTACGCTTAACTAGCGGAACCGCTCTAGAAGATAAAGACGGAGAGGCTTAAGGGAGCGCCCGCGGCCGGCTAGGTACGTCGACATTATACGGTAACGACACTAATCGAGGAAACGGAGGAACGACTAGCTACGTTCTAAGCCCTATAAGAGGCATTTGCTAAACTAACGATGCTGCATTATTTTGCGAGACACCGGCCGCTATATATCTATATCGACGCGTCTAAGAAACGAGGCTTCGGCGCAATAGTAGCCTACGTCGAGGGCGACGCTATTACTAAAAACCCCGGTAGGACAAAGACGCAACCGATTTTGTTTTTGTTAAAAACTCTTTCTAGTACGGAGCGACGGTACTAGCTAACCGAATTAGAGGTCGCCTACCTAGTATAGACGATTAAACGCGTGCGATAGATAGTCGAGGCATACGAGTCGGTAGTAACCGTACTTACGGATTATACGGCAACGCTAGGAATCGTAAGCTAGACTGCCTTAACTTCCTTATTAGTTAACAAGCTTAACAACCGACTAACGAGATCGTCGTAATATCTTTCCCTTTTTCTACTAAAGGTAGTCTATAAGCTAGGGCGAGAACACATCGTGCCGGACGCCTTATCGCGCCTAGAAACGACAGATAACTATCTCCCGGAGGGCGACGTATTCGAGGAACTAGTATACGGAGTAATAATGCTAGAAATAGACGACGTATTTAAGTAATAGCTTATCGAAGTATACGAAGAAGATGAATACTAGAGCAATATTAAAGCAATAGTATAGAACGTAGAACTAGGCTCTACTAGCTTCTTAGTCGACGACGAAGGCCTAGTGTAGCTCGATAAGCCCTATTTAGGCGACCGACGATTGTGCATCCTAAAGGCATTAGAGGGTAACATTTTTAGCAGTGTATACGATAACTAATACTATATCGGCTTTTATTATGCCTATGCCCGTATAAATAACTAGTACTACATCCGGAAACTAGCTAAGAGACTAAAAAAGTATCTAAGTTACTATTAGGACTGCTTAGAGTTGCAGACTAAGCGATATAAGCCGTACGGGTCCTTAAATCCTATACTATCTCTACTAGTACCCTTCTATACGATTACGATTGACTTTATAGTATCCCTTTCCGCTTAGGAAACCAACGCTATACTTATAGCAACGGATAAGTACACGAAATAGGTACTCCTAATTACTAGCAACGATGCGTACTTAGCGGAGGCTTAGGCTAACCGCTTGCTCGACGAGCTGTTCCGATGCAATTAGGGCCTGCCGACCGTAATTATCTCCGACAGAGACCCGAAGTTTACGTCCGAGATATAGAAGGCTATTTTTAAGCGGATAAACGTTAAGCTTCTAATAACGACTGCCTATTACCTATAGGCTGATAGCTAGTCTAAGAGAACGAACTAGACCGTCGAGATTGCCCTACGATACTTCCTTACCTAACATCCTAATAGAGATCTAGAATTAGAATACGCAACGCCGCATATGTAGCTAGTTCTTAACAATTTAGTTAACGCCTCGACTAGCATGTTACCGAACTAGGTGTTAATAGGTTTCAACCCTAGGGAACTAGCCTAAATAGTAACGACTAGCGCGACGGATTTAGCGAAGGAACGGGACGTCTACCGAGCTAAGGCAGAGAACAATATCGCCTATACTTAGGCCGCTATAAAGTAACGCTACGACTCTTAGCACGTAGCCTAGAAACCTGCAGTAGGCGACATAGTCTATTTACGGCTTAAGAATTACGCTATCCCTAGAGTTAGCAACCGAAAGCTTATACCTTTAAGGATTAGGCTATATAAGGTAACGAAGGTTATAAGCACCGGACTAGCCTGCTAGATTGACCTGCTAAAGACGTAGAAGATATACCTAGTAGTCTCGATTACGGAACTCGAGCCGTACCCTAACACTAAGGATCCGTATAAGCGAGTAACGAGGCAACCCTTAAGGATGCGTATCGAATAGGGAGACGCCTTACCGGAAATAGAAGCGCTAAGAGACCGACGAGTCCGACGAGTCGGTCGGCATAGGAAGAAGGTTGTAGAATATCTAGTTAGATAGAAGAACGTAGGAGCTAGAGCTAATAAGTAGGTACGAACGGAAGGCATTCTACTAACTATAGTAAAGGCCTACGATCGTCGCTACCGCTAGGATAGCAACGGAGCATTACATAACAGACTTATCTTATATGCATTTCCTCTCGCGTAGCTTCTACGTAGTTCGCTTCACTTCTGCAATAGGTAGGAGCGCGTATACTAAGCTTATACGTACACTAAGTTCACTTTATTTTAAAACAACTTCGCTATAGTAACTTTACTATAATAACAACTTTCCGCGAACACACTGCTAGATACGAGAGCTTAATTACGATATTCGATACCGTTTCTATTAGCGCAAAGCTATAGAATACGATATAAAGCAGGAAATACTACCGCTACCGCGCGATACGCCTAATACGCGCGATATAACTCTTCCTAACGATCTCCTCGCGTATGTCGCCGAGGCTAACGGCGAGACAGCCGCTACTAACGACACTGCTAATTTGCTAGGTAACGCTAGCGAGGGTAATAGTAAGGACGGCTAGGCTAAGAATACCGTCGGTGCTAGTTCTATAGGTAACGGCACTTTTAATAACATTTCGGACATCGACCTCGACGACTATCGCCCGGCTCGCGAGAGCGACGCCTACGACCTTCTTAACGAGCCCGACTCCGACGAGCCTAATACCTTCAACCCTTTTCTAAGACCGCAACCGTAAGAGGACAATATAACGGTAGAATAGAGAATCGCTTAATTCCGAAGCGAGGTAGGATTAGTAACGGAACCTATCTCTAATAACGAGAATAAGGTAGAGGCTATATCGTTAATACTAAGAGGCAATACGGCAAATAAGACGCTAGTTGCTAAGGCGCCGACTCTATCGTTTACGCTAATTAATGCCTATCTATCGTTTGCGCTATTTAGCGCTAACGAGGTAACGCTATCCAAGTCTAGCACTAAGAAGAGAAAGAAGAACAAGAGCAAGGCCCGACTTATCGACGAAGACGAAGGCGATGTAACTCCTCGGCTAACTAAGAAGGCTAAGAAGGCGACCCCTACTACGCTAAAGGTTATACTACTGCTAGCTTAGGCAACGTCGTTAGACAAGAAGAGGGCTATAGCTAGAGCCCTAACGGCTTAGCCTACTAAGGATCGAACTTCGAAGGCGGAGCTAGCTAAGTTATCGCCGACGAAAAAGGAGAAGCGTAATAAGATACTTAGAAAGCGGAGAGACATAATACGAGACATCGAGGTTAATATGCTCTATCTAGCACTAAAGGAGACGCTTCGTATAGACCTAGTTGCCTAGAGAAATATAGACGACGACGGCATCGAGCGAGTACCTAAGAAGGTTAAGAACTTAACGAAGAAGCTATAGTCCGAGCATAACTAGCTATTATAGGAACTTATCTAGCGACAGTTTGTAGCACGTTACGACCCTAAGGCCGTACGAGTTGCGTTCGTTAGGCGATAGTACTAGGTAAGAGAAATAGTCGCTAGCGACGAAGACTCCGCGGACCCTATAGACCCCGGAGTATTGTTAGCCTACTTCGAGGCATTCGAAGACAAGGACGACCGCCGCGCGGCTAAGGAGCCTACCGATAATAGGGGTAAAAACCCGCCTAAACAGAAGTCTAGAAAGGAAGGTTTGTTAGTAGCAACGACTAAGGCTACCTAGCCGACGGACGACCTTAGCGCGGAATTCGAAAGCAACTAAGGATAGGTGCTCTACCGCTATACGGGAGTATAGACTAATATAACCGACCCGTCTATAGAACGATATACTAACCGACAGATAGCAGCTAAGAAGGAAACGCGACAAGCGCAAGTCTAGGCCTAGTTAGAACGCGAGGAGGCGGCAATAGAGGCTAAGGCTAATAAGAAGCGAGCGGAGTTCGCGGAGAGGAAGGCTAAGGCATTAGCATACCTTTAAACGAGTAGAAATACGAATAGACATTAGGCCTAAGCAGTAGACGGCCTACTAGATAACGAGCATCTAGGCAGAGGAAGTTTCTAGCAACGGCACGAGGGCGTACCTTTTCTTTTGTTTAGGGCAGACTGTTACGGAACAAGGAAGTAACGGTCCAGGGGTTAGCTGACTAATAGGGCGACGGCCTACCTTTGTAATTAGCCTTCCTCCTCTACATAATCATCTTCAATCTCAACTTTATAACAACGAGGCTGTCAAAATCTAGACTTGCGTTCTCGTGTTCTGTAAAACCTTCCCTTGCGTTCGATCTTGATAAAGATTCAAACCCTGTTGCAGATCCTTCAGATTCAGCGCTTCCCGTGATAGGAGAACGTTGTTTGTTTCGAAGCGATAATATATCACTTTCGGTTCTTGTTCGGCTTCAGATGTTACGCCGAAAATGAAGTCGCGGACAGCAAGCCTCGCACTTGCTACTTACTCATACCGACGACTTCTCACTGCCAACATGTTCCACTACATAGTACCTCTTCTCCGCGCCCCTCCCACTACCGTCACTTCTGAACCTCGCACGACCTCACGGACAGTATACCACAAACAAACACCTTCTCGAAGCGCCTCAATGTTCTCCCGGTGGTCCGCCAAGAAGTAAAGACGAATCAGACGTTGCCAACGCCCTGCAGCCAAGACGTGCGAACTGCATACCAAGGATTCACCCCGCAAGGAAAACACGACGGCGTCGGAAGGGAAACTCGTGGTTTCCGCGTGCGTGCGCGTGTGCGTGCGTGATCAACTAAAAGAACTAGTAGGTACAGATCTTCCAATTATACAACGGAACTTGGTGTAGTTCGGATAAGGAAAACCGGCATATTCTTTTCTTTGCTTTGCGTTTGCTTACCTGTTCGACGAGTTCGACATCATATTACCCTAGATCTCTCCAGATCTTCGTCACTCCACTCCCCACCAACCTTCCCCGGACGAGACGAGAGTACTGGTGCAAATGGAGAAACCAACCTCATCAGACCACGATTCCACCTCCCAAGGCGAAACCCCAAAAATCTCAGGACACGACCTTCACGAAACCGCTGCGAGGGGACATTTAGCTACCGATCAGTAAGTTAGAAGCTCCACCTCAGCCTCCCCAACAACCTTCATTCAGCAAGGACGCAAAAAGCTAATCTCAAACTTCTACTTTCTAGATATGGCCACGCCCTCATAACCTTTGATCCCAAAGCCGAAACGCGACTTCGAAGAAAAATCGATGTGTACATTGTGCCCACGGTAGCACTGCTTTATCTGTTTTGTTTTATTGATCGGGCGAATATTGGTGAGTGAGACAAAACAAGAGAAAAGAAGGAGGAGGAGGAGGAGAAGGGAGGGAGATGTGTGACTGACGTGATTTGTGATCTAGGGAATGCGAGACTCGCTGGTCTGGAAAGAGATTTGAAGCTTGAAGGATATGATTATAATGCCGTGCTCTCGGTGTTTTATATTTCGTATATTGTGTTTGAGATTCCGTGAGTATTCATCACTACTGCTGGGAGTTTGGTGGATGGCGATTATGCTGACGGACTACTTCAGCTCGAATATCATGTGTAAATGGGTCGGACCAGGCTGGTTTATCCCTACCATCTCCCTCATGTTTGGGATCTGCTCGGTAGCGTGCGCGTTCGTGCACACCTACTCGCAAGTCTGCGGAGTGAGGTTTCTGCTAGGGATGTTTGAAGCCGGCATGCTTCCTGGAATCGCATACTACCTCTCACGATGGTATCGACGCAGCGAACTCACCTTCCGCCTCGCATTATACGTCGTTATGGCTCCACTCGCAGGCGCATTCGGCGGACTCCTCGCATCCGGCATCCTCTCGCTCGACCACTTCGGCAGCCTGCACAGCTGGCGTATGATTTTCGGCATCGAAGGTGTCATCACCATCGGCCTCGCCCTCATCGCCTTCTTCACCCTCACCGACCGTCCCGAAACCGCTCGTTGGCTATCGGCAGAAGAGAAAGAGCTAGCGATTGCAAGAGTCAAATCAGAACGTGTAGCCACAACCGACGTCCTCGACCACATCGACAACAAGAAAATCTTCGCCGGGATTTTCAACCCCGTCACTCTGACCACCGCCTTCATCTTCCTCCTCGACAACATCACAGTCCAAGGCCTCGCCTTCTTCGCCCCCACCATCGTCCGCACAATCTACCCCCACCAATCCGTCGTCCACCAACAACTCCGCACCGTGCCCCCCTACGTCGTCGGAGCCTTCTCCACCCTCGTCGTCCCCTACATCTCGTACAAAATCGACCGCCGAACCATCTTCATGATCGGATCCGCCCCTCTCATGATGGCCGGCTACATCATGTTCCTCGCCAGCACCGAAGCCCGCGTCCGCTACGGCGCAACCTTCATCATCACCACGGGCGCCTTCACCTTCGGCTCCCTCTGCAACGCCCAAGTCTCCGCGAACGTCATCTCCGACACCGCTCGTTCGTCGGCGATCGGGACGAATGTCATGCTCGGAAACGTGGGCGGCTTGATCGCCACGTGGAGTTTCCTGCCGACTGATGCTCCCGATTATCATATTGGGAATGGTCTGAATTTGGGGACGAGTTCGACGATTCTGTGTGTGACGGTTGCGCTTTTCTTTTGGGTCGCTTTTGATAATCGGAAGAGGGAGGGGAAGGATGTGGATGCGGAGTTGGCGGGGTTGCAGCAGAAGGAGATTGAGGATTTGGATTGGAGGCATCCGGCTTTTAGGTGGAGGCGTTGAGGGGGAGGGGGAGGGGGAGGGAGGAGGGAGGAGAGTCGGCCTGTGGAAAGGGAGAGTTGGGTGTTGAAGATTGAGCAGAGTGGTTACGGTTATTCTGCATAGCATAATGCGAGGAGATGCGTGGACTCGAATTCACCCCGATGCTTTCCATGCTTACCTCCGTTCTGCCATCAGCCGTGTTGCAGCGCACAGGCACGCGGTTTGGACGGGTATAAGATCATTCTTCCCATACTCTTGGTTTGTACTACCGTAGAGTGTAGTGCTCCGTTCGGCCGCAAGTGGGATATGATCAAGCGGCCAAGTGCTGTGGTATTCCCAGAGCCCGGCGAATAGGATCAGTCACTCTTGGTCCTGGCGATCGTATTGATAACACCGCATATCCATCACTGCAACGTCTCCAGCAAATTTGACGAGTGATGTCAGGCAAAAGAAACGCGGACGAGATGTTCGTTCGTTCTCTCCCAACCTCAATCGAAGTATCTCCGCCAAGATCTCCAACCAGCCATCTGTCATCACCGGCCGACAACACCTTCTCCCTCTCCCTCTCCCTCTCCCGCACACAAGAATCAACAGCGATAAGTAAAACCATACCAGAACTCAAGCACAGGTAGGTGTATGTCCATCGCGACCGCGACCGCAACCGCGGCCATTTCCGGCTTCTTCGGCAGCTCTATTCTGCGCGACAAGATCTGTAGCAATACCTCTCACTCTCACTGCCAGCTCAGCTAATCACGATGCGAATGCGATCCTTATACAATTTCGGAATCCTCGTCGAATCTCCTCGCATCGAATCCAGGCGGCGACAACCATCGGTTTCGAGAATGCGATCGCGGCGGTCTCGCGGTATGCGGTATGCGTTATGCGGCATGCGTGTCTGGATATGTTGGACGTCGGAGAACCTGATATTCAAGAACTTTCAGTTGCCAAAAGAACCTGGCGCGGGTAATAGGAGGAGGAGGATGAGGATGAGGATGAGGATGAGGATGAGGATGAGGATGAGGATGAGGATGAGGATGAGGATGAGGATGAGGAGGAGGATGAGGAGGAGGAGGAGGAGGATGAGGAGGAGGATGAGGATATCGTGTCGCCTGGCAAGACATTCTAGACGGAACGCAGGGACATACAAGCTCGGCGCTACATTGTGTACGCGGTGTATACACAATCTCAGCGTAAGGGAGAGAACGGAACGGCAAGAGCATGAAAAGCGATCAGGACGTCGCCGCCAGCAAATTTCTTCCACGACAGTCTCGGAGGACGCACTCAACATCGTCTAAGCACCTACATCTCGAACTTGCAATCCTCACCCAAGTCCGCGCCGGCGTATTCAGCAACAGGATACACAAGACCGGCCACGGGCACTCCTTCGGCAGCTTCCTCACCCACGCTAACAAAGCCCAATACCCCAATCCTCCTCGATCAACGCCGCACCCTCACCAGTTCCCGTTTCTCAGTCAATGCCTACCTTCCTTATCGGCAACCAACTTCGCCATCGCTGCTTAAGACCAACCCGAGGCGGGCCTATCGGTGGTTGCCGGAATCTTTTGAGGAAGAAAATTCAGGATAGAGGTTAAGGAAGAGCTTTGGGATAGAGATTGTACATATTAGAGAAAAGAAACTGGGTTTGGAATGCTGACTAGCGAATGGATTGTCGTCGTGGCTCGAGAGCTGGGTATGGCTTTGCGGAAGCTTGTTTCGCGCTAGAGCGCCGAATGGTGGGAGGTAGGTACGTATGTACAAGTATATGGGGTGGTCGGATAGTGCACTACCGTTATTTCTCCAGGAATCCCATCCGGTCAAGAACATTCTACTCTTCGGACGATGGCACTAGCATCTGCTGCTGGATCTGGATCTGGATCAACCGCGACGAACGACGTGTCGACTGTGAGTGATGCCGCATCTTTAGGCGAGGAAATATGCGTCACCTTCCCGAGCGAACATCTTGCTCTTGCCGGAAAGCAAACTGGTTTCGATAAGCGTCTCTAGGTGCCCGGAAAACGCCATAATATCTCACCATTCATTGAGAGAGAGAGCAAACTGGCACTTTACTGATCGATTCGCCTAGGCTCAATCTTCAAGTCGATGTCCGAAAGCTATTAGAGACAGTAGGCCACGATTTTGACGACGATAAAAAGCAGAGGGCTTTCCATTACCAGTCCCGCGAACGCCGACTTAAGTATTGCTCCAGGGGCGTCGAAGGACATGCTACGGTCTTGATTACTGGAGATGTATGCTGTGTATACGCCGGATTCATCAAGGTGGAAAAGGTGGTCTTTGATGTCAAGATGGGAGAGGAGTAGCAACGTTTCCCGCCAACAACTGCGAACGTATTCATCTCTTCCCGCTACAGCTCCTCAAGCCAGCCCCGTACACTCCGACAACTCGACCTATTGGACACACGATGACCTCACGAAGCGAAGGGATGACAAGTGTGAAAAGCAGCCGCGATCTGGCTTTGGACGAAACTCCAGCAACCATCCGCGCACCTACCAATGGCCGCTTCCCTTCCTAGATTCGCTCATCGAGCAGTCCAAGGACTCCCTACTCCGGCGCTATGCATGGCTTGCATCAGTCGGATGGCATAGTTGAGGCGTAAGAGGTAGCTCTAGACCCCTGATTTCTCACGCGCCAACGAAGTGCACAGCTCGCAAGCCCAAGGAGAGTAACAAGCTTTATTGCTGCAGACAGTTTGCTACGCGATCCGCAATTCATACAGGCGAATAGGCCTTATAAGAAGTCGTGTAGATTTGAGATGCTCGAAGAGAGAATAGCATCGCCAGCGTTAGAGTAGTCTGACTCTTGCAGGTAAAATCTTTCATGCCCGATATCAAAAAAATTCTCTTCTACAGCCGTAGACTTTGACTACGGTAGTATATGGATGGCTACACTGTATAAGGAAGGATCTTGGTTGCCATCTTCGGCTCTCGAGCGTCGAGCAAGCTAGTGTTGGTTGATGCGCTTTCGGAGGGAGTCTCACTATCTAGTCCCATATCAGATTGTGCTTCGTATCGAACGCAGGCTTCTTTAGTGCGAGGTCTGCTCCGGGACTTGGAGTATATTCCTCAACCCAAAATTCGATCCCAATTCCACGACTTCCCTCGTAATTATTATATTCTTTTCTCTAACCTCAACCCCTTCTCATTCCGCACTACTAACCACTCCGAATCGGACGCATAATCTGCACCAAAACAAATAACACAATCCCCCTCCGAGAAATCTTATTGTTGATCAGCAGCTCGATAGCCTAAGTACCCTAGCACCAGAAAGGGATGTAGAGTTTGGGTATATTAGTGAGTTCGTAGGACATGATGCAGTGTGCGGTGTAACAGACTTTGCATGTACCGCGGGTTTAGGTGCATGATTGATCTGCAGCTTTAAGACAAGAAAGTTGTGTAGATCGGATCTTGGGTTCCGGTTCCGGTTGCGGAAATTCTTTTTTTCTTTGTTTGATTGATTCAGGGAACTGGACTCATGGACTTATTATTCATAGAACGAAAATTTCACGCCAACTATATCAATCCGCTCGCTTTACCGGGGAGTTGATGAAAGACGAACTCGAAACAGCTGTCGGGTGGCAAAATAGGTGTGCAGGTGACCAAATACTATAAGCCGCATACAAATGTTGACTTAGGTCCTAGAACGGAGTGAGCAGTTGAAGAAGACGGTCCAACAACCCGAATCCGTAAAACACTAGTTGAAATCGTGTCAATAGACATTAAACGAACGCCAGCGCTCAACGATCTGAGGACTGCACATGGTACAATTCTCCTTCACACACCACTTTATCATCACCTCCCACTCTCCTCTCTTCTCTATACCTGTCGATATCAACCCTCGACTTCTCCCCTTCAAAGATCCTCCCTCTCAACATTGCCCCCTCCTCTCCCCTTCAAAGATCCTCCCTCTCAATATACGGCACATCCAAATCCCCATTATCCACCTCATCAAACTCCAACATATGCCGAATATCCTGTTCTTCCGGCTTCATGCCCCCAGCTTGAAACACCCCCAAATTCACCAGCCACGCCGCACTATTGAATTCCGACCAAATATGGGACACGCGCCAGTTGTACGTGTTGCCTGGTTCCGAAGGTTCGACTTCGACGATGACGTTGCCGTGGACGGGCTGAAAAACAGGTCTTAGTATATATAATTGTTGGGAAAGGGATGGGAAACTTACGATTGTGTCGACTTCACTCGCGTGACCGTTTGCGCTGCGGTCGGTTTTCCAGCGCATGGAGACGTGGCGGCAGCCGGGGAAGACTTTGATGGTTTCGAAAGGGATTTGAGGCTGTTTGCCCTGGCCGTCGATGAAGGCGGCTCTGCTGGCGAAAGTTGGGGCGTCCATGCTCTTGGGGTGGGCGGCGCCTTTGTTGATGATGATGTTGACTGAAGATGCGTAGTCGACAAAGTCTTCCGTCAGGGCCTCGAGGGCGAGGTCGTGGGTGTATTCTTGGATCAATCTTCGGAAGATGTCGGCGGCGATGTGGGCTTCTTCTTTCGTCATGCAGGTTTCTTGCGGTTGTGAGGTTGATGCGGCTTGCAGTTGTCGTTCTTGCCAGTAGGACCAGGGCCATGCGAAGCCGAACGATGGGGCTGCGGCGACGAGGGCGGCGAAGATGCCGATGATGGCGGCGAGGCCGATGTAGAAGCGCATTGTTGCGCCGGGTGGAAGAAACGATTAGGGAAAGGAAATGTCGGCGTTGTCAAAACTGCCGGGAAGGTGTCGAGCGAATGGAAGGACTTCTTCGGACGTAGGAGATGGAGGTGATGTCGTCGTGCGACACCTGCAAAAAGAAACACAAGATGCAAGCTCTGACCGATGACGGGAGGACGTAGGACGGCGAATAGTAATAGCACCTCGCAGCAGGGTTGGCTCTAGGACGGTATGTATACTCAACCGCCCAACCACAGCCCAAGACAATCGCCTGATGAAAAGACTAAATGGCCAAGGCTAGAAGTCGAGATAGCGCCATGCCTGCTCTGAGTCGCATAATTGGCGGTGGTTCGAAGCGACTATCTGGTCGGCACCGTTTCCTGCCAGCCATAAGAACCAGATGAGCATGCGGCGTTGTGGCTAGATCGCATATGCATATGCACAGAGTGTTGAACAGCACAGCACGCACGCACGAGCGCAAAGAACAGAGTCAGACGGGGGAAGCTGACGCCATGGCGACATCTTTCTCTCGGCTGGGAGGTTGAGTAGCTGGTAAAACAATACTTTCGTGCAGGCGGAGGTATTAGCTTTCATATCCGGTCAGTCATCAATAATCAGCTGAATTCTGCTCCGGCTATCGTCTTAGCCGGGCGTGGGAGATCAACTCAGGTCGCATCCTCGGACCTTTTCGACAACGGTGGGCGTCACAGCAACGAATCGTGCCCGTTGACGGTGCACGGGAATCCCAGGCAGCTAACGTGGTATAGGAAGGGGTCGGGGTATAGCGCGAACGATAACGCTGGGCAGCGGCGAGGAGGTTCGCATGTGGCCGCCACCAAGACACAACCGCCCATGCCGTATCGTTTCCGGAAACAAGCTTCTCTGGTATATTGCAGGACGTCCGGATTTGGAGGAAACCATCTTACGGCGCATTGCGAAGGTTTCGGAGAACGCGTGAAATGCTTGGCTGGGTGTCTGTAACCGGAAGAAGCTGAAAAGAAGGCGGGGGTTGTCCCACGAAATATATATATATGTGAAGGTGATGATGCGGGAGAGGTGCGGTCGGTCGTCAAACATGTCTTGCAGAATCCACGGGACGTTGGAGGATTAATAGACATTGAAGATCGAAGAGGATGGACGGATGTGCGGGCGGGCCGCCAAGATCGATGGCTGATTAGGCAACGCCGGAAGGGGGGGATCCGAGATTGGAAGGATTGCGGGAGCGAGAGGCCAATGATAAAGGCGGATTGTTGCCCGCCGGCAAAGCATGTCTTTCACCTGCCTGCTCTCTATCAACCACATCTCATCGCGTCAGAATCCCTCAGCAGGTCAGATCTTGCGTGAAGATAATCTCTGCATGCATGGTGTTGTACAGCATGAATGTCGGAAATGCTTCCTTCACTTGGCATACTTCCGGCGCGACCCGCTCGGTATAGACAGGGATGTCTGTATTGTGTATGCGCGATGGCGGCGGTGGAGCAGGGGAGTTTGCAAAGCACCGGAGATGCCCGACGATTCATTGATATGCTTCCCACGGCCAAGGAAAGGTGCAGATTGTCGCTCGTCCCTGCTGTCGCCTACGAATAATAATCCTAGAGAGGTATAATAACGCTCTTGTTATACAGCAAAAGAGTCGGTGAAGATCTTAGGGAGCTTGAAGCTTCGTTGCTGTCAGATTGTTGTTAGTTTTGAAATCTTCAAACGGGAAACAAAGAAGGAAGAAACGAAGAAGATTTTTGGAGACGAGAAAATTTTCCAGTGGTATGAAATGGTTTCATGAAGGCACTAGTATTTTCAAGTAGTGCTTAGGTACTGTACAAGCATCACCAAGATTCCGCAATCGACACGGCGTTGGACCAGCAGATCTGACTACGGTGTAAAGCGACAACATTGCTTTCTCATTGATCTATGAATTCGGCTTTTCTAGAGCTGTAGGGAACTGTGGAGACGTTGCTGCTTCCGAAGTTTCGCTTGGCCTTGTCACTACTCGCGGAATCAAGAAGCTCAAGAAGGGGTTGACCCATTCATTGCGCAAAGCTCTAAGCCTTGCTCTCCTGCAGCTCCTTCACAACCCGCGAGAGCGTCCCACAACGCCGTTGAAACCCCACAAGCTTCTGCGCCAACTCCCTCATCCCGCCGACAAGCTCCCGTAGGAACTCCCCTTCAGGCTGTGAGCTGACCCGTCTGATCTCAGCATCCAAAGCAGTCCCAGCATTCTGCGCCCAGAGACCTGCAAGCACGATAGCGAACCGCTCCGAGTCAATCCCATCCCAAGTCGCAGTCTCCGCTCGACATTCCCTCTCGGCCATCTGAAGACGAACCTCCCGAATCGCCAGCCCGGCTTCAATCCCGACGAGATCCTCCGCCTTGCCTTCGAAACGTGCCGAGAGCGGAATGCAGTCGAGGCAGGCGCAGCCCGAACTGAACGCCGCTTTCGACTCATATCCGAATCTCCCTTTCCCTTCCGTCAACTGTTCGCCCAGACGATACGTCTCGGATTTTCGAAACTGCATCCATCTCGCCTCGGCGGACTCGTGGTCCATCGCCGCCTCGTAGCGCAAAGATTCGATGTCGAAGGCCAATGCCTCGAGTTTGTTTTCGCATCTTGCAATTCTGGCGAGCGCGCTCTTGACGTCGGAAGGGAGGTCTGGAAACCATGTTAGTATGGATGTTCTGCAGGCGTTGCTGGATGTCACCTTTGTTGCGTTTCTGTAGTGCGAGGTGAAGGCTTGCGATGCCGCGGAGGAGGCGGTGTGGCTCCATTCGCGATAGGCGGTCCGGAATGAGGTGAGGGCTGCGGTGCGATGGGATTTCCAGGTTTCGACGGCCGCTTCAAAGCGCTGGATGTGGTCCCATTGCTGGTCGAGCCAGGCTTCATCGGCGTCGTTGGTTAGAGAGTCGGGGTCGGGGCTGATTGTAGAGTTGGAGTCGGAGCTGGATGTAGAGTCAGAGTCAAAGTTGGAACCGATAAGGTCTTCGGGATGGAAGAAAAGCTCTCGGTTGAACTCTTCGTCGTCGCGATGATAGAAACGCCCCCCATGATCCTCTTCCCCGTCACTCTCGTCGTCGATAGAACCTGGATTCCTCTCTCCCGGGCGCCAGACGTCTTCCCCAAGGTCTGGCTCGGCAGGCGTAGGCTCGTGCATCTCGATGATCTCGCCTGGTGTCATGCGAACGTCGTAATCTTGATCGGCATACTCTTGTCGTTGACGAGCGAGCGCCCGAACGGCTTTCTCGTTCGGGTCGGATCCAAGTGGCAATGGCTCTTCGCCCTGCCACTTCGGGACGTTGGGGCTCCAATCGCGAATGTATTGGAACATGAGACGTCTCTCTTCGGCGATGCTCTCTGCGTTCATCATCGCTTCGATCTGGTCTCTGCGTAGTTGGCGGCCCAGAAATTCGGACTCGCGCTCGGGAAATTCGTTCTCTGGTCGTGAAGACATGGTTGGTGGTGAGTTTTGGGGGGGATTGGACACACACTGGGAAGTCTTGCGATGATCGCTTGAATCTGGCCTGCAGATTAGTGAGCTTTGGAGTGGAATGGACCAAGAATGGGCAGCTTTGTGACGATAGTATAAATCTGGCCTGCAGATCAGTCAATGTCAAGAGCTGTTGTGGTTCGTGATTGATGCAGAAGAGTAGGGACTCAGACTGATTTAATAAGGAAATGTGGTACCACGTTAACAAAGAACCGTCGGGAACAAACTCATTGTCAACGCACAATAGCACAATGGGCTGGTAGATAGAGCTTTGTCAAGCTTACAATGAGGTACGATAAAGAGGCTAGAGGCAGAGATCGAGCGTTGGGAAGAGAACGGCTCGCGATTCGTTCGGGCCTTTGTTCGACGGGTCGCTCTAATGATATCCACAGCTTTTGGCATAGGAGGAGAGAGTCGAAGAGCTCCCCAGGAATTGTAGACACAGGAGCCCATTAGGAATCCACGGCCTTGGTCCCGAATCGGCATTGATCTGGCTGTCATTGCTGCCTAGTTCTAGAGGTACGGAAAATCTTGGAGTCATTTCGCTATGAGCAGCGGAGTTCCAGGTAAGCGATTCGAATAGCAGGGTATAGAAGACTCCCGCTTGTAATATTCAGTAAGACTCGAGGTCTCGTACGGTAGACACGCTAATGCAGAAGCTAAATTCAGACCATTAGCGAAGGCAAATAGGTTCCTTACGAGCTCTTGAGTGTTTGGGATAGGTAAAGGCGCCGACATAGTAAGGTTTGTGCTTAGCGAAGTTCGATTTCTGAATGTTAGCGATAATAAAGCCCGTTCGAAAAGCCTACGTAAACTACCTCTATTTAGGCGCCCCGCTTTGTAGGCTTGTATAGACCTTCTACCTTCTACCTTCTACCTTCTACCTTCTACCTTCTACCTTCTACTCTGTCTCTACGTCCTTATATTATCTCTCCGCTAAGTACACTAATATATATCTAGCTTAGCGGTCTATGCTAAGCCTATAGCGAAGCGCCTAAAAGAAAACCGTACGGCTCCTATATAACCGTCCGGTATATAAACGAGAATTCGAATTTATAGAAGTACAACTATACATTAGATAGACAAACCTAAAAAAGCTATTCTACGCAATAATACGATCTTTTAAAATAGCTATACAAAGTATACGTTAAAATGTTAAATTAAAGCTATAGATGCGATCTTCTAAGATAGGTCTTCCGGTAACTACGTTTGTTCTACCCTCCTTTGTATTACTTATATACAAACGGTATATAAAACGCTAAGTAAATTACGAGCGGACCCTTAGATTAACCGCCGCTCGCACCTCCGACTCTTAGAATACCTATATTCTTGACCCTTTGCCTTTATCTTGCTACTAAGGGCTATACTATACTACTAGTATATATGCACCTTTACTCGTAGTAATTCCTTTATCTAGCACGTTCTTAGACTCGAATAGGCCTAACGAAGGGTCTAGAGAGCCCTTTAGATACCTGTTTGCCTTATCGTACCTCGCTATCGTACCTCGCCGTCGCCTACTAATAGTATACTATAACTAACCTACCGCGACTAACCTATCGCGACTAACCTACTAACAAACAGACAATAGCGCTACCTCCGAGGGGCACTCGCAAGTAGCGCAATAGGGAGAAGAAGGATAGGGCTAAGAAGCGCAAGACTAATAGATAGCAGAATGAATCCGAGTAGCACTTTCTAATAGTACTTCTAGGTCGCGCCGCTATTACTCGAGAGCGCCCGGATTTCAGTTACTTGCTACCGGTCTAGTAGCCTAAGAATAAGCGAGATTATAAAGCATAGTTCTAGACTCGTTACGATCGTATTAACGCCGCCGATAACCTATTGTCGTAGGACTAAGTTAAGCAACTCGTATATAATGCCGTAGCTTCTCTAGAGGCTAAGAATATCTACCGTAATATCGTTACCGCTAGCCTTGTTAAGCTATTAGATCGCCTTTATCTAGGAAAAGAATATTGGCCGAAGGACGTCTAGATCGATCTAGTCTTCGCGCTAATCTTCGGCGGCAGCGATATTCTATAGATCTCGAAGACAGGCGAGGGCAAGAGCTTAGTATTTATAGCCTTTACGTATTTGACTAGCCTTATCACCCTCTAGTTTATACCGCTAAATCGCCTTAGCGAGGAGTAGGCTAAAGTCGTTAAGAACCGGTATTAATAGCTATAGTTAGATAGCTAGTTAGATAGCTAGCCGATCGAGCGAGATAGTATCGTTAACGCTGTTAATATCACCTCCGAAACTATAAGCCTCTATCCTAAGCTATACGACTATATCACTAATAGTAGATATTATTATATTATCCTAAGTCTAGAAACCGGTGCTAGTCTAGCCTTTAAGAAGCTACTATAGGACCCTAAGGTTCGTGCCCGCATCGGTCTCGTAGTAATCGATAAAGTCTATCTTATTAACAAGTAGCGTAACTTTCGGAAGGAATATATATAGATCTTCGCTCTACGTAAGTTGCTCCGTAATAATACAGTTTAGCTCGGCTGTTCTGCGACAATGTCCGAGGATATAGAGGACTTTGTACTCAAATATAGTAGATTTCGTCTAGTTAGTAATTAGCTATTCTAGACTAAGATTATTCGTAGTAGTGTCGATCGTCTAGATACTACGTATATCCTACGTACCATTCTAAGGAATTAGCTCCGCTTATACGAGTACCTGTATTTCGCTATCGATAGTGCATTCGACCTAGAGACTAAGGAAGCTACGCCGATAAATATTAAGAAGGCCCTCTTGTTTATTAATAGTCGTAAGTATGTCTAGGATCTAGCTAATGTTATTCGGCATTAGCTAGTCGTAACGACTGCTAAGTATAGGGACTAGAAGAAACGATATATATAGGATAATAAAGGTATTAATATATATACTATAGTAACATTCTATACTAGCAGTATCGCTAAGCGAGACTAGAAGCGCCGGTATAACCGCTTCTATAAGACTATAGAGCATCTAGATAGGCTATCGGAACACCGGATTATAGTTGCTACTACTGCTTTTAGCATTAGCCTAAATGTACTAGACATTAAGCTTGTTTACTAGACTAGGTTTACTCTTACGCGCGACATCGAGGATGTTGTCTAACGTCTTAGCCGTACCGGTCGTGCTATTCTACGTAGTTTAGCCTTTATCTTCCTACTATACTATATCGATAATCGTCTTAAGCAGCCGCGGCTAGAATCTAACTACCCGGCAATTAAGCCTCGCCGACGTAGATCGCATAGAGCATTCCGGCTATTAGGGCTCCGCTAGTCTAAGCTTCTAGGAGAAGATGCTAATACGCTAGGTACTCGAGAAGCCGCTAATAATAATAATAATAATAATAGCGATAGAAACTACTAGACTAAGAAAGAGATAGAGCTTCGCGACAAGATTCCTCGGATTTGGCGGGAGTTCTAGAATAACTATCTACGCGAACAATACGGCATATGTCTACGCAAAGTCGTCCTTCGCTATCTCGGTAAGGATAAGGCAGTGTATACCTAGTAACTACTAGTAGTAGAAGATTGCTATAATATCTGTAACCTAGAACTAGACGCTCTTTATATCGATATACCTCTAGAGGGTGTTACTCCCCCGAAATTCAAGGCTCCGAGAGCCGGCACTCGTCTAGCAATTGGATTTAGTATACTAAAGGATTAGATATTAAAGCGGCCTACCCTTTAGTATCTAGATTGGTTAAGCCGTATTCGATTCGACCTTCTATCGACTAAGGTTATAGACGATCCGATTCTAGCTAATATCGCTAATATCTTTACTACCGCTAACTTAGTTAATGAATAGAACGAGAGTATTACTATCGATTAGGATCTCCTTAAGCAGAAGGCGCTAGTATTTGTAGACTAGTTCGAGAAGCTTTAGTAGTACGAGCAACTATTCGCTACCTTTTAGCTAATCGATACTCTAAAAAGCCTTAGTCTAGAGGTGTTAAGTAAGTAGTGTACTATTTATAATACAAGGAAGAGGGCCGAGGAAGATAGATAGAAGAAGGCCGAGGAAGAGGCTACTCGAGAAGCGGCTCGTAGCGCCCTAAATATACGTCTATCGGATACTATACTGCTACCTACAATGCCCTTTACTCTATAGCAGCGCGCTACTACTCTAAATAAGTTAAGAAGCAGTATTATAGGCTCTACTAGCGTATAGGCTAACCTCCTTTATAGCCGTAATACTTAGGTATTAGAAACTCGAGGCTAGGAGCGCCTAGGCTTATCTAGTAGTCTTAGTCTACGTACTCGGCGACAGCTACCTCTACAGATTAATCCGACTGCTAAACAGGCATATGCTCGAGCTAAGCGGATTCTTAGCACTGTCTCTCGTACTAACGAGGAGCGAGGTCGCGTATTGCGTACTAAGCGTAGACTCTCGGAAGCGGGTCGACGCATAATAGGCTCTTAAGGTAGCTCTCCTAGCAGGCGTTGATACTGCAATTAGCGGTAGAATAGCCCTAGAAATTGCGGTAGAATAGCACTAGAATAGCACTAGAATAGCGCTAGAAATGGCGCTAGAAATAGCACTAGAATTGGCGCTAGAATTGGCATTTAATAAGGTCCTTCCTTACTACCCTTCTATTATATCCTTGTAAGCTCGCTAAGTCCTTGTCCTATCCCCGGAAAAGTAAGCCGTAATACTACGCTCGATCGCGTTACTTCTATAAGAGCTAGCGTATAATGTAGGATGCCTAGTTAAGTTGCTTCTACGAGAGCCGGTATGTAATATAGGATGCCTAGTTTAGCTGCTTCTGCGAGAGCTAGCCTAGTTTAGCTGCTTCTACGAGAGCTAGCCTAGTTTAGCTGCTTCTACGAGAGCTAGCCTAGTTTAGCTGCTTCTACGAGAGCCGGCCTAGTTTAGCTGCTTCTACGAGAGCCGGTATATAATGTAGGATGCCTAGTTAAGCTGCTTCTACGAGAGCTAGCGCTAGAATTAGCGCTAGAATTAGCATTTAATAAGGTCCTTCCTTACTACCCTTCTATTATGTCCTTGTAAGCTCGCTAAGCAGGCTCTTCTATTATGTCCTCGTAAGCTCGCTAAGTAGGCTCTTCTATTATGTCCTCGTAAGCTCGCTAAGTAGGCTCTTCTATTATGTCCTCGTAAGCTCGCTAAGTAGGCTCTTCTATCGTGTCCTTATAAGCTCGCTAAGCAGGCTTTTCTATTGTGTTCTTTACGACGAGGGTTTGTAGATAGTCGTAGGTATCGATAGTCGTATATATCGATAGTATATAAAAGCTAGGCGAGAAGCGTAAATTCGAGGAAGCGACAAGGATACCGAGTCCCGCTAAGACCCCGGATTTAGTATAGCAGAGCGCTTAATTAGTAGGATTAAACGTTATAGCTGCTTCCTTCCGCGTATTTACAATACCGACTTTCCCGACTTTTACGACTTTTACGACTTTTACGACTTTTATAATAGCACATTACTAATATAGCGAGATACGTCGATTAAGCGCATTTCTAGCAAATAGCGCTAACAAAAGTATCTAACACGATAACGACGGCCGCCTTAGGCACTAAGAACCGCCTCCGAAACCCGAGAAGTTACTAATGCTAGCGAGAAGTTACTAGCGAGACTAGCGAGAAGTTACTAGCGAGACTAGCGAGAAGTTACTAGCGAGACTAGCGAGACTAGCGAGACTAGCGAGACTAGCGAGACTAGCGAGACTAGCGAGACTAGCGAGACTAGCGAGACTAGTACTATACTTATTGCACCGTATACTCTTATAGGCACTATAACATATATAGTAAGGATAGATACGTAGGGCGATAACATATATCGAGCGCAAGCACTCTTCGAGAAGCTACGATAGCCCTCTTACGTTAACGCCCTCTATTGCTTAGACTCTCCCTAGAACGATTATTCCGATAACTAGTTACTATATAAGGCAGAGAAAACGAATAGTAGCGTCCGGGGATCTAATTAACTAGCGGCACTAAGCGGCTATAGAAGCATATACTCCGAAGCACACTAGCATTATATATAGCCTATATACTACGCGCAATGCGTAACAATTAACGCATTCTATTACTAACTATAGTACGCGAGGTATATAGGAAGGGACTTATTAAGCGAAACACGACAGCGATCGCTAAAGCGACACTTATTAGTACCTAGATAACAATAGAGTGTAACCGCGCCCTTAGTATTAGAGATACTGCGAAAAAAAAGGTTGTCGAGCGCGTTATAGTCGTATAGCAATGTTAATACGCTTGCTAGAAGAGGAGGCGTACTATAGTCGGATAATAGTCTTAATACGCTTACTAGAAGGGGAGGCGCACTACAGTCGAATAGTAGTCTTAATACGCAAAGGGCTGCAGTCGTATAGCAGTAGTAAAGACTAAGACTAAGCGCCTTCGGGCTTGAGTATACTAGAGGCCCTTACGCAACGACTAAGGTTATTATAACTAACAGTCCTAACGAAGGCGTTACGCCGACTTAACTAGATACGTTCTCGAGAGCTATTATCCTATAAAGAATCCGAACGTAGGAAGCCTATAGCCGCTACTTAAGGTATACCTCTCTAAAGAGTTTTTACCGAGTCAGGCCTAGCCGCTACTTAAGGTACACCTTACTAGAGAGTTTTTACCGAGTTAGGCCTATAGCAATGCTACGAACCTATTAACCTACTTAGTCTATTAACCTACTTAGTAGGAGAGTCGCTATCGAGCCGCTACTTAAGGTATACCTTACTAAAGAGTTTTTACCGAGTTAGACCGTTAGCCGCATTATAGGTATACCTTACTAAAGAGTTTTTACCTCCGCTAATCTATCTAAGACCTCTGTAGTTTGCACTGCGATATTCTAATAAAAACTATACTCTTTCGGTTAAATACGCAGTCGGCGCCCGCTAAAGCTATAGAAAACAACCTACTCGCTAGGAGAGTCGCCTCGCAACGTCTTACTTAGCAAAGCCTATCGGAGACCAAACCTCGAAGAGAAAGGACTAAACAAACCACCTGCCGAGGAACCTTAACTACTAGATAAGCGGCTCTGTCGGTAGCAAGCCGTAGAACTAGTAAGGAATAGTGTTAATCGCTGCAGAGCTACCTATATACGACAAAGAGGTATCGACACTGTTACTATTAGAAGCCGATAGCTAGTGTGTTACTAGGGGTGTTAGTATGTTAGTATATATAGAAGAAGAAGAAGAAGAAGAAGTTGAACTAGGAAGCGTAGGTCTACATTAGCGCATCGCAGGTAAGGTTTGCCTCTACTAATAGGATTGCGCTATTTAGCTATAATAGCAAGGCAATAATAACGGCTATATATTATCGCACTTTTAACGCAATAGCCGCCGACTGCTAGTCGAATGCCTAAGGCTAGAATTGCTAGCGACTAGAGGCATTGTATGCCTAGCCTAGCTAGCTATTAAGCTATTATCGTACGCCTAGCCAAACCCTTCGTAGCTAGCTATTAAGCCATTATCGTACGCCTAGCCAAACCCTTCGTAGCTAGCTATTAAGCAATTATCGCACGCCTAGCCTAGCTAGCTATTAAGCAATTATCGTACGCCTAGCCTAGCTAGCTATTAAGCCATTATCGTACGCCTAGCTAAACCCTTCGTAGCTAGCTATTAAGCAATTATCGTACGCCTAGCCTAGCTAGCTATTAAGCAATTATCGTACGCCTAGCCTAGCTAGCCGTTAAGCAATTATCGTACGCCTAGCCTAGCTAGCTATTAAGCAATTATCGTACGCCTAGTTAAACCCTTCAACTTTATAAGCACCCCCGACGAGGTACGTACTCTAGTCTACCGCTACTACTTCGCGGCCAACCGCCTAGTTAACGGGGCTATCGTTGTCGGCGGCAAGCGCACTTAGAAGATAAAGCTAGCACCTAAGAGATAAAGCTAGTAAGGAAGGCCTAGATAGTAGATATAGTAGGTTAGATTACTATAAACGAATATAAAAGCTATATTTATTTATTCCTTAGTCGCTATAACCGCTACCCTTATCTATATCTTAGTTACCGCCTATCGCATCGACTACTTTAACCTCCGCATCGATAAGCTAAGCCTATCTATTAGTACGTTAGATAGCATCGACCTACTTAGAGTCGGTCTTATCGATAGCAGTACCCTATATATTGCTACGATTAGTCGTAGCCTTACGACTAGCCTTAGTAGCCTCTATGTCCTCTACGACCGCATCCGTAACGGTAGAACGACCTTCGAAGTACTCCTTGTTGCTTTAGTTAAATATAGCGACCTTCTCGCGGATCTAATCGCTACTAAGCTGCTAGATATCGTCCGATATATGCCTACCGTTATTGCTATACGGAGCTATAAAGCCATCCGAGAACAGCTTCTCTGCGCGGCTAAAGACGTTAATAGCCGTATTCTTATAGGTATAGTAACTGCTTAGCTTAATACTAGTAAAGGAGGTTATTATATTACGTAGTATACGAGCCGGCTCGCGGTTAAGTGCGATCTTCTTAAAGGTTGCTAGCAGGTTATAAGTCGAGTTACCGATACGATTAATATCTTCTAAGTACTCGTAGTTATAGATCTCGAGCTACTTATCTGCCGCTATTATATAACCTTTCTTCCTATTAGTAATAATGCTAGAAGACAGAATAGCTTCTTAGAGGACATTATTACAGCCTAGACTAAGCAGCTATCGCTTATATATTATTATCCGACTATAATTTCCCTGCTTAGTACCGAGGAAACTAGGGATTAGATAGTCGACGGATCGACAGAGATAACTAATATCTGCGTTATAGACCCCGAGGCGTAGAGTAAGGAATATCTTAATCTCCTATATTATCCGAGCTATAGTAGTGTACTAGGCATTAGGTGCCGGCTTACTAACGCGGTGCGGCAAGCTACGCTATGCCTCGATAGATAGGAGCTTCTTATAGATGTCCTACACTATCTCTAGGTATTGCTAAGCGGTTAGCCTAGATAGGGCCTCCTTAACTGCATCTATACGGCTCTCCTTACTAGAGATTACAACGCGGCCCTACTTAGACAACTACTTAATAGCCGCACCGATACTACGAGCCCGGAATATAGTCTTAAGAAGCCGAAGGATCTCGAAGAATTTTAGCTTAGTACTACTAACCTTGTTCTCGCTATACTAGAATACAGCATCGCCCTTTGCTGTCTAAGCGCTTAGAAGAGGCTTCCTATCGCTGTTCTTATCCTAGTACGTACGTAGGACAGTAAATGCATAGTTTATTATAGTATAGAACTAGGCTAGCGATATAAGGAGGCTGTCGCGCTTATCGTACGGGTCCTTATTCTCGACACTCTCGTTACGTACGCTATACCTACGTACGACGGTTATATTGTCGCTATTCTATATATATAGAGGTCCCTCTAGCCCGCTCGCAAAGTCCTTGTCGCGGTCTAGGTCCTAGAACTTGAGTAGGATCTCGTCCTATATAGTACATATGCCCTTAATAGTCGCCTCGTCGTTAAAGGAAATAGGCTACGAATATACCTCTATACGGGCCGGGTCTAACTTGTCGATTACTAGCTATACTAGTCGCTTTAGATTACTACCGCTATTCTCGAAAATTGCCTTTACGGCCTCTAGAAACGTATACGCAATAGCCTTATCGATATAGAAGAGCGTAGTCTTAATACTAATATCGGAAACCTCCTCCCTATCCGGTCGTGTTACCTTATCTTTATAGATATTCTTAAAGATGTTATTAGCGTTTAGCGGCTTGTCGTAATAGATTATCTTCTTCTTTAGGCTACCCTTCGGAATGCGCTTGTTAACGGCTACACACGAGGCAGTTATAGCCACTATCTAGTTAGTATCGCTAGTAGCCTAGTCGGTACGGTTCTATATCCGATTGAAATTGTCGATAGTACTACTATACCGCTTGTCGGGGCGGTTGTACAGCTTAGCAATTTGCGTCTCTATATAATTAGCATTCTTATCTATTAAGATCTAGATAGTCTAATATGCTAGAGTAATGTTTAGGTTGTTTAAGACCTCGATCGTACGACGACTCGTACTATTGCTAACGAGGAATATTCTAAGGGCCTTTAGAAAGAATAATGCCTTAATATAAGACATAGAATATAGGACTTAAGAGGTTAGCATCGTCGTACGCTTCCGTATAACATTACGCTTGTCCGCGAACTTAGTCTAGTACTAGTAATAATCGCGACGTACGTTAGGTAGCAGATCCTAGCCGAGCAACTAATGCTATATAGGAGCGACCTATTAGATAGCATCGTCTATATCTCCGAGGTCGATTTCGAAGTTATAGAACTCCGGTTTATATATACTAAACAAATCCTTGCTAATAAGGTTCTTTAGCTTATTACGAACAATACGAGTACTAAACAGGCGATCTTCTAGAAAGGTATCGACAATAGCCTAGAGGTTCTTCTCGTATTGCTTAGAGCGCTTAGTAGTCTTGCGAGTTTTAGCAGACGTAGATGCTTTGTCGCCCGGCTTGCCGACTAGATACTTAATAAAGTAGGTTATACTAACCTTATTCTTTACTATAGTATCCTTTAGCTCCTTATAATACTTGTCGAGGAGCCGCTTAAGCGCAACGTCTTTACTAGCACGGCGTGCTATTTCTAGGGCCTCTTTATTTTTATCTTTATCTTTATCGACCGTATCGTCTTTATCGCGAGTATCTAACTCCTCGTTACTACTAAGATCTTCGTCTTCTTCGCTAAGGTCTTTATCTATAGTCTCCGACTCCGACTACTTATCTTCGAAGTCGCTAACCCTAGGCATATCCGCTAGTCGTACGATAGTCTCTAGTACATCGCTTAGGAAGCCGCTTATAGAGTATATTAGCAATACTACTATCTGTCTAGGAAGAGGTAGACCGACTAGAGCGTACTAATAACCTAGCTAGCCTAGAAGTAGCGCATTATCTAAATCCTAGTCTATTAGATCGCCGCTATCGTCTTACTGCTAAGGCGGAAGGATTGGATTGCCTTTATCGTCGTAATTATATACCGTTATCTTACTAGAAGGTTCGTTAGACATCTTAAAGGGTAGTAGTAGCGGTAGTGCTAGCGGTCTACTAGCGGTAGTACTAGCGGTCTGCTAGCGGTCTGCTAGCGGTGGTGCTAGCGGTCTACTAGCAGTAGTAGCAGCGGTAGTAGTAGCTATAGTAGTAGTGCTAGTAGCGACTTTTAGGTGTTTTAACCTTAGCTTTAGAGTCGCGTCTGCTATATAGTAGCAACTTAATAACTACACCTCGGATAGACTTATGCTATACATAAAAGGTATTTAGAAATGGTCTACGAAGGACCTCGAAGTATCGAGTCGGCTATAGGAAGGTTATCGATTGCCCTCGAAGGCTATAGAGCGGTTAGTAGGCGTCGGACGGAATTTTCGCCTATCTAAACAATAATTACCGGCGTTAGGAGAAGGACCTCTAAGTGTTAGCTAGGCGATGCGGTATGTTATATATTAAGGTGTTTCTAGTAGTGCAGCTAGCCGCCTAGCAATCCGGATAGCTACAGTCGAGTCGGCTTAGCAGAATAGCGAAAACTTAACGCGCTAACGTCGTACAGACTTGTTTAATAGGTAGAATAAAGCGCAATTAGTAGGGCTACAACCTCCGCTATTTAGAATATCTTATATACGTTGTAGTGTTATATTAGTATTTAGTAGGCTAGTTTCGTACGGGTTTATATTAGGCTCGTAGGCGAAGAATAAGGTAGAGTGCTCGTAATTGGTTATCGGTAAGTTCGGAAGCTAGCCCTAATTACTAATCTATTACGTGCACTCGGTCGCAATATAATCCCTATTTACTATATATCTACGCAACTCAATTCTTTATACCTACGAGCCTAAATAGAGGTAGTACGTAAATACATTACGAATTATAAGGCTTGAATTAGTAATTAACAAACGATCGCAAGATTAGGGGCTAGTAGCTTTTAGTAGGCTAGCGTTAGTATGTCCGCGGCGTATCCTTAGTACTTCTCCTTCGCTTAGAACTTCTACGATATAATAAATCGATAATTAATCTACCGGTTTAAAGAAAGGGCTTAAGTCGGATCGGCGGAAGAGTCTAGTATACTAGTATACGCGCGGTATAAGAATTCCCGATCGTTCGTTACTAGTATTCTAGGACAAATTCGAAGTATTAGAGGGACATTTAGCAATCTCTAGATACTTTACCTACGATAACGTAAGCTATATATAGAGGCTGTTAGTAATAGAGAGCCTTGCCTAGTGCTAATATTATGCCTAAATATAGTAGTCTTCTAGTATTATTAATAAGCCCTCTTCTATAGTAGTATAGCCCGTAGTTATATAATAAGACATGCTTCTAAAGCGTATAGCTAGTAGTCGACTTAATATAGGCGCCGGACACCTAAACCTAACCTTAGACGCTAAAGACTAGTACGTCGATTTTACGGATAGCGGCCCTAATCTATTTAAAGCTCTAGCATCTAGGGACCTTCGAGGTAAATGCCTAGGCCTTAACGCCGTAGGTAATTATAGCTTCCTTCCGCGTAACGGGAAGGCTTAATAAGCTTAATAGGGTTTTTTATAGATCGGGGATATTGTTAGCCCCCTTACGGATTAGCTTGATTCTATGCTTAAGGTGTTTTCTTGTCCGTAGTTAAGTAGTTATAATAGTTAGGTCTTTAGTATCTTTCCGGGGTATAAGACGACGTAGATAGAATAGGAAGCAGAAAGAATTAGGAGGAGATAAAAGTTCGATTTGTAGTTAGCGTTATACGCAGCAGATAAGAAATGATGTGTGTGTAATAATAATGTTTCTTCTTTTCGCATTTCGTTTCAGAACTGTGATTAAGTCAAGTAACCAGCTCGGGCATGTGATTTGTGCTAAGCTGGCTTGAAGCCTTTGCACTGGAGTGTTCGTAGTGCATATACGGCAAACACGGCTCTTCATTACTTCACCTCTTGGGATGCTACGAAGGCTGGTGACGTCTCACGATTGCACTACGTCTTTTCGAGTCTGGAAACAGATCTGGATAGGGGAAATGAGAATTTGAGATGGCACAATTTTGGAAATACGTAACTTGGATCTAGCCGTGGAAGAGAAAATTTGAGATTGCAAAGTTTTGGGAGTACGTACCTGGTATCCGGTTTTTGAAACCAGATGCCATTACCTAGCACTGTGAGCTTTGATTCACCGTTGCGACTCACCGCTCCATCTCAATCATCAGAGAAGCAGAAGCTGAGGCAGAATGCAGTACCTACCTGTCCACAGATCAGCAGAAGGATTCTCCTCAAAGAGACACACACGGCCAATGATTCAAATCAACCAGGATTCAATCACTTGCCATCCGCATCTCCAGCAGGCGTGATCGTAATGCGAGGAACCAAAGCTCATTAGCCCAGTTCCTCCAAACTCTCACCTTTCGGACCTAAATCCTCCTGATCATCCTCCAGTTGTGGTGGCCCAGACTGAGCACCCCATGAACTGCCATCATAAAGGCTACTCGCCTCTTCCCTCCCCCCCTCCTTCGCCTTCCCCTTCCCCTTCCCCTCCCTCTCCGTCTTGAAGCTCCTCAAACTCCACCCCTCCCGAACCTCCATCCACGTCCCCTTCGTAAAATACGCTTTCGGCGGCCGTCTCGGTCCCTTATCCCACCCATGAATCGTCCCAATCTTAATCGCCCACGCAGCCTCATTCAAAACTTTCTCCTGCGCAGGCGGAATGTTTTGTAAGTCGTACGCTACGGCGGCTTCGGTGAGTTCGACGCGGGTTTTTACTGCGGATTCCAAATCTTCGCGGGCGGACTTCAGGGCGGAGAGGTTGGTTTCCGGGATTTGGAAGAGCCAGGTGGAGATTTTGAGTTCCTTGGTGGAGACTTCGTTTATCATGGCGATGAGGTGGGTGCGGAAGTCGGGGATGGTGCGGTAGGAGATGTGGGGGCGAGGGTCTTGGGAGGCCATTGCTGTGGTTGTAGGTGGTAGGGGGGTGTTTGGAGAGCGCTGTGGGTGATGAGTTGAGTTTGAAGAGCGCTGAATGGTTGTGGGTGTTTTTCGATGGAAGGCTGGTATCTGGTGGGACTCTGGTCAACAGAGTCGGTTAGAATGTAGCTTTGATGGAATGGAAGTGGAAAGGAGGAGCAGGGAAGCGTTCCTCAGTCAGCTTTTATCTTCGTCTGGCGGCGAGGCGTGGAAGGTGAACAATCCATTCTTCTCACGAGTGAGCAGTGTTTCTCAAACGACAATGAGATTGTACTGCGTTTCTCACAAAGGGATATGGTAAGACGTGTATTTTGTCAAAGAGCACCGTTGTCTTTCTTTGTTATTGCAAAGTCTTTGATCTGACAAGCCCATTGTAGCGCGTCGCCTCCTCTGTCGCCCGTGGAGTTGACAGTGTTGTCTGATTCATGTGGCGACTTCGTGTAATCCATGAGCCGTGACGAAGACTTCCGTACGAGCCACTCCCTCTCGTTGCCTTGGCCTTCTCCTGGTCGGCCTTGGAGCCAAGTCAATATATCCCCCGCAGTCTAATGAGTGCGTGTATGCCATCCGTTCGTGTGCCAAGCTGCCGCTCGCGGGCCCGTGGGCAGGATTTGGTGAGATGTTGTGGTTACGAAAGCGATGGCCTCCGAGCTTGATTGATCCCAAAGGATACACTTTTGCGGCGAGAATACTGGATGCAATAGCGCAGAAAGGGAACTCTTGGTAACAAACACGTCAGTCTGATGGTTGCTGCTTTTCTCCTATCACGAACCTCTGCGACACTTTCAACGGCGAGGGAGATATGTAAGCCGAAAGTCCGCCACGCTCGCCATGAGACAACCCGTGGACTATGACCGTGGCTAGGAGAAGCGAAAACCGTGAAAAATGAGCCGGCTTTACAACTCCTCTCACGTTCTTCCTGGGCGGCCCTATCTACTCCGTGGCCATCGAGAAGACCGGAAGCCCTCGAAAGCCCGAAGTGTGTATGTGACTGAAGGAAATTGTGCTTACCTAGGCGGCAGTTAGCAATCGTGCCACAACGACGGCGAAGAAAATGTAAGCCTCAGATCTGCTGCGCTCGCCATAAGACGACCACAGACAGGAGACGCGGCTGAGAGAAGCGAAGACAGTATGCGCCTTGCGACTCCTGTTCCATCAATCTTGGGCAGCATAGCCGACTTCACGGCCATGGAGACGACCAGAAGCCCTTGTATGCCCGAATGTGTTTGTGTGAGAAGGGGAGTTGACTTACCTGATGTTTGAATGGGTCATCGTGAACGATTCTGCCTTGATAACCACCGAAGGGTGTGTAAAAATGTAAGCCTCAAGTCCGCTGCGCTCGCCATAGGACAACCCGCAGACAGTAGACACGGCTAGGAGAAGTAAAGGCCTTTCATTAGAGAACAGTCAGCCTTGCAACTCCCGGTGCATCAATCTTGGACCAAGCTCTCGACCTGGTGCTCATGGAAGGAGCATCAGAGTCCTTGGCAGTCCGTGTATAGTGTAGTGGAGGGAAAAAGTCAGGGGCAAATTTGAACTGTTTTGTGGACTTGCTGCGGGATTGGCCGTTGGAGCACGGCCGTTCCTGTTTCTACGGCCGTGGATCAACCGCATGACGAGATGCTGGAGATGATCTGGAGCCGAGCGACGCTGATTTTCGTTTATGAATGGTCATTTCGCAGTCCTGGCTCACCTTGACAGACAGAGTCGGCTCTAAGAGTTCTCGAAGCCCCTTCATCTGTACATTCGCTACTCGACCTCTACATAGTCCCTTCCATGCGCCATACTAAAGACTTCCCTTCACCCACGAAGCATCAGGACATTCAATGTGCAAGTACAACCACATCGAGGGTAGAAAGAAGCTTCTCATTCATGAGGATTGACCCCCAACCGAAGGATCGCCGCAGCGGACAATGGAGAAGCTGTAGCCCATATCCATGAATCGATGCACGAGGGACCAAGCAATGAAGAGACAAGTGTCTGCCCATGGTAGTCAAACAGGTAGCTCAAAAACATCAATAATCACGGACTTTTCGTGGCACTCGCCATTCACTCCTACTTGAGGATTTACATGCCGCACGTGAATCAGTTGCTACGCGCACCGGGCAGCTCCTATCTGAATAGCTCCAGTCACCAGAAATTCTTCAACGTTTCCACTCACGCTTAGCGAAAGACGATCTTGCAAAACCACAACTCCCAAACAGCGCCCCTCGAGAGATTGACTAAAAGCAACAACCCTCGAATCAAAACCATCACAGAGCAAGACTCAAATATTGTACGGCACTACTTCTCAGGTCATGATGTCTACCACCTTCAAGTTGAACATAAATGTCGCGCAAGTCGGCGCCAGCGCCTCGAGCGTGAAGCCGGGAGAGAAGAAGCCAGAGAAGCTTGCGGTTGTCGACGGCGAGAACAAGAACGAGAAGGCGATGCGTAAGAAGAGAAGTGAGCACAATACGGCGCTCACATCCAACATTCATGGCAGCCAGCCGCCGCAGAAAGATTATGGCGGTACGCGCGACTATTTCGCCGAGCGTAGTCGCATGTCGAAGGAAGAGCGCGCGAAGGATGATTGGGCGTTCTTGCACTGCGGATGAAGATTCTCTTGGTGGAAAAGCCGAATACGTGAGTACTGATGAGTTCAGGCTATTGAGTCTTCTGCTGATGGCATCTAGGAAATCGTTCGCCCCAAGCCTGCTCCGTTGATGCACATAGAAGCGGAGGGATTTTTTATAAGCGTCAAGAATAATGCGGTAAATGGACATACAGGTGTATTAGGCTAAGATTTCGAGCCCTCGAGTAGGGCACGCAGAGCAAATGGCGCTCAGAAAGGCATCGAGGGCGCTCGTTGGCACAGAAGCAAACTGCTTTCTTCAATAGAACTCCGGCATTACGAAACAACGAAAGCATCTTCAATTACTTATTTATGTCTCACTTCTCAGGCCATATATCTTCGGGTGTGAGTCTATTTCCTGTGGCAATATTGTCTGACTCGAGGAGCGGACAGGAAAACTTCACTTCGTTTGAGTTTACTAGCGCGTCTTTTTCGCGGGATCCCTGCTTCCCGCCCCGAACTCATCGTATACCTTTTCGCCTTGAGCTTGTATATAAAACTTCAGTTGTAAACATTACAGGACTGTCTCTAATATCCATTGCGATCACATCGCTAAGAAAGCCACAGGTTCTACCACCACCCAGCTATCCTGGATCTCTTCGCCAGGCTCGAAGAAGGAAGACACTCCAAAGGCTCCGACAACGCGTAGAAACTACGCATTTGATTCTAAGATGCCACACCTCTAGACACAATAGGAGCGCCATGCCTCCGATATCATGCGTTACGAAATGAATCTTGACTGGCCTGAAAACGTGCGAATCTTTCAACGACTGTACAACGCCAGTGCGACGGTCAAGTGGGTTCGCGACGACTACAACAACCGTGAAAAGAGCGAAAGGTCGCAGATGTGGACGAGACACATCATCAAGCCTGTCTATACGGCACAGAAGGAACAAGACCGTGCTACGGTACGGGCAGAGATCATCAACGCCGCAAAGGCTCTCAAAATCGAGATTCCTATCACGAATCCGCCTGTTGCGGCTCCTCCTGCACCAACTATCGCTCCTGCTTTACAGCCATTATCAATCTGGAATACTCAAGGTGCCGTCTAATGTTTAGGCTGCGCCTAGCTACTCACAAGATTCTTTGGTTGTGCTGAACACGACAGTATCCACAGCTACTCCAGCTACAACATCCGCTACGATACCCTTCCACGCTCTCCCGCTGGCTAAGCGCTCTGCTCCCAAGTCTCGTCGTCTTGGTCCAAAGTTTGTTCTTGCTGGCCATCCGGATCCCGCGGAGGCGCAGAAAACCAGCGAGCCTCTAGCCAAGAAACCTGCGACAGCTGAGCGCGTCCAGATGAGTCGAGATCTGCCGTCAGTGAGGCCTCTATAGCAGCCCAATACAATCAATACACCAAACACGCGTATAGGCTTCGTCTTAAGCAGCACCTCGTAGTACTCGCGGAAAATTCCGGATCCGAATATCAGCAATCCCTCCTATGCGGCTACACCTTCGGATAACCTTACTAGTATTAATAATACTCGCTTACGTACGTCCTCGGCTTATAATAGCTATATCCTTCCTTTAGCAGACGCTATAACTGTCTCCGAAACTTATACAAGCTCTTACTAGCCTAATACTAGCGTCCTGCGTTATATTACCGCTAATAACGCTAATAGCCTTAATGTTCTACGCCGTTATCTAATCGGAGACACTCTAAGTAGCCTTACCGCATTCTCTACTATGTCTATTCCGTAGCTCGAAGCCTAGCTACTATAGTAAGGCATTAAGGTTAGTAGTAGGTTTGCAAGTATAGTAGAAGAATATAGAAGCGTTAGAGGTAGTATTAAGGAGTATACTAACCTAAGGGCGCGAGACATTATAAGCTAACCTTAGCTTTCGAATACCGGAGACGCCACTCCAAGTGAGGGTAAGGTACTTAATAGTAGTAATAATATAGCGTTAGGTAATCAAAAATAATAGTTGCGCTTATTAAGGCGAGGAAGGGAATGGGATTAGAAGGGCTAGAGGGGCTTTTAGATAGTAAGAGTTATAAAAGCTATTGCAAACGAGGAGATAAGGGCTTCGGGGTTAGGGGGTTTGATAAGGTTGTTATTAGGCATAGTATAAGGTGAGAAATGCTTAGGCCGGCTCGAGACATGGAGCTAGATACTACTTACACGAAAGTGGAACAAAGTACTACGTCGTGCTTATGAAAACTCATGAAGTGCAGATCCAGTCAAATTTGGTTATTTACTCCCATTTCAAAATGCCCCCAAAAAAATCTCTATTCATGCTCTAGAATCTCGCAACCTATCTCTACTCAACATCAGCCGCTTATCCACCCCAAACTCCTTTCATTCAGTCATCGCTTCATGGAACCTGGCAATCTCCCGCTGCAGCTCCTCTTCCGTAACAACCCATGAAGGCGTGATATACGTGCCAGGCTCACGCGCATTGACCATCGCTTCTGGGTTATCCGTCACGAGACCAGCGTTCATGGAGGTAATGGCTCGCTGCTGAATCTCGTCTGGAGTGAGTGGGCCGCGACCAGTCCAGGTGATGTCTTCCATGTCGTCGTCTTCTTCTTCAGAGTCGTGACGTTGATCCATAGAGGGAGACTGATGTGCTTGGACTGGGTTGGCTCCCTGAACGACGTTGTCTTGCCATGTGGTGTCTTCGTGGTTGCTGTCGGCATCGATCTCATCGTCGCTGACCTTGTCGTCTTCGCTGTCTTCTCCCTCGTTGCTGTTCTGAACGTTAGCGGAGGATGAAGCTGTGAGCGTGTTCTGACTTGCCGTTGCGAGCGGCTGCGAGCTTTGTGGTACGATCGCAGGACCTTGAGCAGAAGAAGCTGCTGTGACCGCTGTGGGACCCGCGACAAGACCTGGGATGAGTGGTAGGTGCTTTCGCTCTGGATTTGTCTTGTAGGCAATTGAGATACCCAGGTTCGCAGCCTCGCGCAGAATGTTGCTTCTCAGTGCCGCGAAATGGGCAAGCTCACTCGCATCCCACGTGGAGTTGTTCCATTCATTGGGGCGATCGATGGCTTTCCAGTCCGCGTTCTGATGGCCCTTCTTCAGGCGTTGGATGTTCCGGTCGTAGAGGTTGTAGAAGTTGAATTCTCCAAAGTCCGGATACAGTGCGATGAATATGTCTGCAAGCTGCTGGCGGACCGTCTCATCCTGGCTGTCGCTGAAGCTGAAGATCTGGAAGAGCATGAATAGGACCATCCGGGTTTCTCGTGTCCATGTCCCGGACCTAGTGATCTGGTTACGTTTGCCGCTAGCCATGACTGCCGGTGATTTGTACCCTGTTCGCCAGGAAAGCGTAGCAAATGTTGCCGATACGTGACCAAGGTTCAACTGGCGTCTAATTGTGTAGAGACCGGCGAGGCAACGGAGGCTATAGTGGTTGGTGTAAGGTGTTGTATGATCTTGAAGAGTCGTGTTGTGTGATCTTGAAGAGTCGTGTTGCTAATCAATTTTGTGTTGAGGTGTGGTTATACTCGCTCTTTTAACGTCCCTGCCTGACGCTTGTGACAACATTCACTTTCTTCATAATCCATGAAGAAGGCATTGTCCTGAGAGATATCGATTGAGGCCAAACTATACCTGCATAGACTGTCCGAACGTGCACAATATATTGTTCTGGGTTTCATGCTCTTTATCTCGCTCTTTGTGTGCAGATTTCTGGCTGTGAGCACGTGTTGCGACAGCAGAGAGTGCGAAGCGCCGAGGCATGATTTTTTGATGATTTACGATTGAAGACGGGCGCATAATAGTGTATAGAGATTCCATGGGTTTTTGGCCAGCTAGCCGCAGGATGTAGATGTCTAATAGGCAAAGCTTTGCGATGGTCTGTGCTGGGTGTCAAAGAAACGCTTGTCTCGCAGCAAGCATTGGCATGTTTAAGACCTCTGCACATCTGGCTTGACTCATAGGATCTGTCTGTCCTCACTTAGAATACTTGATATGCCTCTATTGATTGTATCGACTATAAAAAGGATTTTCAAAATTATACGCCGAGGAAGAGTCACGGGATTTGTGGGGCCGCTGTTGATCCGGTTCACGAATCTATCGCGCTAGTGTTTCGCGCCCATTGGGTCCAACGCGATGTTCAATTCACTCGTCCTGAGGATGACTCCCCTTGAATTCCATCTACCCTGGTCGGATCTCTCTCAAACTCCTCTCTCAAACTCCTCACAACATCACCTCGCGAGCCATCTCCACAGCCATAAACGACCAGGAACTTCACCAGTCAGCGAAACGGCGACAGCAATAATTCCTGACGTTCTCTGCTGGCCTCGAGCGCCAACAATCCCAAGATGCCTCGAGCTGGTCGTGGCGAGCCACTGGCCAAGATCGGCGGCAGCCATAGGTGGACCGACGATGAGTACGGCTCGTTACACATCCTAGAGGTCGAGCACCCGGACCTCAGCAAATCTGAGAAAGAGCGCCTGTGGCATGAGCGCTTCCCAGAGCATCGCAAGATTGGTCGGAACTACAACGCCAGCAAGCTCGAGGAGACTTGGGCATATCGGCATCACGACACTTCCCTTTCTATCTTCCAAGCGCCTCTATCAAACCTCTTTCAAACATTTCACGAACTTCACTTCGACGAACTTCCTATATACAACGAGAATCGCGACCTCAAGCAGCCGACGGAGCTATGACAGAAGATCTTCTCGGTCACAACCGTGGACATACTCCGCCAGGCTCGAACCTCAAGCCATCCAAAATGCCTCTCGCTGGTCGCGGAGAGCCTTTGCAGAGGATCAATGGCAATCACCAATAGACCGACGATGAGCACGGTACATTGCATATACTCATGGTCGAATGTCCAGACCTGAGTGACCTGGATTTGGAGCGCCTGTGGCATTAGCGCTTCCAGGAGCGCAGAAAGCAGGGCCGCAACTGCAATTCAGGCAAGCTTCGAGAGACCTGGAGGAACAGACACTACGAGGGCAAGCCAGCCAGTCACGCAACATATTTGCTAGTTTGTGCTGCGTGCCAAAGAGACGCTTGTCTGACAGCAAGCGCTGCTTCATGTAAGAGTTTCACATGCACCCTGCCTATTAACTGTGGCACTTACTTGTCAGAATCGTCTATTATAGATGTACTCTGCCCATCGACTGTGTCACTTACTTGCCTCAATCATCTATTATACGATAACGTTTTCAACGATATATACCAAGGGCTAGTCACTGGATTTCTGGGGCGCGAGTTGCCTGGTTGCCTGGCGCAAGTAAATTCCTCGCGCTAGTGATTCGCATTCGAGTGAAAGCGTCGACGCGATGTTCAGCTTAACTTGTACCAGCACCCCGTCGATCTTCCTCCTACATCGCTCCCCCAACCTCTACCCAAGGATTCCTCCGACGACATCTTGACAGTCACCAGACCAAGAGAATACACCCGCAAGCACCAAAATCGTGCCGACATCATCCCAGGGGCTTAGCCATCGAGCTCAGCACACGCCTCTACTTGCCAGTTGCGAGCATCAACGTCGTCAACATGCCTGCCGCCGGTCGCGGAGACCCGCTGACCAAGACCACTAACTACAACTGGACCGACGATGAGTACAGTACGCTCCACATCATTCAAGTCGAGCATGCCTACCTCGAAGGACCGGATATTACGCGGCTCTGGCACCAGCGATTCCCACAGCACATGAGTCAAGGCCGCGAGTACAATGCCACCAAGTTGAAGGAGACCTGGCAGTTCCGCCACTACAAGGGAAAGTCCGCGAAGTGGAAGACGATCGCGCGCCCAAACCGCAGACCAGAAGGAGAGGATCAGACTCAGCACACGGCACAAGAGCAGGCGCACTTCCAAACACTCCGCCAGGAGTTGCAAACTGCTGCAAACGCTTGTACGCCTCCCATCACTCTCCAGGCTCCTACGGCTCCAGTCGACTCTGGTATCATGTGTGGCTGCAATGCCTGTCAGCGCAAGGTCCAGGGGCGCGACACTGCAGCTGCTCAGAGCGATGCTGTGAAGGACAAGAAGGGCAAAGGGAAAGCCCGCGGCATCAGCGCAAAGGCGAGCAGTGTGAACGGAGTCAGCAAGAAGACCGACAAGGAGTCTGCTCGCAACAAGCGCCCAGTCAAGAAGAGTTCAGCGCTCGGAGACAAGCAGCCGCGCTCACGCCGTGAGATGAAGCGTCCCATCTATGCTGATCCTAGAAGCGAGAGCGATGAAAATGATGCCGAGATGGAAGAGGAAGAGATGGAAGAGGGCAGCGATCCTGACGCCATGGACCTGGATGACGACAATCTCATTGATGAGCCCACACAACCGACCTCTCGTCCACAGGACGCAGTTCCTGGATTGGGTATGCCGGCCGCCTCGATGAGGAATGGAGCAATGTCTAAGAAGTTGTCCACCATCGCTTTGAGTGAGAGCAAGCCGGCGACTCACATGAATACTGGACCATCTCGGTACAACGGCCAGGATCGTGCTACCTCGAACCAATTCAACCTTGGCAATGCATCTTCTAGGCCGGGAGCACACACCATGTTGTCGATCCGCACATCTCAAGTCAACGCCGCTGCTCCGGAAAACGCTCGGAGTCAGTCAGACAGAAGCTCAAGCGGCGGAAAGACAGCTACGAAGCCATCTGGAGCGTCTCATCCTCATGGGAAGAAGGTGGACGAGCCAGCCGTCGACTTGGCCAACGTTGAGCGCGCCGAGGGATCTCTCCGTATGGTCCACTACAAGAACCTCTTCGTGGCAGACGACAAGCTCCGCCTCCAAGACGGATTCACCTTGGTGAAGCAAGACACCCCTCTCTACCGCCACGGCGGTCAAGTGATGATGATCGCCCCATCGCTCCAAAAACCAGGCCCATTCATGGTCTGCGACACCAACAAGTGTACTGGCTGCAAGCGCAAAGCAGAAAAGAACTTGGAATCGCCAACCGAAGGCTTGCCATTTGTTCACCTGCGCCAGTGTCTTCGCGATGAACATTCTGGCCGTCTTCTGTTCCAGCCAGAGGATATCTGCGAGAACCTCCCGGCGTCTTCTGATCAGCCGCTTGACCTCGCGAACGTCGTCATCGTCTGTCCTGGCTTGGGAGCGAAGGTGTACCGCGTTGTGGTGTGCGATGTCAATGGCTGCACGTACTGTAGCCAACGCGAAGCTAGGGGCCTTCCACGGTGATCGAGGATGAAATGATATCCGCTGCTGAGAGGGCTTTCGGACATCACATTCAATCAGACGCCATCGCTCTACGGAGTGAGAGAAGCAAAACCCACCAAGAACTCATGATGGAACGGTAGAAAAGGAAGGTCGCTGAACATGATTACGAACTGAACAGGATCGCGTGCTGGAAATCGCGGCGCTGTACGTCTGGACACGAATGGCAAACGAGCATCAGGATAGGAAGCTATGGGCAGGAGAACTGGGAAGATTTGCCAACAACCTCAGGAGCATCGGATTAGGAGGCTAGAGGAAAAGGGATTGGCAAGCTGTATAATACTCGATAGGATTGAATTGACTTTAATCGTTGGGTACAGCCTCATATGTCTTTCTTGTCAAAATTGATGAATCCAAGATTCGTCACCGTCATCGAATCAATGAGAGCAGAATCAATAGGTTCAGTCCTTCCCTTTCTGTCTCGGCTACATGCAGGAAACGAAATTATCTGCTCTCGATGTTTCTCGGCCGATTTTGGCATGTCTCATGTCTCTTAGCCGAAAATGTGCTTCCTCTTGCCCTTGCGACAAGTTTCATCGTCGTTATCTAGTGCTTCAACGGGGAGAGAACAGCATCGATGGAGCCGATTTTGTTATATGTTGCTGTACGACATCTCCTGATAGTTCGACTGTCACTCTTGTTCGTATATGCTTGGAGGTCCCTGTATGGTTCGAAAATTCTACGGCTTGAATGATGAAGCCTGCCGTCACGGTGGAATCTGTTTACTGGCCTGGCTTCTCACCAGCACTGCGAAAGTGAACATCCAAGGATGTTTCTATCGCTGACATGTAAACTTTTACACCAACATTCGCCACGGTCAACTTTCTCTTTCGCCACACGCTTGGTGGCCTACTCGACTCCACCGCCCTATAACACTCAGCCGATTCAGGCATTCAAATCCAAGCTCTCTAATATCATCTTCTCCTCGCATATTCCCCCAGCATAGCCAGCAACAAAAACTCCAACGGCGGAGCCAAGAAGTGGACTGATCGAGAGCGTCACACGATCCAGACTCTACGATAGGAGTTCCTGTGCAACTCTCGCGATACCTACGATCTTTTGGGCCGTATGTGCGGTCCCGGCTTCGAAGCAGCTGGGAGGCCACACTACTCGCAATAGCAAATCAATGATGAATTCAATCAGCGCGAAAATGCAAGCAAGGCTTGGGAGATTTGGGGCCATATCTTTCAGTCGACTCAGAACCAAAATGGCCCGTACACTCAAGACGAACTCGACATGCGCGAGGAGATCCGAGACATCATCGTCTCTGAGGCAGCACGCATCGGCGGTCGAAACTGGTTGCTTGAGGATGCTAGTGGCAATCTGTCTCGCGCGATCAATCCGGTCTCTTTGTCTCCAGCAGCTGGGCCCCTTGCGGTCGCTGCAATTGCGCGAGCAGCAGCAAACGTGCAGGCGGCTGTCAATGGTACTAGTGTAGTTATACTGCCTTGATCCGCCCTCTCAAGCACCTCAACGCTTCTTCCTAGCCCAGCCATGTCAGTACTAGCCCGCTATCCTACGGCGGAAAGGCCAACGACGAAGACGATTACTTTCCCGGCTAGTACGGTAACTCAACCGCCAGCTTCGCAACCCAGTGACAAAGAAGCGGACGCCGTGGATGAAGGTGCACGTACGTCTCCAGGTGAGGTCCAAGACGATATGGCCGCCGTGAACAAAGTCCAGCCCGACGAAAATCCAGCGCAATCCAACCAAGCCAACACTCTCACCGGCGGCAAATCCTTCCAATCCTGGTTCCAAGACATCCTCGAAGACGACGACATCTCCGACAACGAAACCATCTTCACCATAACTCCCACCGGCCGGACCGCTCTCCAAGCCCATCAAAAACTCCCCATGGTTCACCAAGACTACCTCGCATTGAGATCCCGACTCCCGCAGAATTCCAAGTACATCACCACCGTCCCAGCCTCTTTCCCCCTCATTGACAATTCCGACGAGGTGTACAAATACGGTGGCGCCGCGATCCGCACCATCAACTCCCTCACCGGAAAAGTCACAGACGTCATGGTCTGCTCCAAGGATATCTGCAGGAATGAGCGCTGCTACACGTCAGACCATCCAGCCAAGTCACGCCGCAGGTCAAGTCCATTCAGGGGTATGCCGTTTGTTCATGTTAAGCGTGACTGTGAGGTTCACGATGGTGTCATCTACTTCGAAGGTCACCTGGATATCCCAAACTCCAGCTGGTCTTCTTTGCCACCGCGAGTGGAGGAGATTGATGTTATGTTCGTTGTTGATGACGAGGAGGTGGAGGTGAGGGCTCAGGGGTGTGTGGTGGAGCGTTGTCCGATTTGTCGGAGATTGGTGGTTGAGGAGGAGGAGGAGGAGGAGGAGGAGCAGGCGAAGGTGACAGGTCGGCGCAATCCAGGGCGAGCTGCGAAGGGGAAGGTAAGGCTTGGGAGTCTTGGTGATTGAGATGGTCTGGCTGGCGGAGCGGTGGTGTTGTGGTTTGCGAATGCGCTGTCAGGCGCGGAAATGGACGAAAGTTTCTGCTGACGGTGGTTGTGGTCGATATCCTTTGCGCAACGAGGCCTTCTGCAGGTTCAATAGCATACATTCATCACAGTAACAGATACCCGCCGCACTCGTGTCCCAGCAAGCCTTGTGATGTCCCTCGAATCCTCTTTTCCTTTGCCTTCTATTATGACCTCTCCGTTCCTTAGCAGCGCCTGGCATCTCTTCGTCGGGTGGCAAACGTAGCAGATCTTGATTTCCATGAGTATCGCTCTGTATTCTTCTTCTTGCGGCGGTGCTGGAGGCTGATTCGCTTGTAATCGTGCTATGGCAAAGTCCAGTAGCAAATCAGCAAAAGGGCAGACGGGCGACGGACGAGGGCGTGCAGCATGCGAAATGTGGCGTGAATGCAGAAATTAGCACCGCCGCGAAGATGTGAAGCATGCGTCGTTGACGCTTCAAGGCATGAGTACCTTTCGAAGGCGCTGCGACACTGTATGGCGGCGGAAGGACTCGACCACTGCACGAAGGCGCTGCGACGCTGTATGGCGGCGCAAGGCCTCAACCACTGCACGAAGGTACAGCAAGACCGTAGGACTGCGCAAGACCTCGACGACTGTTCAAAGGCTCAATGGCCGTCAGCAAAGGACAACGAGGTGAGCGAGAAGTAGCAGAGCAAGCAAAGATGGTAATACCGAAGCCTCTTCTCCTCACGCCACCCACAGGGCAACGACAAGATGAAAAAGACCATATCGCAAGCGACAGGAAGCCAGCAAAAATTGCGCTCGAGTACCCACCGTAGCGGTGTACACCCCAGCTCAGAACCGCGCTGTGCAATGCAGTCTGAATCAAGGGGGTTGCAAGGAATTCTTGAGAACCCCAACCCGAACAATGTAAGTATGAAGAAGAAAAAGAAAAATCAGGGGCAAGCTCAGGGGAGGGGGCTTTATATAGGGCGAGGGCTGGCTTGCGTCAGCTTCTAATCACAACTGCTTGCCGAGAGCCGAAATCAAAGCCTTTGTTTACTGTTGTGATTGCGGGTGATGTTCGGTTCGGGGTCAGGGGTCTCATGGCAACAGCAACACGCTGTGGGTTGTTGCTGGAGCTGCGGCTGCTGTGTCGATTATTCATCAAGCAATGATAGACACGTTGATACTCGCTCTGCTGTGGCCTCAATGCAACGACACACGTTTAGGAGCTGGAATGTCTTTTATGCCAAGAAATGCATCCTGCATGTGAAGTGCCAAGCTTTCTGGCTGCCGCTGCGAAGACTGTGTCTCGCGCGAACTCTCCGCCTTGAAAGCAATCCTCGACATCACAACTACTCTATACAAATCTCATGAACTTCGTAGACGAAGTGGACAACAAGTTATTGGATCAGAACAACATTCAGCACTTTGGCCATTCCTTTCTCTGCAGACCGTACAAAATAAGCCCGCAACGTGCTGCATAACCAACTCTTAACTGAAGTCGTAGCGATAGCATTATCCGAGTGCCTTCCAATTCAATCCAATCGCTGTCTAGATCTATAACCATGCTTCCGCTCCCACGTACCAACACCTGCCTTTCCACTCAACATTCATCTATCACAAATCACTCATTAGCGTCCACCCACAGTGATCTGTCGAAGACACCATCTTCTAGACTCTATTCTCCAACCGTCTCTTCAGTCCGAGTGACGAAAATCTCACCAGTCGAACCTCCAGCGAAGTCTAGAAACTCTGCAGCATGTTGTTCCCAAAACTGGCGGAGATCTGAGAAGCTGTGCTTCCTGAAGAAGTCGATACCGCGCGCTGGGCTGGTGGGTCAGTCTCGCTTTCTTCTTCTAGGTCGGGAGGAAGAACGCCTGGGTAGTCTGGAGATCGGTCGGCAACAGTCAACAAGGTTCCTCACCTTCGTCGCCGTGGTAGGGATCGTGCTCTGCCTCACCCTTGGTGAGATCGATCTGGGAAGCTGCATCGCTTTCCCTAGGATTGATCGGGGAACCAGCACCGTCTTGTATGAACTTGCACAGCTCTCGCTATTCTTCTCGTCATCTTCTAGCCCATCGCCAGCAGAATCTAGCAATGGGTGTGACGCGAGGAGCTGTGCCGCTTCTACCAAAATTGAAGCAAGGCCCTGCGAAATCAAGAGTGTCTCTGCCTCCGACTCCGCAGCAGGTACTACCTCAATCGGCGTCATAGCACTATTTACAGGATAATTTCTACAATTGCTCGGCGCAGCGTAGTAGAATATCACCTTCCGGAGCTTCTCGCGCATATCGTGTATATACCGGCATTTATATATCGCCAGAGCTTAACGGGTTTGCTGGCTTTGTCATTCGTCTCGGACGATGTGGGCTTAGTAGGCTTTGCGTTGCTTCTGGGTGTAGTAGTCGTGGTGCATTCGGCCGAAGAGGCTGTAGGGGACGATAAAGCCTTCTCCGCTGTCGAGGCCGAATTCTACCGTAAGGATTTGGTGGGTGTAGCGCTCTTAGTAGAGGGATTTAAGGCTTCGGGTCTTGAAGGTGTTCTTTGGAGGCATGGTATAGAGGAGTAGGGGATCTTGTGGGGAATTAGCTCGCAAAGACAAGTGCGAAAACGAAAGATAGACAGATCTAGTCAGCTTTGACTGAGCTGCTCGTTGGAAATCATCGAACGAAATCGAGCATTTTCTACAAAACTGGTCTACATTCTTCATCAACAACCACCAAGCCATCTACATATCAATGTAGGGCCGACAAAGGGATAGTACGCATGTCGCGCAAACCCGTATTCCTCAAGCACGGCTTCCAGTCCAAGATAGATCGCCAATCCTGCGACTGCAAGCCCAAGCCACGTCAGAAAGCCGGTATCAACATTGTAGAAAAGCTCGAGTATTTCCTGCATCCCTCCCCGGAAAACCGACACATACGATCCACCGCAATGCTTGCAGATCGTTCGTCCGTGATGATCTGTATACGGTATCAAGTCTGCAGGATCGATATCATCCACACCATCCGTCTTCTTCGGGTCGTTGATAGCAGCAAGATTCCTCCCACCCCAATGACAATTCCAAAACGTGAACAACGCGTAAAGTTTCACCAGACTGTGAAAGTACGCGAAAGCAAAGTAGCCAGGCAACATTCTCAAATCTTCGGGATGTCGAAGGAAGTAAGGCGTCAGTTTTATCATCTTGGTCGCAACAATCCAGACTCCAAGCGTCCAGTACGCTGCTGTCGTGCCATAGCCAGATCGATGGAGGAGATAGGCCAGTCCGAAGTCGTTGAAGAGCGCGAAGTTGAAGAAGCTCGAGATGTATACTGCGTAGACACACCACGGCTGTCGATACCAGACTGTACGGTCCGTGAACAGAGAACAGCTGTTGCTTCGCCAGGTTGTGCGTACCCATCTCAAACATTGGCTGACGAACTTCGGATACGTGCCCAGTGTAGTCTCGATACAAGCATCTTCACAGTATTGAATCTTAATGTCCCAGCCTTTCTTCACCTCGTAGCGGGTAATATAGTTGTCATCATCAGGATTCAGTGGCCCGCACAAACCAAAGAAGAAGCGCTCATTCGTAAAGCCCTCCAAGAACTCCTCCGATTGCAGGATCCGTGTCCGATGAAGCGACGTACGACCAGAAATAACGAAAACTCCCCCATCGATCGTGTTTGTCGCCCGGATCTCAAAGTTGTGCCGCTCGAGGTAGATCGCTCCTAGCATATTCCAATATGATCGAATATTGAAGCCTGTGTCCGTTCGACGAACGCGTTTGTTCGTACCCACAGCTCCGACTCTTTCGTCTTCGAAGGGTGCAATCGCTGTCGGGAGGAATTTGCCAGGCCATATGACGTGGTCGTCAAGAAGGACTGTGATTTTCCCCTTGGCTTTTGGAATGGCTGTGGCGACTTGATGACGCTTGTTGGCGATCGGGCATGTGTGGACGGTGATATGTGTGTCGAACTGCCAAGAGTAGTGGCGAGCGACCGCCTTGCAGAGTGTTTTGTTCTCGCTACCGACTGTGACGATGAGGATCTCTTTTGGGTTGTTCTGTAGGCAGCTTTCGATGCATTCTTTGAATTCTGGATTCTTTGGGTCGACGGTGGGTAGAATGACACTGCAGTCTCGGGACTTGTATTTGGGATTCCTAGGAATTGGAGCGGGCTGATAGCACCAGAATGAGATCAGGTGGACGACGGTGCGCAGGTAGCGGAATATGAAGACTGCGGTGAACCAGAAGAGTGGGTGGTGGTAGGCTCGGCTCGCGAGGGTATGGAGGTTGAGACCTGAGTCTGCCGAAGACGACGCCATGCTGTGCCACCACTGCCAATCGTTGTGTGTTTCAGGCTTTTCATCTCTCCATTCGATCCTGACATGTTGCTCGAGGTATTGAGAAGCCGTGCAGAGGACAAAGAACAACAATGGCATGAGTCCAGAATCCGACCGATGGAGAGTCGACGGATTTGGCCATCGACTGCCCTTTGTTTGTGCTACCGGAGACGTCTCATCAAACACCGGGATGAACATTTCAAAGGCATGCCCTGTGGAAGTCGATGTGTTGAGAATACCGGAGTGTTCTTGTAATCTCGCTTGAGGCAGGCCGCGCCTAGTTTCTCGAAGTCCTCCGGGTGATTCCTCTGCATAGTATGCCTGTAGTCGATTGAGTCTCTTCTTCCTTCGACGTCCGTATCTTCTGCATCTGAACTCTGCAGGTAACGTTGTACATTACGAATGTAGGATGTTTTCTTCGGCGCCATGGTCTTGAAGCCATCGCGATTTTGGTTGATACCAGCTGCTAGAGGTTGCCTTTCAGAGCTTCAACAGGAAAAGCACAAAGAGAGGGTGTAATCGCACGTGGTATAGACCAGTGAGAACATGTTTTCTTTGTCCCCAGGTCCAGTCTGCCATTTGAAATGTCATGCAAATCAAAACTTCACCCCAAACCAAACATACCACACCGAGAACATCCACCACCATGAAACTCACCACCGCCCTATGCCTATTGATCGCCTCCTTCGGCACCCTCACCACCGCAACCCCCAACCCCGCCAGCGTCCTCGACATAGTCGCCAACCCCAAAGGCGTCTGCCAGACCAAAAACCCGCGCGTCGTCAAAGCCATCGACCTCTTCTGCCACCGCAGCGGCACCAAGCTCACCGTCCCCTCCCTCTTCGCCCATACAGGCGTATATCTCAAACCACAACCTCCGCATTCCCCGAACGAAGTCTTTGTTTGGATCGAGGGGACTTGCAGTCCGCCTCAGTGGGTTCCGCAAGAGGTTTGTCGGAAACAGTTTTTTCAGATGTGTGCGACGGGTGGGGGCAAAGGAGGGGCGAAGGTTCGGTATGGGAGGGATGGGTGTCAGGGGTGGAATATTTTGGTGAAGAAGCCGTAGATCGAGGCATGTGGGGAATTGGGGGAGTTTTGGAAAAAAGATATCAGGGAGTGAGAAATGTGAATGAAGAATTGCGTTATGACGGCTCGCACGCTTGGGCAGAATGTCTCCCACTACTACTACTACTACTACTACTATCGAGGCAGTGAGATGGCGTTTGGAGAAACGAGTGAGCGTCGCGCGGAACAATAAGGGGTTGATCAACTTTTTTTCCAGACAACGTTCAGGCATACATCATCGGTATATACAAATTGCTTGCCACTCTTTGACAGCATTCTCATCACAAAACTTCACCCCTTCCTGCCAACATCTCCTTCATCTACTTGCCATTCCCCCCAGTGCCAGACGGAGCGACAATCGGGCAAGCAGCAAAAGCGGTCATGTTAGAGCTCGCGAAGATGGGATTAACCATCTTCCTCATGAAGTCCAGATTCGCCTGTGGGACGGTAGTGAAAGCCGTATTTCCACCCCCACCGAGAGCAGACGGGACGTTCTCCGTAGCGATCTGGTAAAGCAAGCAAGCAACACCCGCAGCGGTACCGTTGAACATGTTGTTAGAAATCGAAGGACCGAACTGACCGAGCCCAACGAAGGAGTTTGGCTTGCCGGTGTTCCCGCCGAACGCGACGGGGTAGGCCTCGTATTGCTTGAAAATCTCGGCAGCGACGAGGGGGATGGAGTAGGGGTCGACACGGGAGAACCAGTTTTGGGGGAGTTGCTCGTTTTTGAAGAAGTAGTCCATGGTTTGCTTGTCGGGAGTTCCCAACTCGCCCTTGGAGGGGAAGAGTTCGTACAGGAAAGACGCGGCTCCGTACAAGAGGAGGGATTTGGGACCGTAGTAGAAATTTCCGTTGTGGGCGACGGAATCATCGTAGCGCTGCTTGCGGTAGCGGGCGATGTTGGCCTCGTTGCAGCCGGCGGTGTTGACGCCTCCGACGGAGCACTGTTGGATCATCTGGTTGTAGAGGGTGGTGTTGAATTTGTAGTTGTCGCCGTTGTTGAGGAAGTAGTCGTTGCGGGTGAGTGAGGTGTCGCCTTCGAACTTGTTGTGGCCGTTGAGACCTGGCTCTGGACCGAGGCCTGGGGTGGCTGTTCGGGTGGTGGCATCACATCCTAGAGAGAGCTTCATGGTGACTGGATCTCCATCAAGACCCACGCCGAGAGTGGCGAGGAGGACAGCAAGGTCGTAGCCCACGCCGTAGACGTTCTGCTGGGCGTCGACGAGCTCGCCAAAGGTAGTAATGCCATCTCTGGCCAGGAAGTTGTGGTTGGCGGCGGTCTGGCGTCTGTCAGGATTCGTCGTGATTGAAATGAGAGATGACAAGACTTACGTTCAGACCCGGGCATGGTCCACGGATATCGGTGCTCTTTGGTTTCATGTAGGCGTGAGCAGTGTCACCCTAGGATTCAAGTCAGCAATCCGGCAAGATGATGAGAAGCTGAAGAGGGCGCACCTTTGCTGGCACAAGGTTGTTGGTGCAGACCTGGGTACCAGGAAGTGGGTACTTGGCACCGCAGTATGGATACTGTGTGGTGATGCCCTGGGCTGGGACATGGTTCGGGTTGAAACCGCAAGTCTGTTGATCATCTCGACGTTCAACATCGCGGGTCAAGCTCTCGCCATCGAAGTCCCTCTTGGACATGCCAACGGAGTGGGCGACCCAAGGGAAGGCGGCAGCCTGGCCGGCCAAGGCAGCGACAACAACAGCGTTGAGCATGATAGTCGCAAGGGGCGGGAAGATGTTTGGTGGATGGGAAAGACGAACTGAGGGCAGTGATCCGGCCCTTCAAATAAGACCGGAATGTAATCCCGCTTGCTTTGGTACCTCAGCCAGATTCGAAGCGGCTTCGAGACGTACGCTCGCGTGAAGCTTGATGTAGCTTGTGTGCGCTTGTGGCGGGTGGCGGATGCGGCTCACTTTACGGAGAGTGTTGATGAAGGCCACGCTGAGACCGATGAGTTTTTGATCTCCAGATGAGGGCCGATTGGCTTCTGGGGTGCATCTCGCTGGTCTGGAGTAGGCTACAGCTTCGATAGCTTCTACTGCTTGTGGCTGTGGCCTTCTAGGAGCGGACGTGCGTAAGCTCTCACATCTGCGCCGTCATTGGCCCTATAGTGTTCCATCTCCTGCATTGGTGTTGCTGGCCAGCTGATCAAGAGCGGGAAATATCATACGCCAGCTACGTCTATGGCGAAGCATGAATGCTGTCAAGGGCAAGAACACCCGCAATCCTGGATGGCTTTGGCCTGTAGGTCTTTGCCCTTGACTCACGTTCGTCGACGAGAGATTGAGCTGCTTTTTCCCCTTGAGCGGGATGCCAAACTGCGTGTTGGAGGGAAGAACTGGATGCAAGCTAGTCGTGCTTAGATCGTCAATATGCAGCCCTAGAGCAACTGGAAACGGTTGGAGGGGCTAGTTGTGAATACTTTCTAACGGGAGATTTTCAAGCTTGTTTTGTAGTCCTCGGCGTCAAGTTCGCAACCACGTGTGAGGGCTAGGTCGTGGCGTATGGCCATGTGGGCACACTGTCATCGATATCAGCTCCCTAGCCTTTCTGGATGCTCGTCCGGAGCACATTGATCTCTTTCGTCCATTCTCAGCTTCACTCATGAGTGAGATTCTGCGGTGTACCGGATTACGTATCCCCTTCCCTATCCGTGTGCCTTTCTTCTCCGCTGACCGTGCTTCATTCTGGCTTTGCAGAAGTGTACGCCAGGTACACACCAGCTTCATCTACACGACGGGAGAGGCTTAAACCAACGACGAATGGAAGCAGGATGAAGAAGGGCAAGTGAGGTCCGTCTAGCCAATAGCGGGTGGCTTATTACATTCACGACCGAGGTAGCCTCGGCACTTTAATAAGCAAGTTTATTTTGAACCACACTCCTCCCCCTCCCCACTAAGATCTTTACTCAAAAGTGCATTCTGTGCGCTGGAGATACCTAGGCCATAGAGTACTTGAAGTGTGATCGTCGTCTCATTATACAGAAAGAGCTCGGAGCTTGTAGGGACGAGTGTCTGCTAAGGAGAAGGCTCCCAAGACGCTTGGAAACCTCCTCGGTATGGCCGCAGAAGCAATCCTGAGACAGCATAGAGGCCAATAGGAGCTCGAATCACTCGCTATACCATCGCTCGATTGAGGTCAAATGATGTCTAATTGAGAGACTTCCCATTCGTGCAGAGAGGCCAAGGATCTCACGCACACGGTCTGCAATGCAAAGCTTCCACATTTGGTCTGGTCGAAACTGCAGTACGAATAGTTGCTTGCTGTTCCTCACAAATCTGCAGTCATCACTCACCGTTCGCCTTGAATAATATCAAACGTATCAGTCCGAGGACAGCAGAGCAGAGCCTCGGTGACCAGGCCTCCTTAGTCTTTGCAATGCACTAATAAGATTGCTCCCGCTTCGTCCAACACCGAAAGCTTTCGACGCAATTCAAGCCGACACGCAAGCCAAAATTCGACCGACGACCGATCATTTCTGCCTCGGTACTTAAGATGTCTTTATTCGCCCTTCTGTTCCGTGCCTTGCTGAATTTTTCTAAGGCGGCATCGACTCGATCGAGACCCTTATATGTGGACTGAAAGAAGCAGGGGCATACATAGTGGTGTAAGCGGACAGGGAAGAAGAGCTGGGAACTGGTTCTCTAGTATAGGAATCGAAGCCTAGGCGGAAGACCTAGCCCCATCGTCGGCGGCGACGTAACGAGAGTCCTAATACCCCAAGAGAATGCAGCGAAAGCTGTCGGCTAGTGCCTCCCTCGCCGGCAATAATAGGCTAGAATAGTCTCACTCTAGCAGGGCCTCTTCTCTTCGGCATCCTTAATTCCGCCCACTCTAGTATAGACGCAGATCCTACACTCAGGCGTAGAACTCATGCCTTCTTGATCGTTTCTCTCTTGCATTTTAATTCTTTCTACAACGCTCGGCCCCAAACAGGTCTCGCACGAGGCATAATTTCGCTTCACTGCACTTCGTCTATCCCTTCTTCCTTCTTGACTTTCTACCACTTCAGGCCTCCGAGCTCTATACCCACACCGACAACGACGCATTATCGTGCTCGTAGTGGGAAAGGTTACGGACTTGATTTCCACGTCTACCCCTTCTCGTCGTCGTCGAAAAAATGCATACTAAATCCGGAAAAAAAAAACCAAAAGTTGTTTTCGTTTCGAGGATTGCGCGGTCGAGAAGTTTCTTCGGTGCCGGGCATACTTTTAGGGAAAGGAATCGGATTTTCTGCGGCTTGGGAGGGTGTGAGGATGGAGAAGGAGAAGATTTGGAGGAGGTTATTAGGAGGAGGTTAGGGTAGGTGGGAGAGGGCGTGGAGGAGGTAGGATTTTTGTGATGATGTGTTGGGGGCTCCAGCTTAGGGGAAATCTGCTTCATTATGTTCTTTAGAGTTGAGAGATGGGCGGTAGATAAGAAAAGAAAAAGCTTGCTTGCTTGTAGAGACCAAGATAGAGCACACTTCCCCATCGCCACTCCCACCCTTCCCAATTGCGAGTGCGAGCCAATCCACTACTACTACCTTCCCCCCCCCCCCCTTCACAAATCCCTCGTCAAAGCAAACACCGCCATCTTCGCCAACCTAACCGAATAATCACTGCAATCCACATGCGATCCCCCCGAAAGAAAATTTTCCGCAAGTCTACACGGCGCAACCACCCCCCCGGCAGCCTGAAACCTCGCCTCAATCTCCTCCGCCTCATTCCTGCGTAGTCTCGGCCGCCGCGAGGGACAACCATTCAAATAGAACGGCGACGTGATGACAGCCGTCGTAAACGCATCGTAATACATCGAGACCTCGGCGTCCTCCTCCTCCTCGACGAAAACCTGCCATCGCGAATGCGAGATTTTCGGGGATGAAGTATTCTGAATCGAAAGTTTGATCAGTTCGTTTCGGACATGTTGAGGCCGGGCTAGGCAGCCCGATAGGCGGAGGAATCGGCTGAGGAGCCATGAACGGGTGTGTGCGGCGGCGGTGCGCTGTTTGATGCGGCGGAGAGTGAGGGAGGCGGGGGCTTGGAAGTGGAGATCGGATTCTTCGGCGAGGATGTGGTCGGTTCGGAAGAAATGTTGGAGTTGGATGGTACATTCGTAGCCCTTGATTCTGGGCTCGAGGGTGGAGAGGAGGTTGGAGATGACGGGTTCTTCTTTTTCGCGGAGTTTGTGGAAGGCGGTGCTGTGAGGTGCGGAGCCCCAGTGGCTCATGTGGATTGTGAGGCGGAAGTTCTGGAGGGATGGGAGTTGGATGTGGGCATGCTTCAAGGTTCGACGGATTTGTTTTCGAACTTGTGAGGCTGCGGCTTCTCTGGGCCAGCCTCGGTAGCAGCAGAGTGGATCGATAGATACCTGAAGCTCCACGTGGCGGATCTTGCTGAGTTGAGATGTGTTGAGGGCTCGTTCTGGCTGGTCGTCGATGCTGGCCGTCCGATAGTCGAGGAGGATATCGCGTTCGGAAAGTAGAGCCTCTTCCATAATCGCCAGGAGACGGTGTGCGCCGGCGCCGGGGATGCCCAGTAGATGCTTCGAGAGGGCCTCGGTATTGGAGTAGCAGTCATGACGAGTGATCTCGACCACCACTGGCAGGGCCAGATCGCAGACGACATACTGGAAGACTGCTATAATGAGCTCGTGCGGAAGTCGTCCTGCTGCCAGCTTCTCGACAATGCGCTGGCGATGGCGCGGAGCATTTATGGGTAACATGGTGCTTTTCATGAATCGGTGGGAATGCGTTCATCAAGACATGCACCACCGAACTCCGGTTTGCAATTTCGAACATCTGTGGATGCGAATCGATTTCTTGGCAGCAGTCAGCAAAAGAGTAACGCAAACGACTGGCTCCAGAGAAAGTCAAACGCTGACACGAATCAGCTTCATGGTAAGAATCAGCTTCTGGTCAGCATCTACACATGGTATCTCATCGCTCTACCGTTTCCTCGTCAACCCTTCCGCATGAAAGAAAGCCTCCCAGTGCGAATTGTGCGCTGGCTGTTGAACAAGTCCCCATTTCTGCATCTCAAGCCTCACATCCATGTTGATCGGGTCTTTAGTCATGGGATGCCAATGCTCAAAGTCGACTAGAGATCTGGATGTTTCGTTCAGTGGGAGTGCTAAGATCAAGATCACGGTGAGACGCCACGTACAATCTTCGAGTGTCTGCTTCCCACAAGATGTTTCGCAGGGCGCAATCGTAGGGGTCGAAGCCCAGGCTCCAGACATGTCTGGTTCGATGTCAGCCTGCATGCACGGCCGCGGAGGAGGATGCGTGTCGCACCGGATCGCAGGCGTGAAAGCGTCTCGGATCTCCTCCCTCTGTGCGTCTTCCATACTCCAGAACTTGAGATCCATCAGATGCTGGCCCGGCATGAGAGTCATGACGATGTAGGCGATGTAGCCTCCCGGCATAGGTCCACGTCCATCCTGCACGACGGTCTTCCATGCAATGAGATGCGGGAGGCCTGGCGACTTGGTATCGGCGAACGTTTGCAAAGCCTTGAGCTCGTCTTTGGTATGCTCGCCGGGGCCCGGGATGGGCGTCGTCAGGCCGCCTGCCAGGACGGATGGAGCTCTGTGGGAGGGAGGGAGTAAGCAGCTGTGCAGGGGCGGGGTGGATCATACTGTATGGCGACACATGTCAGACGCACTGGACTTTGCACTTCAGCACGAAGAGCGCATCGGTGCCAGCCTCATTCGACGCATCAGGCTGTATCCGCCGGCATATGTACAGTACCCTCGCCGCTGCGTCGTCTTTGCGGAAGTCTGTTATCGGCCGCACGCGCTCAAAGGCGGCGCCAAGCTCGGGAAAGTCCACAATGCGCTCCAACAGCCTGTCCGCATCGTCAAGGGTCAGGCCGTGGTTCATCTTGGTCGGGCTGGATGGTATTCATGTTGCGGCGATGGAGTTCGTGGGTGGAGTTCTTTGCGGTGACGTCGCAGGCTCGGATGAGTGGAGGAGTGGAGGGATTTCGAACGACGGCTATTCTAGACCTGGCGGTCACGGCGGAAGGTTTCCGTGCTCATGACTAGGCAAAGTCTTCGATCGTTATACATCTCGCAATGAAGCATTCGATCAAGTAAAAGAAGTTATAATAAAGATTCTAATTATAATATCCCATCCTCGCAAAAGTTCCCTTCCATTCTAGCGCCTGCGCTTTCGATTACTCATAAGCTGTTATACTGATACATAACAATAACGTCCATCTATATCTATACTCTTGGGTATCCTGTTCTTCGATTTCGGGAAATGATTACCATGTATACGGCGTAATGCCAGTCGGTCGTGCAGTCGAGCTTAAGCCAGACGGGATTGGCTTGGGATGCGGCCAGCTGCCAGTTGGGTATGGGTAGCCTCCAGTCGGGTAAGCGCCGGTTGGATGAGGCTTGCCACTGCTTGGCTTTGGGTTTGGGTTTGGGTATGGTGGTGGGAGTGGGTGCTTGGTGGTGGGAGAAGCAGTTGGTGCTGGGTATGTGAGTGTCAAAGTCGTAGTGTAGCCGTAGGCGAGTGTGACGGTGACGGTCTCGGTGTGCTGTGGCTGACTTGGGTATTGAGGAGCTGGCGATGGGGCGGTGATGTACTTTGTCACTGTGACTTGCGGTGGGCAGACTGGTGCTGCTGGGTAGGAGTGATGCGGCGGCTGCGCTGGTGGGGAAGGCTGGATTGGGTTGACGGGAGGGGTGGGGACTGTAACGAGAGTTGAAGTCGCCAGGTAGGTAGTGGTGATGTATTTGGTCGACAAAGATGTGCTCCACCAGGTCTGGTCGTGCGAGGTGACTTGGGTACTGCAAGGCACGAGCTTCGTGATCGTCTTGGTGACGGGTACGGTGATTGTCGTTGTGAGGTGTATCGTGGGCGTGGCCGAGGCGGACTTGGTCGTGGTTGCTGGGGGCGGGAGAGCATATCCGCTGCCTGTTGGATATGGCGGCTTCGGGTGATCGCCAGTGCCATGAGGAGGCTTTGGCCAGCCCCCAGTCGGGTAGGGATGTGGGTGAGGCTCTGGATGTCCGCCTGTGGGATAAGGATGAAGGATGCTTTTGGAGGTAGAGCTGGTGGTTTGCGAGCCCGACCGAGAAGTGGAGCAGCTGGTTGTACTCGGTGCTGGAAGACTGCTGCTGCTGCTGCTGCTCGATGGCCATGTTCCGTTTGATCCGTAGTAGCCTGGCATGGCAGATGCTGCGCCAAGAAGCGCGAGAAAAGCGAAAGTGGAATACATTGTGCCGTGTTTCTCAAGCGATTTGGAAGAGCGTAAGAAAAGCGAAAGTATTGCTGTAGCGTAGATGTTTGACGAGCGAGGGAATCGTTAGGACAAGCGAATGTGATAGCGACCCAGACACAAGGAAACAAGGAAATAGGGAAATAGGAGACTGGGAGAAGGTGTTGCTGATGCTAGACAGTCGTACTAGAGGCGGCATGATGGGCGTATGATATAGGCAGCCTGTATAACCGGTGGTGTCGTAGTCGGTGGTGTGACAAAGACGTCGGTTTCTAATCGTAGACGGCTGCTGATGCTACGCTCTCCAGGCTGCCAGGCGTATGCACCAGTCGGCCCTCGTATGGCGGACTGCCCGTCCGTGGCGGTCAGCCTCACGTACTACCGCTTGACGATACCGCATTGGGCCGTGGCTGAAGGCTGTGCTGACGCTGTCGCCGGCCGGCCCCGGCATCAGCAGTGCTGTCATTGCTGGAATCGTCCAGGTGTGGCAGGCGGTCTTCGCAGCAGGATCGATGGATTCGTGATGGGCCGGGCTCGAATCTGCTGACGTTGTTGTGGTGGTGAGTCGAAGGGAGAAGCAAGAGGTTTTTCCGATCCCGCTAACCACTTTGGGAAGCGCCAAGAGTTGCAGGGGCTGTTCTATTTTGATTCACGCACTCGTTCTCACCACCACACCGTCATTGCTTGACGGTATGCAACCCACTCCCACGTCCGCATCGTCCCATTCGCAAATTTCCCACGGGAGCGGATATCGCAAAACCGGCCATCCCAATGTCGCCCATACGAAGCATCCACCTTGCGCCCGACGAGAACGCCGAAACGCGGAGGAGATGAGACTGCTTTGTCGCGACAGCCATCAGAATCAGCCCACAGTAGCGGGAGGACACAAGCAAAATTGGTGCGATATACATGCATGCGGTGACCGGGAGCTTCGAGAGCGCGGAGGCCTATCAAAGACTAAAGAGCCGGCGATATTGGCATAACATTTCCGCACTCGGTTCTGACTCCCCCCTCCGGGCCTGGGTTTGCCGCGCAAGAACAGATACATGCAGCGATTTAGCATGAACTTGCTGCTCTCGTGTGGCTGTCTGTCGGTACTTGGGTGGATGCTGGCCAATGAGCCAGAACGCCATGCTTGGAGCCTCACGCGTGAAATGCAAGCGACACCTTCTGCCATCCTGCCTGCATTCATTGACCAATGTCGTCTTGCTATGGACCTCGTAGGCTGACCATGTCCCAGACGTTCTTGGCTCAGGCCTCCGCTCCCAACGGACGAGGCGAAGCGGATATTCAGATCTTGCCCCGATGTCCTTTGGGTGCCGCCTTCACCACGGTACTGGCGCCTGGAGACTGTGTCATTCAATTCTTGAATTATGCCGATTTGCAAGCTTTTAACCACACTAGCATCCCCTCTGGAATGGCGTGTCCATCGAACTGAAAACGTGTTGCGAAAATCGCGGTTGATCTAGATGAGCTTCCCGGCCGCTTCCCTTTCGCAAGAGAGACGAGTCATGATTCCAGCATCGACTCTTCCTTCTGCACTCAGAGCTTTCACTCTTTACTCCCAGACTGCTGCGGCGATACTCTCATTCACGTGCTAGCATCTCAGTCACGGCCTCTGCGCTGCCTAGATGTCCCTAATCACGCTCCTAGTCCTGACCCATTCACAAACCTTTGTCTCCATTCATGCTACGAATTCACAAGTAGTGCGACCATGAAGAGCTCTTTGTTCGATATGCCCTCCTACAACGCATTGTTCTCGGCGACACGTTGGCCTCGGAGCACTTGGCCGCCCTGAAATTGACGTCTTCTTCCACCAACACTGATCCTCCTTCTTCACTACACTTACTGCCTCTTCTCATACCTGCCTGGCGCAAGTACTCCCGAAGAAAGAGTCCATACACGGAAAAGTCGCTAAACTTCCCAGTCCACGCCCCAAAATCCATCGCGAAACACTTCGACTATGGCCGGTAACAACTCATACGTTGAGCCGCGCTGTCCATTCTGCAATGAACGTCACCAAGGTCGGGAGGATTGCGTGAACGCCCTGGAACAAGGGGAAAGCTTTTTGCGCGCAGCGAGGCTTTCGACGCGCAGGACTGACGATGCCATAGTTATTGACCAACTCACCCATCACGAACACCCTCCTCAAGACATGCCTAGCAGAATCAAGCGCCGTAGACTCTCCGACGCCGCCCCAGAACCAGAACAGGACGTCACTCAAGCCGACTCGAGATCTATCATCGTGCCAGGGTTCCCGTTAGAAGGAGATCCCTTCGGCCCACACTGGAGTATCGCAGAAGATGCAGGCAGCTACAACCCTCCCAACGCCCCAAACATCGACGTCTCCCCCAAAGTCACCCAACAAGACTGGGATCGCATCATGGCATCTATCCCACCCCACGATCGTATCGGCCTTCTCAAACAAGACTACCACTTCAACAACAAATGGCTGATCGGCAAACCCATGTTCCCTCACCAACTTCCCGACCGCGCCAGAGCTGATCTCAACATGATCGACGACGAGCAAGGCGGCTTTGAACCCCTCCCTCCTCCGAGTCTGCCCCACGATGAGCAGCTTTGGAGCTTGCATGCTCAGACTCATACTTTTGATCACAGCACTGAGAGTTTTGTGCCGGTTGATCAGGAGCCGAAGCGTGCGGAGAAGAAGAGTTTGCTGACTGAGGAACAGATGGAGAGGAATGTCACAGGCTTCTTGACGAAATCTCCCGCTGAGCGGTCGAAGCGTACCGCACATGACGAGTTCTTTGCTCCGGAGGCGTAGAGAGTAGAAAGGGAAAGGTTTGTCTACTACATTTTGGATTGCGTGGTTAGTACTTGTTCTTGCTTTCAGCTCTCTTGCTTGCCTTTCTTTGCTCGGGCTGCTTTCTCTTAGCTAATGTTTGCTGCCACGTCAGCAGAAGGAATAAATGCATATCAGTCTTCCTGATACGAAATTAAATTTTCTTCCTATAGCATAACTTCCCTCTATAGCATTGGTGGGTAAAGCATATCAGCCAGACCTTCTCTCTACTTTTCTTTCCTTTATAACTATGAAATTTCACCTCCTCCTAGACTTTGAACTTCAGCACTGCATATGAAAGTGAAAGTGGCAGGTGTTTGAAACTCCGCGCCTGAGAATAATTCACATGACGATGGCAGTGAGCCGTTTGGTTACACATGCTATAAGCCGCTTCCTTGTGCTTCGCCATCAACTATTACGGGACGACTCTCACTTATTCACTCAACCGATTCATTCATATGCGCTACCATTTACGCACGGGCTCTGTTCGTTTCAAACCCTCACTTCGACTTCTAGGCTGTATTTAAAGCTCTCTTCTTCTACCAACTTCTAAGACTCAATACCGACATCCGCTCTTCGAGATCGACCTCCAGATTCCAAAAACAAGACCTACTTGCCACAACACCTTACATCCTAGACACGCACGCTTATACCGACTATGGATCTCGACATCCGCATTCCGCTCGAGCCTAACTTCCTCCCAAACACTATCGCCGAAATCGTCGCGACCGGAGGCATCAGATACAGCGACTTCCTCACGGACTCTGAGACCGAATGGACGGTAAGTGTCTCATGGAACTCCCAATAAGCTACCCAGTACTCATTCCCTCTCAGGCATACCCTGGCGACTGTGCCTTCTGCATGGGCCGCCTGGACTCGAGCTCGAACGACTGTCGCGATTCGGTCTGGAGCTACCTGGGCCGTGGCGAACCCAACATCCAAGACCAGTATATCATTACCACTCCGCCCTGCAGCCACCACTTCCACGCCGGTTGTTTTCACGAGGCGACGCAACAGGGTAGCGGTATCAACAAGTGCCCAATCTGCCGTACGAAGTGGTTTGATGCCGCGCAAGATCTCCAAAAGGCACGGAATGTCAACTTCGCGATCACGCGCATGATGAATGGCGAGTTCTCCTTGCCATCCACTCGCAGCATCCGATTGCAGTCGTACGATCTCAGCGAGAGCTTGGTCATTGCGGCATACGCCCTGCGGACTAGAATTTCGACGTACAATGCACCTGAGGTAAGCCAATGTCATCGCAATTGAAAAGAATGGCGCTGACAATCTACAGATCACCCAGCACGGCCCTACCGTGCTCACCGCCATTATCAGTCTCGCCCGAGCAAGTGACGGAGCGAGAGTTGATGTGCACGGCTTCCTCACCCAGCTCTCAGCCCGTGCGACCCGTGTGACGTACGGCATCTATACCAAGCGTCCCGGTCGAGATCCTCCCGCACAAGCCATTACCCTGCAGAGCTTCGCTAGTGAGGTGTTGACTATAGGGCTCGGTTACTATCTGACTGGATGAGGAATGCTCGGTAGGGCGGAAGGGAAGGCAGGGGAGGAGGCGCAAATGCTCAGGTGTCAGACGCTGGCTTTCGCAGAGCTGTGATATGCGATGCTGTCACAGTTCGCATTGGGGAGATGGATGCAGCTACGAGAGTCTGAGTTGCTATATCCTCAACAATTATACGCGATTTAGCCTCCGAGGATTTAGCTATCGTCCTAGCTATCTAGCAATAGGACCTTACGGTTGCTCAAGTTCTCCACGACGGCGAAGGCAACAAGAAACTCCGCTTAGCCTTATCGCTCTTTGGTGGCGGCTTCGCTGGGTTCTAGAAGAAGTTCGTAGGCGCTATAGGAGAAGTGGACCACGTTGGCAGAGTTACTGTGGACCGCGATGGCAGACTTGCTGCTATCTACTTCGGCGCTTAGGCCCTCGCCCTAGCTACGAGATTCTACATGCTGAAGATGGGACAGCTAGAGGTTCTTGAAAAGCCGGAACCAGGCATATGGGACTAGACGAACGAGCTCATATAGCTCACTGCGAAGGATCCAGCTTTCGAAGGATACCAAGCCATTGAGGCATTGTCGTTCGGGCTGGTGTGTTGTATTGGAGCGAGAATGTGGAGGAGCATATTCGGATAGCTTATGAGAGCCCGGAGGACGAAATTAGCTCTAACGGCATGCTTCCACAGTGGCCTTGCGTTGTGAGGCGTAGAGGATAGTAAATACATTGTCAATAAGAAGAATGAGGTGAAATGGATTGATGGAGAACGTGAAGTCCAGTCCTTGCTGCCAAGCCCTTTCACGTGAGCGGCTTTCGGTCCCTCCCATCCATCCCTGCCTGCTACCCGAGGCATGCTTCTCCAAACAACACCTCCCCTTCGCTCCACCACTATCCCTCTTGACTCTTCAGCCTCATTTCAAGATCAGATCTCGCGGCCACAATGTCTCAATCCACCTCGGGAGCAGGCGTAATCGTGGTGCCTACGCACACCAACCGCCTCAAACCCCCTCACGTAGCCGGCGTCGACGTCACTTTGCGCAACGACAACATCCTCCTTATCACCTACAACAGACCCAAGCAAATGAACTCGATCACACACACCATGAACTGGCAACTGCAACAACTGTTCGACTGGTTCGATGCCGAGCCGACGTTGCGTGTCGCAGTGATTACTGGAACTGGCATGAGAGCTTTCTGCTGTGGCTCAGATCTGAAAGAGATTGAGCGGGCGGGAAATGCGAAGCTGGAGTCGGATGAATTGAAGAAATCGGAGCCGTATCTCCATGAGCATCCGAGGAGTGGGTCTACGGGGTCGAGTAGGAGAAGAGGGAAGAAGCCGGTGTTGGTGGCGGTTAATGGGCTGGCGCTCGGTGGAGGGTTAATTCGTGAGGGTCTTCGTGTTGGGTCGTGCAAGGGATCTCTCCTGACATGCCCGTCCAGAGACATCGCAATAGCGTCCCCGACAGCCAAGTTTGGACTCCCAGAAGCTCGTGTTGGCGTTTACGCGTACGGTGGCGGCCTGCTAAGATTGGTCCACGCAGTAGGCATGCAGAGAGCTACCGACATCGCATTGACATGTCGACAAGTCCCTGCCGAAGAAGCGCTTCGTCTCGGTCTCATCGCTGGCATTTCAAAGACTCCAGAATCTGTGCTTGAGGAGAAGCTTGCCAAGGCAAAGGAGATCGCGAACATTTCTCCGGATGGCACGATCGTCACGAGAGCTGGTCTTCGTGAAGCATGGGAAACTGGCAGCATTGAGCGAGCGTTTCAAGTCACGCACGAGCAGCTTTACGACAAGCTTATTGCTAGCGAGAACTGTGCTGAAGGTTTGGGGGCTTTCAGGACGAAGAGGCAGCCGAAGTGGAAGGATTCGAAGTTGTAAACTTGTAACAACATGTGGCTGCTAATAATCTTGCAGTGAGTCTATGTACACAGCCAACAGTACGCCCGACCCACAGGGTGGCGGCTCAGCATGACTACAATTTTTCTTGAAGCTCATCACCAATGCTCCCGCGAACGCCATTGCCCAGCAATACCAGGCTAAACAGGATCTCATGGATCACCGGGAGTCGTCAGAGCCACTAAAAGAATCCACCAGTCGTCGGCGGACCTCCAGACCCGAACCCCCATCCACGAAGCTGCGGCGCATAGCGCAGACCAGCATTCCGCGCCTGCCATTGCCCATACCGCTCGGCACCTGCAGAGCCCGCCCACCCACCGTTGCGTGCCCATTCAGCCGCTCCAAAATTCGGGTACTGACCGTAAGCTCTTCGCCGATGATTACGATCCAGCACACCGCGAAGACCGCCGCCTAGACTGCTGTAGTCGTCAAGGCCGTAATCTCGAAAACCTCGATTTCCGTATCGATTCCACGTTCCTGCCATTTGCGGTTCAAAGTGCGATTGGAAATGTTGACGTTCCTTGTTGTGCTTGGATATCTTGTGCTTACGTTGCTTCAAGCTTTTGGTAATGGGCAGAGTGTCTACGTTCGAAAAATCTTTTTAACTAACCTTAGGATTGCCACAGATTTCCTTGAATGGCATGTCTTCGTCGCCCGTCAACGCCGCCGCTATTATGGCATACATGGCAGCCGTGATTTCATTTAGAAGGCGAAATACGTATAAGGACAAGACAGACCGTGAAGTATAGAGAATTTACCCGCAGTCTCGCTGATTCCTTACCAGATATTTTTCATCTGCACTGTCTATCTACCGCATATCGAATCCTCGTCGACGTTAATCAAGTCCTTCTACAATTCGACTCCACCAGCATAATTCCCTCCCAACCTGCTCAACGCCATCAACTAAATCTCCCACCGATTTATCAAATCCAAGTTCTCATCCCCCTACTACCTAAAAGAACCCCCCATACCGCGGCGGCCCTCCAAACCCTCCTCCCCATCCACGATACTGCGGTGCATACCGCAAGCCCGCGAATTGATTCCGCATCCCAGAGTACGCGCTCGCTCCAGCCGGACCCGCCCAACCTCCGCCTCGAGCCCATTCTGCTGCGCCATACGTCGGGTACCGCTCGTATGCGTTATTCATGTGGTTGCGGTCGAGAACGCCGCGAAGACCTCCGCCGAGAGCACGCGTGTCGTTGATGCCGTAGTCGCGGTAGGGGCGGCCTTGGTTTCGGGAGCGGGGGTAGACCATTTTGGGGAATTTGTTTGGTTGGAGATGTGGTGTGGGTTTTGTCGTTTGGGTTCACTTGGTATTGATGGGTTTGGATCTTCTTTCGTGTTCTTAGGTTCTTGTTGATAAGGGAAAGGCATAGGTTCGTTCGCTGACTGCTTTTATTCGATTTGCGAATGGCCACACGCTCTGGTGAAGCGTGGACTTCGAACTATGGCATGCTCTTTGATGCTACCTTCGGGGTTATATACTTTGTTAGCCATCATACTAGAGCGTGTCTCTACGGGCGGTAAGGAGCAAGGTGAGGTATTCGTTATGTCGTCTATTAGTAAAATGTGAAGGGAGCAATATTAGAAGATATAAAGAATAGTTCCTTAATCCAGTTCAAAAGTGCTTTACTTACCCTAAAGTGTCTAAAACCAAAGTCCGTTCTAGCATTCTGTATAATTCTACGTTCGATGAGTTGCAAAAGTGCTTTACTTACCTCGAAGCGTCCAAACTCCAAGTCCGTCGTTCTGCCAGTCTACCTTCTATGATCCCACGTTTTATCCGAGAACCAAATGCAGCACGACCAAGCCTCAACAGTCCTTACAGCAAGCTATGAAATTCCCGTTTACGAAAGAGCCAGTAGGATGCTTATCGTAAATCCCAGGATGGTCCAGAACAAGCTCCAGGAACCATACGAAAAGACGAAAACGGCAGCGTTGACGAGAAACAGCGTCGGCCAGACCCAATTCAGTCGCGTCAGGACCCAATCGTTCGTGGTCGAGGGTAAGCGTTCGAGAGCGGCTCTGATGATTGATGGGATTCCAATCAGCGAAGCAAAGGAGAAGAATTGCATTCGTGGAATCATCAGAACAACGATTCGGAGGAGAGCCATGGAGCCGAGGACAGTGGCTAGGTTCTCGAGATTGTCGGCCGTTGTGTCTTTGAGCTTGGCTCGAATTGGCATCCAGATTTTCTGGGCTCGGAGGTAGAGAATGTGTCCCTCAGCGAGGCCGCAGACGAGGAGTTTCTGGCGCAAGGGTAGCTGAGATGGACCGTAGTGGTTCTGGACGATCTTGAGCCCTTGGCGTCGATGGCACGATATGACGTGAGGGAAATCTGCTGGGTAGATTGTCGCGCCTGGGACCTTCGCCTCGGGGTACATTGCCATACCAGAAAATCGGTCTTCTAGCCATGCTTCGACGGCGCGAATCGTTTTCCACGCGTGATACTTTGCGATCTCGTCGGGATACCAGCTTGATGTGCGTCGAGCGAACGCTGGAGCCCAGAGTCTGTAGGTGCCTTTGCTGGGATGGCATATGAGGTAGACCCGGATCTTGTCGCGATGCGTGCTGAAATGGAGTCCGTCGAGCTTCAAGTACATCTGGAAGGATGCGCTCTGTCGAAGGATTTCTCGCGGCATCTTGTAGGCTTTGGCTGGGAGCTGTCCAGGAATGATGGGGCGGTTGATGAGTAGGTGCGCGTCGGGCCACAGCATTGAGCTGAATTCAGCTCGGATCTGCTGGTTGGAAGCAATCAATGCTAGGTTGTCCGCGGTTGCTACACTGTTTCCGTCGCCGGCGTTTCTGTCGCTGTTGATGACATCTTCGTAGACTTGATTTCTTAACTCGGCCGGCAAGTTGAGAAATGGGAACGGCGTCTGTTGTTGGTTTGCCATGGTTGGCGGGATGGTTGCGGTAGAGGTGGTTGTGGCGTAGAGTTGGAGGTTGAGAGTGTTCGTGTTTGGGTGGTTGGAAGTTTTCGTGAGTGGCTCCAGTTTGAAGGTCAGATCTCTGGTTGTAATCAGTATTCAAGGGAGCAGTGCTGAGTTAGAATCGACAAGACAGCTAACACAGTGAGCATATATACGCAACACTTTCTCCAGCGAACAAAGAAGCTGAGTGAACAATGCTTTGTAAAGGACTATGGCGGAGGGTGGTTGCGACAAAGGATTGTCCAAGCTTTCTCACAATGTGCGGTGAATGGGACCTGTAGAGGGAGAGACAGCAGTCCACCCGATCTGCTCCCAGATGAAGCAGTGAGGAATCGGTATCCAGGGAAAGACCTGTGTGTCTCTTTGCAGGGCAGTAGTATACAGTGTAATTGCATACTCGACCGAGCTCTCTGCGGCTGGAACGTCCCAGCAGGACTGTTGGAGTTGTACTTGGAGCGTAGTGTGATCCTGCATAATGGAATAATAGTCCTCGGGCCACCAGTTCTCGAGGTCGATCTCGTCTATAGTTTCTTCTTCCAGGAGTTGAAAGTTACATTTCCGATAGCTAGGAGATATTCTTTTTCTGAGTTTGAAATCATCTGTAGAACAGTGAATAAATGCTGATGGTATCGTCGCAGCAACCACCTGTCGGTGCTCGATGGTGACGTGCAAGAAACGGCATTGCATAGTGAGCGAAGGGAATAAAAAGTCGTGAATCCTCGGAGCGATTGCCACAAATCACATGCCACAACATTGATCCGCGCAGGACTCTCTCAATCAACCACATCTCCATCCATTCCAAATCTCCTGCCTGACAATCGCCTACCGCATCGCTCAACGACATCGAACATGGCTTCGGCGCGCCGACTTGCGCTCTTCGCAGCCTCGGCGATCTCAATTGTCCTGTATGTCTTCTTCTTCGCCGGCATCAAGATATCTTTGGGATGCGGATTCAAGTTTACCCATGAAGGAATCGTAGTCTATGGCGGTGTGAAGCTGAAGCTGAAGTACAAAGACATGGTGTTCTGAAGAGAGGGAGGGGGTGCAGCTCTACGTGGAGGTTGGTTATAACGTCGGCGCACAAGGGGAATGCTGAGAGAAACTAGCAGAGAAGTTAAAGCGATGCTGTGAAGGCAGGTGCCTTGTCTGCCGCGATTGCGAAACAGTTATCGGACGGAGCTTCAGGTGGAGGCTGTAGGATTGCGTGAGCTCACTCGCGAGGAACATCTTTCAAGTATAGCGAGCCGTATACCTGAAGTCGGATCTCCTTCGGCAAAATAGCATTGACAGAGCACTGGTATGGCCTTCGAATCCTATTTCCAGAAGGAGATTAGATGAGCGTAGCAAGATTGAAGCCGGTATCATTGTTGTCGTTCTTCCTAAGATCGTCAATCTTCTGCTTCAAGTCCAGCATTTCTTCTTCTCTTAGAAGTTTGGCAGTCGAGTTGTCCGTGAAGTTGGTCTCGTACATGTATCCTTCGTTAATGACATAAATACATTTGTCGAAGAGCTGTTGCGTTGCTGCCTTAGTCTGCTCACCGAGTGCAACCTCCGCTTCGCATGCCTTTATGTCTGCTCGTGCTACAAGTGCTCGCATCTCGTTAATATCCTGATAGCTTCTTTTCACCGACTGGATGCTCATGCATAGCTGCAGAACACTGCAGGGATCATTCGGCTCATCCCGCCGCGCCAAGCTTTCACAAGATAAACGCATCCTCGCCTGAAACCCACCACCCTCTCTGCAGGCATCCAGCAGAATCAGGAGCTGTATAAAAAAGGATACAGTGATCTTCATAACAGTGCAAATCTGATTCAACTTGCAGTTGAGATATCAAATGCGTAGGCTCGTCTATCTTGGTTTACTAACAACGCCGTTAGCCCGTTGCATCAACATTAATCGCTTGTGCCCATTGAAACAGCGCAGGAAGTAAAATCTGCAGTCAATCAAACCTCTGGGGAATTCCGCGTCGCTTCCGACGATCTCCGAGCTTGTTGCTTTATTGCATGCGTGAAAGGAGGACAATGATCGTTTAGGTCATTTATTATAGTACAAGCGACTGTCAGGTCCAGCATCTTCGGACAAGTAGCAAGCAGGTAATTGATAAAAACGCACACCGGCTTGTATTCTGAATTCTAAGAAGTAGGCGAATCCAAATATACGACTGCTCTCTTAGAATGGCATAGTATATCCGCAATGTTAAAATTTGCATCTGCAACACTTTCGATAGCACTGCCGGTGCATTCCAAGTCTATTATAGGAGAGCAGTAAATGAATGCGCGATCAATTCGCGTGCAGGGCCGACTGTGCTGCCGGGACATACGCGTGGTTGCCTTGGCGTCGAAACTTCACTTTCACATGCTCCACCTTATAAAAGCTGACGGCCCGCCCGCTCTCGACTTCATCGCAAACTCTCCCGGTCCCTAAGCGCAAAGATCGCCCAACAACCCTCGAGGACCAGTATCCTTTCTAAGACTTAACCCCTGTCTCAACTCATCCTCCACACCCTTACACACACGACAGAACACAAGCTGTAAGAAATATTCGCGTCCACGGTCGAAACATTGCAGCCAGTCTAACACAATTGCAGCACGACATATGTTGAGTCACACAGCCACATAACTGCGAATACGTTGGCCACTGAAGCAACATGGATTACTCGCGCCCTGTCACCGCTGGATCCGAGGTTGTGTTGGTACGTGGCGGATATCGCGTACAGGTCACAGTTGCCCACGACTTGGGCAACCCTAGTGCAGCAGGTGTCGTGGAGGTCCTCCGCTACGGACCAGCCGAGCAAGATTCCGAGGATGAGGGGGATGACGAGGAAGATGGCCCGCCAGCAGAAGCTCAGTACGGCGATGCTGAAGAGCAAGAAGACGACGAGGACGACGAAGAGGAGGACGCTCTGACACCACCAGCTCTGTTGTTGACAACATCGCCCGCGCCGACTCGACGCACGCCAGCTCCGCGTAACGGACCCCAAGCAATCAATCCCGCTGCCCTACCTATGCAAGCTCAGCCAACTGCTCCGGTCGCCTTCGCGCCTCCAGCCCAAGCCCTTCCACCTCCAGGCCAAGACAATTTCGGCGGCCTCGGCCCTCTCAGCGGCACCTGTGATGAGTGCCGCCGCAAGAAGAAGGGCTGTAACGGCGATGTGCAGCGCCCATGCACACGCTGCGCCAATCTCGGATACTCAGCAGCGCAATGCGTTGACTCACGAAACAAGAAGCCTGCCACGCTTGGCAACGGTAAGAAGCGTGCTCGCAAGGATGACGACGAGGATGAGCAGGACAAGGGCGAGCCACCAGCCAAGAGAGGCCGTGGACGTCCACGCAAGGCTGAGACTCAGACTGCCAGCACTGGCCAGGCTGGTCAGATCAGTGCCGGACCAGTGTATAGCGCGGCTGATGGTGTGAGCGCTGTCGCTGGACGTGGTATCCATGTCCCAGTGAAGAAGTAACGCTGAGATGTGGAGGCTGAAGGGGTCTGTGGCTTCTAGCACGCTCACGAATGTATGGTATGGAACTGGTCTTTGATTGATTACGGTAATGAGGAAAGCATTGAGCGCGGACTGGATTTGGTCTCAGTGGGCATGGCGTTGGTTTATTGTCTACACTTGAGGAAGCATGAGGTTTGAGTTGCTTCATAGGCGATCCAATGCCCAAGATGCTAGGGCTTTTGTCGTTCATTGCTGTTCCCCTGGGAGATATTGAAGTGTACTATCGAGAACGAAGCGATAATTCCACCTGTGGCAGTGGTTCTTGACGATTGACTCCCTAAAGAATAGCCTGTCCTTGCTCCTTGATGTCAATCTGTTAATTTCAATCTGTTTTGTGCCAACGGAACAGCCTCACAAGAGAAAAGTTGGCGCTGTTGCTGTTGTTGGCCGTAGCATCCACGTGCCGGTGAAGAAGTAGCGCTGAGGTCTGGACACTAGAGACCTTCTGAGCTTCTGAGAAAGATTGAACTGTGCGGTATTGGAGTTCTCTTCAGATGAATATGGCATGGATACCAGCATCGAGCAATAAGCATAGCAGGAGGGTGTGAGCATGACGCTTAAGCCTCTTGTGTACTTCATCAAGAGCCAACCAAAAGCATTTCATAAGAAAGACTGCCTTGCACGCTATAGAAGTTCTCTTCACACGAATACGGCATGGATGCGAGCATGGAGCAATGGCCGTATTGGCAAGGTGTGAGCATGGCGTTTTGGCTCCTTTGTGCAGTTGATTCAGAGCTAATACGAAAGCACTTCACAAGCATTCCATGATATCAAGGCTTTGGACTCCAATCCTGTTCGGAGAACTCTTACACAAACGGCAGAATGATACTGCCGTGAACATATGTCATCTATTTCATCGCTGAAGCTGCCATGACTCTATATTGACAGCAGGCTCTTGGTACTCGATCGAAAAGTGAACGATATCAATTCCAGCCGTCTATAGGAGCTGAGATGTTGTGGAAAGCTGTTCTACGCCCTAATTCTCACACTTGTTCTCCCGAGTAATCATCAAGACACGCAGCTTGGTCTCACCATTGTAGCACGCCTAACCAGCCACTGCTTAGAGACAAACTCCAGTGTCTTTCATCGTGGCGTTTCCACATTGGGCTTTGTTCCCTCCGCTATCGCATGAAAGAAGCAGAAGAGCTGTCTTGGACAAAGAAAAGACGGTGATTTCGAAAAAAAGCAGCAAAGCTGGCTAAGACAAAGAAAAGACACGGTCTCAGACTGTCTTGCAGACAACCTGCAAGGCCTGCAAACAACAGCAAAGACATGTAGAACCAGTGATTGCTCTTCAACACTATTGCCGTATTAATTGAAATTCAGCTCCCATCGGTTTAGTCTCTATCCTGTTCTCTATGGTTGCAGTATACCAATCTTTGCCCTCGTATATCCTATTTTCTTTGGATCTGATAGTCCTTCACTTTTTCGCCTAACCAAAAGCATCAAGAATGGATTGTGGGTGGCGTAAGCATGCAAAGAAGATTACTATTCGGCATTGCGTCGATTCACGAGCGCGTCGACAATGGCTAGGGCGTCTAGCTTCATTTGCCTAGTCCATTCAGCTTTCAGCGATCCCATTGTTTTCGGAAATAGACACTCCCGTTCTCGTCCAATTCCGAAACTCCCGTTGTCTTCAGAGGTCGACAATCCAATTACACTGTTATACTCACACTTCGACAATCCGATCATCTCCTGCACTTGAACGCCAACCTTTCACCTACAGCTCTTTAAAACGCAGCCTCTTCTCTAGTTCGACGCTTTCTTCGAACACACCTCTGAAGACACAGTGCGTGAAGACATCAAGCCCTCACACATTATATCAAAAGCCTCTGAACACGACTTTGCGTCTACTGACGCCAACAAACAACCACCGAAATGGACTCTGACAGTTTCTCCGACTACTCAGGAGACAGCATCTCAGAATCCGACATCCAAGGGCTCACGATGGACCGTGGGCGCCCAATCCCGGCGGGCTCCACCATCGTTATCCGAACTTCGACTGGCCGCCTGCGCAGGGTCAACGCCCATGATGCGATGCGCAGTGGAATGGCCCCGCGAATCGTCGCCGTGCCGGTCTACGCACCACAGCAACCAGAGCAGGTCAACCGCGGCGATGCTGGCGAGCTGGACGACCTCTACAGCGACCACGAAGAAGACGAGGCCCAGCAGACAACTCAGACCACCACCACAGCTCCTCAGCGAACAGCGCAAGCACCAAGACCAGCAGGCAAGGCCCTCCCGTCGAACGGTCCTCCACTCACAGGACCTTGTGCCCGCTGCCGCAAAATGAAAAAGGGCTGCGACTGGCAAGACGGACGGCCTTGCACGCGCTGTCGGAATGCTGGCCTTCCTGCAGCTGAATGCATCGAGGCTGACAACACCACTCGCAGCAGGCCCAAAGGCAAGCGAGGCGGTGGAGGCGGCGGTCCTGGTCCTGCAGGTCACAAGAAGCGTGGACCTGGTCGTCCACCGAAGGTCGCGGCAGCGTCTTAGGGAGGCTGCGATCTTGGTGGGCTAGGCTGAGCCACTGCAAAGACCTGGTATGATGCTGAGGAGATGGAAATATGGGCGACTTGGTGAGTACTGCAATTGGAGGTTGGGAGCTTTGGCGTTCTAGAGTCTGTTTTTAGCATGAATTGAATTTTTTGTTTCCGCGCATTGATCCTTTCCATGAGTCCCGTTTCCTTTTACTGCTTTGTAGATTGTGTTGAGGATGTTGAGTGATCTGAAGGAAAGTGGTGGCTTCTTGACTGTTGGCTTGCATTTAGTAATGATGACTTTGCTCGAAGATGAGATTGAATGGCAAATAGGCCTGATGGAGAGAGATCAGATCAAAGATCGGTAAGCATAGAATAGCACCACACCTGATAGTCGCCACTTGCTTTCGTTTTTCTTGTCTTAACTGTGCAAGAATGTTCAATGCCAGACATTGACGCCGTAGCGGACCTAGACGAGATGGCGAGAAGTGTTGAGCAAAGCACCAGCTGCTAGTCTATTAGAAGCTCCGCCTCGCTATTAGTAGCAGGGCAAGATCTGACGAGGCCCATCGTCATGGACTTTTGCGCTGTCTGAGATCGTTGCCAGGGGGGTGAGTATCTCACTCTTCTTCGCTTCTGGCGGAATGATGATATTCGAAGTACCATTATGGACTTTAATGTATTCGGCAAGGTATTGCATGGTTTGGGCTTGGAGGTCGTTGATTTCTGTTTCGGCAGCGTCGCCCATACCAGTGCGAAGGATTGAAAGTGAGTCGGCTGGGACAATGAGCGCCATCAGTAGTGGATTGCCAGAGGTGCGCAGGAAATCGTCGGCCAAAAGCGCCATGTTCTGCTTCATTTTCTCGGCATCGATGAGATCCTGCTTGTCACCTTCGCCATGCAGAGAGTAGACGTCATCAACGCACACGTACCGCGAGCACTAGTCTTCCACATTCCAAGTCGCAGCCGGCTCGCCAAGCTGGCGGCGCTGTGGCATCGGCAAACCCTGGGCGTTGAACGTCGTGTACCAGTGACTCCATGTAATGAATGACGGACGATTTGGCGAGTAGCGTCAATGGTAGTGACTCCCAGTATTCTCACTCAGCAATCCTTCGACCTCAACATCGTACAAAGTTGGCAGGCATCGATGCCGCAGATCTGCTGTCCCGACGACATCAGCGCCTTCGAGACTGATTTGGATGATGTTGTGATTTCTCACGCCTTTTATGTCCTTGCTCTCAGCTGGGGTTTGCGCTCGCTCATCGAATTGCCAGCAGCTATGCAAAGGCCATCGAGACATGCCACGCAAGAGCTACTGCAAGTCATCAGATGCTCCCCATAACATCTTCACCTTAGGCTCTTCCACCCGAGCCGTCACGCCTGTGGTCTTGACCCGGGCAATCCTATCATGCCAATAGTACCCAGCTTTCGGCAAAGTCGAAGCAGTCCCAAGCAGAATATCGATAACTTCACCAGGCTCCTTTTCCCGAAGATCCAGATCAACGACATCGCCTTTCCAGTGATAGAACGAAACAGTAGCAGCTTTGACCGGCACGTTGCTCGTCATCTCGATAACCGCCTCAACATGTCTACGATACCGTGCCTCAAGCCCCGTCAATTCCCGAGTCGGAGAGCTAGTCAAATCCATCCCCCCTCTTCCACACAGAAACCACTCATCAATCTTCAAAAAGACATGCAAACTCCGCAAACTCCTACAAAGCCTCGACATTTCCCTCAGATTGCCCTCTTCCTCACGCAGCGAAAGAACATCCTCACGACTCCTCCAAAGCACCCCCGACTCGCCCCGATTCGCAAACGGCTGGGAGAACGGCGCTCGCATATCCGAAACAGAAACCACAAGCTCAACATGTACAAGCTGTGCAAGAAGCGGGTCTGGATTGCCGGTATACAGAAGCTGGCTGTTTTCCGGTTGATGTTCCAGGCGACAAGCACTCATGCGGAGATCACTGAGGTTTAGGACCACGATGTTGGATTCGAGGAATTCGTGGCGAGAGATTTTGTAGAGTTTTCGGCAGCTTCGCATGGGTTGGAGCAGGGCTCGGAGTTTTCGGGAGAGGTGGTCGGATATAACGCCGTTTGGGTATGTGAATGCTGAGGCGCTGGTGGGTCGGGATGGGTATTCGTATGTCATGGCGTAGGTGCAAATGTGTGCCAAGAGCTCGTCTGAGAGGTCCAAGAGAGAAGGCATGATGGTTGCTCGTCGTCGCCGAAAGCTGTCGGGCGGTTATGCTGGGGCGGTTGGCACATAGGGCCTGGGCGGAATGAAAGGAGCTCTTGAGTGGTCGTCGATGTAGTTCCTGGGAAATGTCTTGACAGCATCCAGCTGTTATCGATGACGAAAGAGGCTCGGGGCGATGGAAGTCAGAACAAGCTTTCTGGGTAACGTGCCGTCGAGCTTACCCGATACCGGTGGTATACTGCCAAGGCTGGCGGAGCTGAGTCCGTCTCATCGACAAGGCTGTGAGAAGGGCCTGTCAGCAGTCAGCAGTCAGCAGTCAGTGGACATATGGCGGAGGGCTGAGAACGCTTTTGGGAGGCTGAGCCTGCTAGTCTCGGCTTCATGTATCAGAATATTGCAATTCCCGAGAGATTCGTTGCAGAACTGTTCCCTGCTCACGCATCGGGGCAGACATGCCTCATACTCTTTCTGACGCAAGTCAAGTCAGGTCTAGTCTGCCCGGTGGAGCTAGAGCATCGCGTGCTGGCCTTGAAGGAGTAGATTCTCGCGTGAGCGGCCTTTGGAGAGCCTTTTCGAACTCGTTTCCCAATGCTGGGAATCAGCAGATGCTACCCTGTTCACCCACGCCCTTGCTCAAACCTTGGGACACGGGATCTTCGCTACTGGCATCAAAGCGACATTGAATCTTCTCTTTCAGCAGCTTCGTCTTGAGAACTCTCCAGCCACGGCGCTTCGAGATCTCGAGTCCAATGCGGCTTCGTAAGCAAGGGATGGATGCGAAGTCTGTATAGAAACCGTGTCAAGCAGATTCATAAGCATATCCGAAGCTGGCTCTTTGGTCAAGTCCTAGCCTCCAAAAGGCTGTCGCATTCCTCGCCTCGGTTTCCGTTTCCCCCAGCCATGTTCATCTCTTGCATATTTGGCCCCGTGTCCTTCACCAATGCGGTTAGACCCCTTGTGCTTTGGCGCGCTCTTCGTCTTCAAAGAACTTGGTAAGTGACTCAAAATCGCGGTTCGTACGAAGTAGGGGACGCTTCAAGTTGATGTGGATGAGCGGTGTCGTCTTCGGCGGTTGAAATCGGCAAAGAAAGGGACAATTCTGATACGCGTTTCGATACTGATATCAAAATGGCTGTGCTCGAGGTCGGCGCGAGATGGTCGTTCTCGGCTGTGTAGGGTGAGGGTGCTTTCGCCGCTGCTAGATCGGCCAACAGGGGTCAGATGCTGTATCCAACCAAGGGGTTTGATAATGTAGCCTTCGAGGGTCTGATGTAGGGAAGTGCGATCCGGAGAATCCGCTCGCCGTCGCAATTTGCGTTGAAGCTAGTCGTTGACGTCGATTCGAGAGGCGAAAGCGTGAAATGAATGCCTAGTCTCTGCGACATGCTGCAGATTTTGATTGCCGTAGTTGACTCAAGGTCGCAAGGGGATAGTAAATAGGCCATGACGAGACGGTGTGTGTTTCAAAGGAAGGCTGTAGGACCTTTTCAGCGTTCGAGTCCGATAGTGAGCACAAACAGAGCGCTGCCCAATAGATCATCAAAGCCTGCCAAGACTTTTCGAACTGTCGATCTCCCCTTATCGATGAGCATGACAGAGGTTCTGTCGCTATACTGTTTTCAATAGAAACCAGACAGTCTCTCGCATTTGTAGATGAGCAAATTGCTCAAAGGCCATCGCCACGGGCAATTCGTTGGACAACAAGTGTCTCCCAATTCGCCGGGGGGCGGAAATAGTGAAGGTGCTTGGCTCGACGCCGATCAATTTGACTGGGGGTTCGATCCTCGATACCAACTTCTAGAAAGTGACTTTTCTAGACCGTTCACGCAGGCATGCTTCATTGTACAAAGCCGCTGCGCATCATGCTGAATTTGTCATGAGTGGCGTACGCCTGACATTGTGGTTGAGCTTGATCAGTTGTGAGAGAGCGCTCAAAAAGGTGTCAAGTTCAAATCAATGTCAGGATAAGTCAACTACGGAGGTGGAAATCCGTGCAGCAAAAAAAAGTCGGAGTGTTCGATCCCCACTGGTGGCAGCCATTACAAACACCCTCTCCTTTCCAAAAGATTATCATTTCAACACTGATAAGTACTGACACGCAACAAAAAAGCAAAAAAAAAGTAGGCAAGTATCAACCCCCCGAAGAGGACTGTCCAATGGAGAACCATTACGTTTAGCGCCAATCCAGTCCAGATCCAGAATTTCCGCCGATGCCAAATCGCCTGAGCCATTGCCGCGCCTTTTTGTGATTGTGTGCAGGGGAAATACGTACCAATTGCCCGAAGGCGTACGTTAGCGTTTTTTCTACAAATATATAGTGTGTTTAAGTCAGCCAGCCCTGGTGAGAGGTTACATTGGGAAGAAGGCAACGTTGTGTACCAAAACACTTCCAAACTTTGGAGATGTATTATGCAAAGGAGCGCAGCGAGTTTGAAGTGTTTCTAATGGTTGGATGTTGAGATATCTGAGGTATCGTATTGTCGCTCTGCTGCTGATGCTCGCGGCGTGCTGGCCGCCAAGACGGAGGTGATGCTCGCTCAGGGACGCTGCAGTGCCTCTCCAACCATCAGCTCGCAATACCTTGCCTTAGCAACTCAACTCGAAGACAGCGCAGGAACGTTTTCTGAACTAACATTGATCTGACAACGCGTTGTTACAGACCTTACCAACGAGCACCGTTTTGGCCCCTGAGCAGTACCACAGCAGTCGCCACCTTCAGAACATACACAACATCGACCAGCAGCACCGAAAGGAACACCCCGGCTGTCAATCCTCTTCGCTGTACGTCTTTCCTCATCTTCCCACCCAGCGAACGACAATACGCTCAATTGCCCCTTTTACGGCGTACTCGGATCATAATCAACGAGCTTCCCTACCGCGTTATCCACTGCGACCAATACAGCCTAGCATTCTGACAGCAGATTACACGCTCAAGGAGGAGCTCATCAATTGGTCATGGGCAGAACTACCTCGGAGACGCGAGACACCAAAGAGCTGCAGATGATTTCGTCTTGGTCGGACAGCACAGCCAGCAATGCCATGCGTACATTTTGCACAACAAACGTTTAAAAGTCGCACGAGCACCTGCAGACACAGTAGCGCCAGCCAAGTTTGGGTTCGGGCATGTCCACCCTTCTATCTTTCAGATATCAATACCTCGCTTCAGCGCCGGAGATCTTCGCAGTATCCCCAATGCGCCGCGATTCAGCAATCTACGAGAAGCGAGATCACTGCCATCTTTATTCTTCACTCAGCCTCAATCGGCCGATGCCCACTTCGCGCGCCCACCGTTGTTTATCGGCAAGTCAACGTGATCAGTCGATTGATGGCGACAGATTCGATAGATACATCATGTCACGACTGTGAGGCGAAGAGCTTCGAGTCTGATCCTCTGCTCCATCTCACCCAAAATCAGCGTCATTTTGGCAAATGACCATGCGCTGTATCCACTTGGACAAGAGGCGAAGATGAGCTAAGGCAATAGCAGTGTGAATTCTCACGTTGGATACGTACGAGAAGACTTGATGGACTGCCATACTCCGAGACCGCAACAGCTGGAGATCGATTTGGAAGCAGGAAAGCAATATCCGCATGGAGAGAACCTCAGCCTCGAGTGATTACCAGGGCTGGAAAGGTGGGAAACCCCTCAGCAGCCAGCCAGCGATCCCAATCAACATCACTTCCGTTGACCATATACCAGATTGCGCTCGCTCAAGCTTGGCTACCGGATGAGTTGGCTGTTGCAAGTCTCATCCTGAGAACACGCAGCTTAGCAAAGAACGCGCTTGGATAAAGAAAGACAACAAGGAATCAAGAGATCAATCCTGCAGTTGTTAAAGTTCAATCATTCGAAATACAGCGACGAGCCACTGAGGCTCATTGTATCCTGTGTCATGCAGACCTTGGCGTTTCAAACACTTCGGCTGGAAATATCATGCTCGCCACCTCCTTGCTGCTTTTTCATCAAGCACAAACACCCTGAGTTTGGCCGCGATTTCAGAACGCGCTACCAAGGTCATTCAACAGAAACCGGTCCTGGAAGTCCTCCTCAACGCCATCATTTTCTTCCTCCTCCTCGTCCTCCTCATCGCATACCAAGACCTTGAAAACCGTCTCCTCATCCGGCTCTCCATTTCTCTTGCGACCCATTGCCACCTCTTTCTCGACAAAGTTCGAAGGCAGCTTGGTGGTGTAATTTGGCACCTTGCCGCCCTGGGTGCCGACGAAAACATAGCGACCGTCAGAAGTCTCGGCAATCTGGCTGCGGTAGACGATATCCCAGCTATGCTTGGCATCGAAGGTCGTCTTTTCGCCATCTTCCTTCACCGGACCCTGGCATTTGTCGCAGACATCGGTATTGCAGACCGTGATGACTGCAGACGTGCGATCGGCATCCAGTGAGTCAACGAGCTCTGGAGGTGAGTTCTCATCGAGGGTGATGCCGTAGATGTAGCCGCCGAACTTGTAGACATCCTCGTCTGGATAGCTGAAGCTGTCGGGAAAGTCACTGCCAGGCTTGAAGCGGACCTCGTTGTCGTCGAAGATCAGGCTGTCGTAGTGCGCCATGCACATCTGCCAATCATCCTCGTCACTCACAGAGCTCGGTCCTGGCTCGTCTTCGGCTTCGTGATCGCTCTCTTCGTCCTTGCTCTCCACACGAGTGCGCTTCCGACTCTTCGGCAACTCCTTCGGTGACTTCGCTGGAGCCTGGAGTTTCGTTCGATTGCGGACTGGCGCTGCGGCGTAGCTCTCGTCATCGCCCTCGCCCTCGCCCTCGCCGTCCGACTCGTCTTCCGCCTCTTCCTGCGAGCGCTTCTTCTGTGTCGCCGTCTTAGTCTTTCGTGGCTTGGCAACTGCTCTCGTGGGGATGGGGTTCGGCGGTGACTGGCCTGGCGCAAGTGTAGACGTCAAGGTGAAACCATGGATTGGATCGCCCCAGTGACTCTCCAGCTTGTTCCTCAAGGCCGTCGAAAGCTGCTCCCCTGGAACGAGTGCCGTCCGCTTGGTGCCAGGTGAGTCGGTCAAGTCGTGCAAGATGCCAGCTGGATCAGCGACACCGTTGCTGAAGTCCAGACCGACGCCAGCGACTGGCGTGAGTGTCTTGTTCAGGTGAGCTGCCCAGCTATTGACGACGCCGTTGATGGTGGCCAAGTCGTTCAGCTGGTTTTGCGTGAATGGGGTGCCATGGTATCGGCTGCGCTCATCCTGTCTGTCGATCTTGTGCCAACTCTCTCTCTGGCGGCCTGGGCTCCAGCGAAAGTCGATGCGGTCATAGAACGATGCTGCGACCTTGCGCGCTCTCTTGAAAATGGGAAACGCGCGATGGACGATCTGCTCCAGAACATCCCTATCGACACGGTAGAGGTTGTAGTAGACACCGAGCAAGAAGCAGAGCGCCTCCATCTCAGTCGACCAATCGACGCGGAAGAGGCTCGTTGGACGATTGGTTCGAGGCTTGCCTGGCTTTCGAGCCTTGGGCTCTCCTGTCTTTGGCGGCATATTCGGCGGCAGTCTTAGCTGTTTGCGGAGAGATGGTGGATGGGATAAGGAGTTTTGTTCTATGGGTGAGGGCGGTTGCGGTAGGTGAGTCGTTCTTCTAGTGATGTGTGCGAGGTCGCGTCGTTGTATGAAGGGCTTGATCCGAAAGAGCAAGTCTTGGAGTAAATCTGAGGTCGAGGGTGTGTTTATAAAGAGAGAGACAGGAAGTCGCAAACGCGTTTCACCCATGCGTGACTTCGATGCCTGCAGCGCCAAGCTGTCACGGGCAACGCCATTCACTTTCACATGATTTTCGAGTTTCGCGCAAAAAATGCATTACCTCGCCACAGAACTCGATATATCAAAGGTAAGACAGTATAGATCAATGCATTTTGGTTTCTGCTTCTACAGCTGCTTCTTGCACTGGAGATTCATGCCCAGGAAAAGCTGAGTGCGAGCGGCCTAAGCCCTTTATCCCCAAATGTTGATTGCTGCTAGCAAGAAGACCACAACGAGATCTTTGAGCGATCAAGAACAGCATGTCTAAGCCATAGCTTGCATCGGCAGATAGAGAAGGCCTGAATAGGACCAGCACATCCTCGAATCAACGTCGTTCTTCTGGGGTAAAAGAGTAGACATTGCATTGTTGAAAGCGATGCTGACAAAGGCCAGTCTTTTGGGGCAAGACAGGGAGTCAACACTCCCATGTTCGCAAGCTCACTATGGCTTCTGCCATCAACAGTGAAAGAAGAAACTCCACTGAGTGCTCTAGTGGGCCCATTCATCAAATGCCTTGCCATTTTTCAATCCTCATCAAGCATCCTCCTCATCTTTGCACTCCGGACAACTATCCCTGACGCAAATGCGAGCTTGCATCACCGTCTCAATCTCCTCCGCTCCCTAATTGATACTGAATGAGACCTTGTCGACACTCATTAGTGGAGGCAATCCAGACGCATAGGCACCAGTCCCTCGTAGGCGTGTCCGAAACTTGAGATGCTCCCCACCATTCTCAATTTCCGTGCTGTGAACCAAATGCAGTTTGTACTGCTCATCAATGTTCTCGACAACACGTAAAGCCAGACAAATGCGTCTCAACAGGTACCGAGTCGGAGCATTGAGAGCAGATCGCCTATTGCAAAGCATGATGGGAACCAGAATCGATATTTCGCGCTAGATGATGTTGTTATCAAGCATTGGACGGTACACCCAGCCGCCGTACTTGTAGACGGCTGTGTTGTGGTCGACGAACTTGACTGGGCGTAGCTTTTCATCGGTCAGCGTCACAACACCTCCTCCAATCTTAACGTCGTTGCGGTGGAGCATCTCGAGCTGAGAGCTGTTCTTTTCGCTTAGGTCAATTCGCTTTGTTACCGATTCTTGAAGATCTGAGCTGGCTTCAGGCTCAACATCATCATCTGAGTCTGGAGGAGCACCTGCATCCTTTTCGGCTTCAAGGGCACCTTTTCCTCTTTGGCGTGCAGATCGACGAAGAGGACGCTTGTCGTGTGGCTTCTCTATAGATGAGTTGCTGCCCGGTAGTGGTCTCAGCTGCTTCTATTGTTTCCAAAGCAGACAAAGCGTGCACACCCGGAGCACTCTCGAAAGAAGCACAGATACGAGGCTAGGAGTGGCCGCTCTTGTTGAAACTCTCGATACGCTTCTAGTAAGTCTTCTTTCCCTCGGCAACGTGGAGCTCAATAGATAAAGCACTTTGGCGCAGTTGTCTCCAATGTAGCGAGTAGTACTACTCTCGCTAGATTGAAGCCTGGATCCTTGGTTCAAGAGAGTGCAGGGAAGGCGCCGACAAATGCCAGAGTTGTATCGATATATCACTTTGGTAGAGTAGTCTCCAATGTATAGAATAGCACTGCCCTCGCTGGATTGGGTCCTGAATCCTTAGTTCAAAGAGTTGCGGAGAAGGCACCGAGAACTGCTAGAAGCCTACTAAGCCATATAAAACCCTTGAAAGTTTCACGAGCATCGGAAAGACTTCCTGCTTCAGTTTCGAAGCAAAGGCCAAAAATGCGGTACTAGCAAGAGCGTAGCTCTATACCAAAGCAGTTCTAGAGCTGCTACCCGTTAGCAAGTTGAGTTACTGGAAGAGCTCGCTCAAGAGGTCACGGCCTGCTTCCTTGCGGTCGGCACAATTAGCTGCGCTGAGACGGTATCTGAGCTGCATCACTCTGACCATAAAGGCGAGCTAGGTGAGCTAAGGTGTGTAAAGGAGTACCCCAACCCCAGTCCTGCTTCGGTTTCTACGCAAAGGCCAACCATGCGGCACTGAGAATAGCGTAGCTCCGCAACAAAGCCTTTCGAGAGCCGATCCTAATAAGCAACTCTCTTAGGTTGATCGAAAAGCTCAATCAAGAGCTCACGGCCTGCAGGTGCTTCTTTACGGTGGGGACAGTTAGGTGTGCTCAAGCGGTATCTGAGCTGCATCGCTGTGATACGTCTCAGCGAGCTGACTTAATCGAAGAACGAAATCAAGAGCTCAAAGCCTGAAGGTGCTTCCTTACGGCCGCCACAATCAGCTGTGCGCAGTCGGTCTCTGAGCTGCATCGCTATAGCACGTCTCAGCGAGCGTGCTTATGTGATCTCGCCCCGAGAAAGGTTTGTCTTATATGTTCAGCCTTTGGGAAGCTATGCTATCCGGCTGCATAATCTCTGTTATCAACATCCTCTCAATGGTATACTCTGCATTACTTGCCATCTAACAACGCCTTTTCATCGTAAAACATCCTCCAGCCGTGACTGTGAAGCTCTGGATTCCCGCAATTGCAAGATCGCATATACATGAATCGCAGAGTCCGACTGATCATTCTCTCAACAAATCTGTAAAAGCCCGGTCGTTGCTCCAGAAAGATGTCCCAATCTCGTGGTTCAAGAATCATGCTGGTCAAGTTGTCGTCTGAGTACAGGGTATGTACTTCAGATTCCAGGAAAGCATCAAGAAGCTTGCCGGTCACTTGACGCATAAGATAAGCCGAGATCGTTGAGACTCGGAGGACTTTCCTTCGCATAAAGATTATGCCATTTCTGATCGTTTGTTCGACGAGATCCATCTCAGGGAAGTCTGCAGGCGATAGTCCTCTGGGAGTGGAAGCGAATCGCTCGGACCGAGCTTTGCAAAGGAGAAGCGAAAGTACTTGCAGCGCGCGCTGAGGATGCACAGTGATGAGAGTGTCGTCGTCTTCGGCCATCAGCTCATCAAGGTCTGCACAGCTTCGCTCCCAATTTTCCCAGTACGTGAAGCGCGGGTCTGGGAAAAAATCGCCGTTCTGATTCAGGCCGTGTCGCAGATATTTGAACCACTTTGGGTCCGCTAGTATGGCGGTTCGACAGTGCGGACAACTGGCGTCCTCTCCCTGGGATTGACAGTGGCTGACCACGCAGTCGAAGCACATGGCGTGTATGGGACTGCATGGCAAAGATACTGGCCGCCGAAAGAGGCTATCGTAGTCCTCGAAGCAGATTGGGCAAGTCGCATCCCCAGCTGTAGGTCGTGCGGCCGTGACGACTCCGGGAAGCATGATGCTCCATCGCTCAAGAGATCGACGTGGTTTCCAAGGTATGTCTTCTTGAAGCTGTCCAGTCGCACGCCTATGCATCTCATAGCAGACAACGGCGAAGTCTGACTCCCGACGCAGCATGTCCAGGATGTCATTGATCCAAACTGGAGACAGCTTTCGCTGGTCCGGTTGTCCAAAGATCAGAAGGAAAGCTTCAAGTTCGAATTGGTAGTGATGCTTCATGTCTTTCCCTGCGCCATGCCTCATGCAGATCCGCGTGTCGCATGTTATTCCGATCTTCCGCTCGCCATTCGTCGCCCGATACGTGGTGATGAAGATATATGACCATCCTGCCCATTGCGTAATCAACGCCATATCCTGAACAAGTCGCATTGGTGTTGCCGTAGATGTGTCGGGCATGCCTAGAGTCATCAGGTCGATGTTCTCTGCCGTAGTGATGCGAGCTGCTCCGAACGAGAACATTGCAATGTCTTCATCGTATCCTGTGGTGTTCTGGGCAGCCTCTGGACAGGCAGTGACGTCTCCTGGTTGGTATCGGATGGAGGCGTTTTTCGTTGGTAAGGTAATTGTGGCAGTATAGTCGCTCAGTGTATTGATCGGCACGTTCGACGGGTATACAACCTCGACTCGATGACTGATTTCAAACGCCTTCATCGTGCCACGCGTGAGGATGCGATGTGTAAGGTTTCGTGTTATGATTTCGAGTCTTGGGAAGCGGCAGACGTGCGATTGCGAACGGAATAACGCTGGCCCAGATATCGAGGCTGTACGCGAGAGATGGCAACTCGGAGTGTCGTGGATCCTATCAGATCTCTTTGAAATGGATAGTCACGCCAAGGCCAAAGTTGGAGGATGTAAGGCAACGAAGGGGGCCAGCCAGCTCCACTTGAGTGAAGCGAGTGCTTTTTCGGCCCGGTCCGGGCGTGTTTCAAACGGTGCTTCAACATTTCTACCTGTCTCTGAGTTCGGCAAGACCTCTTTCCTGCAAGAGAAGTTTGCTGCACAACACCGACTCGAACAATCTTCTTTGTGCCCGCTGAGACCTTCTCCTCAACTCAGTCAAGAAGCGACGAACAGCATGACTACTCCCCAACCTCCCACCACCACCACCGCCACCGCCAACGACAACAATATGGCCTCGAATACCACGTCCGGCTCCACCATCACCGCCAAGCGAATCGCGAAAGACATCAGCACTGGACGTCCTGCTTGCATCCAGCTCCATTGCGCCGGTCGAGAGAAGCACATCTACAATATACCATCCCCTCTCCACGTATACGTCGCCATCTTCTACGGCTCTCGAAATGCCGCGACCGCAATCGTCCAATCCGGCACCATCACTCAGCCCTCGAAAGCCTTCAACAGCGACGCTGCCCTCAAGTTCTTCACCAGCGCCGCAAGCGACAGCAGCATCAGCAGGAGTGCTCAGCTGAGTAAGCCTCTTTCGGAAGTCCACCTCGTCCTCGACCTTCGTCATTCACCATACGCGCCAAACATCTATGCTCACAATGGCAAGACTATGGCGGCGTTCAGTCAGTCGAAGATCCCGGAGTGGGAGTACAAGTTCTCACGCTCTCTCGAGGTTGCGGTTCCGTTCCTCATTCAAGACCAAAGCGACCTCACGAACTACCGGTACGGATGTGTGGTCCTCATCGTCGGAAAGCATGACCACGAGGAGAAGTGGAGAGTGGAGACGTTCCGCCCAGAGATCCAGGTCGAGGCTCACACGCCGGACGCCGCGCTCGACACGGTATGCTCAGTCCTTCTCCAGCGGATGGAGAAGCAGCCAGTCGAGGCGTTGACGGCTGGAGATCTACTTCCGGAGACGCTTGGGAAGCTGCAAGTGGCGATCATGGCCATTGATATCGGATGCGAAGGGACGAAGTGGGAGGCTGTTGCGATCAAGGAGGCCATGAGTGCTCGCAAGGCGCATCTTGCTCGCCTTCCCAAGGTTCGAGCTAACGTCAAGCACTCTGGCGTTGACATGATGGAGTATCTGCAGAAGAAGAAGGGCAAGTCAGAGTAGTTTGGGACTATTTCCCGAGCGGAGTACCCAAAGACGAAAGGTCTGGCTGGTGGAGGTTTGTACGCCAGCGAGGATCATTGAGAAAGCGCCGGCTGCTTGAATTTGGTTTGGGCGAGAGCGTATCACCCAGAATTGTGCGAGCTGCTCAGAGTAGAGAAGAGCAGCACCGGATGGATGAGAGAGAAAGCACTGCAAGCAGGACACAGGCAGCGAGACGTGATGTTGAAGAAGCAAAGTTGAAAAGCCCGATTTCCCTCTGGATCTACAGTCCTCCTTGACGATTGCTATATTCACATTTTGTACTTGCTTTCCATTGCTTCCTATTGCTCTCTGCTCCTTGTAGAGGCGAAGCATGCGATGAATCGACTGCGTCCTGCAAAGGGTTGGTAGAGCAGGTTTATGCTCTGGCATCGACAGGCATCCAGCTCTTGTGCGAGAGATGCGATAATAGTATGATGAGACGGTGAGGTTGACCTTTGCACATCCGTAGCAAGGGATCGACATAGCAGGGCTGGCAGATGATTTGCAGTGATGCGCATACCACGAAGGAAGATGGCTGAGTTCACAAACTGTCCGTTGACTTTGTCCTTCTCGAAGCAGACGTATTACTGCCAGTGATCAAGACGATGTACTAAGCGCACCAATGCTCGCTTGTTGAACGCGTCACCTATCTCTCGGAAGCATAGCATGCTGGGACCTCGGGGGTGTTGATCGGTATACATAAATTGCTGCTCTTTCGTACACTGGATATGAGGTAATCTACCCTGATCAGCTTCGCTATGCTCGATGGGCCAGATGGGATGGTTCTTTCAGATCGGGGCGTGCAGGGTGCAGACGCAGTCTGAGACGCAGAGGTTTTATGTATAGAGTACTCACTGATCAAGCCTACAGACGAGGATGGCGCACAGCAGCGGCCTAGTACAAAAAGTCCGTAAAGCCCACCCCAAGCCACAGTACACAATCCGTCCAGCCTCCTACGGCTTCCAGGTCTCGAGTAGGCCAAGACTCGGTGAGACAACTTTCGAGCAAAATCAAAGCAGAGCGTCTGCTACACCCAATGCGTTGACCGCTTCAACGGTTGGCGAGACCATAGACGACGAGGCAACGGAAGTCGAGACACACGCCCAATAGATTTTCAATTTGTACCGCACACTGCTGATCGCGACTGGATGATTATTGCTATCGGAGTTGCGAAACAGATTGGATAGGCCGTTCAATGCCGTCCCATCTGGGTCGTCACAAGACACCCGCTGCGATCTTACGACAATCACAGAGCGGAGCCTTTCAGGTAGACGTGGATCTCGAGCTTGGTGATATCGATTCTTTGGAAGCGGTACTACACGACAATGCTCGTGACTTGGTTGTCGATTTCGAGCTCCGCTAATGCCGACCGCCCTTCAAGAATGGAATTGGTCTCACAAGATACCGCTCGCCGGAGCGTGAAGCTCAGGCTTTGTATACATGACGCTAGTGGGGGTTGTTAACGTTCGCGCTAGAGTTGATAAATGATGGCATCGGCTATAGCTCCAGCAGCCTAGAGTACGGCGATGGCCTCGTTTCCTGAGCTAGTGACTTGCGGTCACAAGGGTCGGTTACCGACAAGGACGCTAGAAATGATACAGATGACATCTCCAGAGGGCATGCTATCGATCGCAGTGGCCGCAGTAGAAAGCAACGCGAAGGTGAAGGGCTTGGTCTCCTCGATCGTATCTAGGGCACTAGTCGTTTCTGCGATCTCGATAGTCGAACTTTCAGCCTTTCCAAGAGCGACCTCTTAGTCTGCTATCGTCTGGAGATCGTGTCCCTAGCAAGGGGGTTAATGGAAGGGAAAGTCACTGACAATGCTCGTTGGACGAACGGCTGACGAAGAACGTCAGGCTGTATGCGATATATTGAACTGAGTCAGACGCGGTTAAGCCGGTAGTGCGAGTCTACAAGTATAGAGCCCCGGATTGAGAACTCGACGGCATGCATAGAGATTCTAGGCCTATACATGGATACGGAAATGCGGGGAGCATAGGCTACGGAAGTTGAAATCGTAAGGGGAGAAAGGCGTCTAGCCGAGGCGGCAACTACTCCTACTTTCGGCAATTGCATTAGCGTCTCCTAGCGTTGTTATGCAGCTGGTTTTGATAACTACCCCATCTTTGAAGTGCCGAGCCGAAGAAATGGGGCCACATCTTGCTAACGGCCTGCTAAGCTAATATAGCGATTGACTACGTAGCTTCGTAAGAACCCGGACGACTAAGCAGCTATACCTTGATCTAGACTTGCCGTGCGACTGTTGGTTGCTCCCTAGACTGTAGTAGGGATCTAACGGCCCTAGCTACCCGCCCGAGCCCTAGCACAACCCGAGATTACGAGATCGGCCCCTCTATATATAATCGCGTATAGAAGCGGATAATCGCGTCGCTATAGGCCCCGCTCGCCGGGCAACTACTACTATACTACTACTAGCAGCTATAAAGCTAAAGTTTATTAGCAAATTAGTAGTATAGTAAAGTTTAAAGTATTATTAGTTATTAGCTATCTACTTAGGTCTAAGCGGATTACGACCTATCGCCTTATAACTACGCGAGGCTATATATACTAGCTTATACTAGTCTCTTAGTTACTAACTAGTATACTACTACTAAGTAAACTAATAGTATAATTGCTAAGCGAGCTAATAGTGCTATTACTATAGTATCTAGTAATAAAGCGGCCGTCCTACTAGCTATATAAGCGACTATTATTATTATTACTAGTACTATGAGTGTTACTAAGTAGCCTATCGTCGTTACTATCTAAACAACGCCGCCTACTATCGGCTATATTTAACCTACTACTAAGTGCGCTATTCTTTATATACTCGAAGGTTATTAAGTTCTTACTATAGAAGGTCTAGCTTAGAAGGAGGTTATAGTTTAACCGGAAGTGCTTCTTAACGTAGATTATACTACTCGAAGCCGCTTATATAGTAAGTAGAGCTACAAGCACGATTAGCCTTCTAGTAAGGGTATTATCAAGTGCGGCATTAGCTCTTTACGTACTTATAGTACTTAACGGTCGTCCTTAGCTAAGTAAGTAATACGCTAGGCTTAAGTATAAATTTAGTCGTTCTAGCTATTACTATCTTCTATCGCTTAGCGACTACTATCTCGTTTAGGTCGTCTAATTCGCGTACTATAGTAGTACGATTTATTATATATAACATAGCTCCGCTAGTAAGAGGTTTGTAGTTACTAAAGATTATCTCTAGCTCTCGTAAACAGACTATTCTACGGAAGTCGATAAACTAGTACTTATAGAAATAGCTTAGTAATAGAATAGCGCAATTGCCGCCTATCTCGATAAGCTTTATTAAGTTATAGATATATAGATAACTATAGGTCTTACTAAGGTAGTCGTTATAGTAGCACTATAGATAGCTATACGAGGACGCTAAGTGCTTTAACTCGTTGCTATTATCGTTAGTTATAGTAAGTAGAAGGTCGTTAGCTCGTAAATATAGTGCCTTTACCTCGAGTAAGTAATAGTCGCTTATTATACGAGATACACTCGCCTTAAATAGTCTATTTAGTGCCTTATTACACCTCTTAAGGTTCTTAGTAAGGGTAATACGACGGCGGTTGTAACCTTCTTACTACTATTATAATAGGCTCTCGAATAGCGTAAAGATATCGTAGCGGCTACTATAGTTAAGCTACTATTTAATGCGGCTATAGGTAGATTTAACTCGAGAGGTTGTTTTATAACTAAAGTAAAGAACCTCGTTAGTCTAGTAGTCGACAATATAAGCCTTATATTGCTACTAGTAATTATAAAGATAGGTCTTAAATATAGGATATACGTTGTCTAACTTCTTTACGTTCTTATTAAACTCCTATATAGTCTAACTATAGATAGTATACGCAAAGAGCTATAGAAACTTGCTAGTTTAAGGGCTGTCTATCTAATAACCGTCGCTCTTAACTTAACTAAATTCGCCTCGTTCCTTACGGACTCGAGTTAATATATCTTATTATAGATGCTAGTTATATACGATATTAGTAGACTTCGGAAATATCTCCTTAATAGCACCTATAAGAGCTTCTTTATAGTTAGTACTAATAACCGATAGTATAGCGTAATCGGCTTATCTAAGGCCCTTCCGGATAGCCTTTAAGAGCGTAACAAAGTCTAGTTTATCTCGCTTCGGACAGATAAGGCTAATGCCTAATTTAATAGTATTATTTATAGGACTAGCGCTAACAATATCTATTAACTCGAGGTTATAGATATTAGTAGAGTATATCGTATCTAGGATAAGCGTATATAGCGTATTCTTAAAGGCCTCTATTAAGCGAGGATAGAGGGCAACTATATACCGAATAGCTCTATTTTCCGGGTTCTTAAGAATATCGTAAAATATAGTATAGTCGTCTAGTAACTAAACTATACGTTTAGCCTAGTTTAGCTATCGACGTGCCTTAATATTACGAGTCTAGGCGATATTATTAATGTCCTTCGGCTTTAGTAGAATAATACGGCCTCGAAAGTATACTATAATCTTCGAGGTTAGTATTCGGGCTTACTAAAGCCGCTCTAGTTACTTAAGGAACTATACTATTCTTAACTACCTTCTATAGGTAGTAAGGGCAATAACGTCGTCCTTCTTATACTTATAGAAACAATAGTCTTCTTCTATAGAATAGCGAATAACCTACTAACCTTTAGGCTAGCTAGGGTCGATAGCAACTACGTAGAAGTAGAACTTATAACCTATCTTCTTTAAGGTTAACTTCCGCTTTATTATACCTTCCTTCTAGGTACGCTTCTCTAGTAAGCCGAAGTAACTATATGCCTAGCGGTAGCAATACTTAAGACTACTATCCTTATTCTTCTACGGCTTATACTACTTAAATTCGAATCTAGTCGCCTTTCCGAAGGTATAGACGTACGACTCGAGGGCTTAATATAATAGAAATCGCGACTTGCGCGGTATTAGACTACGAGAGCGTTCCTTTAGTAAAAATAGGTACTTCTAAGGGCGTAGTAATACTAACCGATAATCTAGTAGATTAATACGCTTACGCGGTAGCGACAGTAAGCGCGAGCGACCTCGAATACGTATCTCCGAGATAAATTAGACCTCTCCCTATAACTTAATATCTACTAGCGCGCCTTTAATACCTTTAATACCTTTTACTACTAAGAGCGCGCCTTCTATTACTATTTCTACCTCTTTAATATCCGCCGCCGCCGATAGCGCGCCTTCTACGCCATCTACGCCTTCTATACCTTCTACACCTTCTGTGTATTCTATATCTTCTGTACCTTCTATCGCCGAGAGCGCGCCTTCTTCTACTGCCGCCTCTACCTCCGCCGCGCCGCTAGTAATAAGACTATTAAGAAACTCGTCGTATAATAGAGATTTAGCTATTTTCGATAGTTACTAGGCAATCTACTACAAAAGAGGGAAGAAATACGAATTTTAGGCCTATAGTAGAATTCGAGGTACGACTTCCTAAGTAACGCGCTACGCGCCTATTAATAATACTAACTAAGAACGGAAATAGGCTATATTAGGTAGAAAGAGCACGTAATTCTATATAAAGGCGATTCTATAATAGTACTAGTATCGGGTTATACTAGGGCTTAGGCAGATAGCTAGGGCTCGGTTTAGTAGCTAGGTCTAACGGCAAATAAAAGTTAAATATAGTATATAAAAAGCTTCCCTATCTATAGTATCTAGTATACAAGTTGCATAGTTATAGTTATACGAGCGATTGTTCGTATACTTAGCTATTCTTTAACTTAGTCGATAGATAGTAGATTAAGGCGCTATTCCGTTAGACGGTATTACGAAAGCTAGATATGCCTAGCAATCGCCTTTGTATCGTAGGATGCGGATATATAGTAATATATTATAGATATTACATCCCGTACCTTTAGTTTAGGTTCTCGATTATATAATTATTAATGCCTATAAACGTAATTGCCTAATCGTAGCGACGACGCCTAGGGTATCGTAGAACTACAAGCCTATAGCGTACTAAGAAGCTATTATATTGTACTTTAGAAAGGAATTAGGTAGTAGAGCGACTTATTAGAAATAATTATATAAAGTATATAAACGTAGTTTATATATATATCTTTATTATATTCTAGCGATTTAATTTACTATTATCTAAATAATACTATAAAGTTAATTACTATAAGAAAGACTAGTAAGACTAGTATAGTAAGGGAGGAAACTAATATATTCTACTACTAATTAGCTTAAAACTCTTTGATATAGTCTAAATTATATTATAGAGTTTTCTACTATTACTAATAGTAGTACTAGCTTTATAATTTTAATATATTTATTAAACTACTAGCTAGTAATATACTCTATTAGTGTTAATATACTCTACTAGTAGAGTAATTTTAATTATGACTTTTAGTACTTAAATACGTTTTGTTATATTAAACACTTAGCTTTAAAGTAACTTAAACTATTATAAAATTTATAAAATATCCTATAGAAAACCTAAGTATATAAATATAAAATAGGAAAGCTTTCGAAATATATAGAGAGCTAATGCTTTATATAGTAGTTCTCGGGTTATTCGTAGAAATATAGAAGTAGGTACTTAGTACTCGGTAGCTAACTACTCCTAGAAGCATCCTAGCCTCGGCAAGGCGCGACTGCTCGACCTAACTATCGCATCCCGCCGTAACGCCCGCTATTGTCTAGGAACTACCCGCGGGCCGCGGCTTTATAAAGCCTTTTACGCCTAAGTTACCGCTCGCTTAGCTAGCGAGCGGCGTTTGCCGCTAATTTGATTAAGCTACGGATATAGCCGAGAACCGTAGGAAATATACTAATTGCTAAAAGCATTTTAGAGATATAAAAACCTTAGTAAACTAGTAAATAGTAATTACTATAGTAATAGTAACATTACTACAGTAATTACTATTATTATTACTTTTACTATTACTAGAGACCTTTAAGAAATAGTAATAGTAATAGTAATAGTAATAGCAATAGTAATAGTAATAGTAAAATAGTAATTACTATACTTTTACTAGTATACTATTCTTAGCAATATATTAGTAAAGACAGTATATCCTATACTATCTTCAAACAAATAGTAACCGCTATAGCAAATAGTAATTGCTATTTTACTATTGCTATTACTATTACTATGGACTTCTTCCTGAGATTGCTGTTGCTATTACTGTTACTATTGCTAATTTGACTTTACTATTTGCTATTTGCTATTGCTATTGCTGTTACTAAGGTTTTTACATCTCTAAAGCATTTGATGTTCCCGCTGCATGTCTAGTAACATCCCTCCAACATTTCCCGGTTCTGTTTAAGATAAAATCTCAGGAGGCCGTCTAGGATAGCTTTCTGTCTCTTCATCCACGGCGTATTTAAGTCCCAAGAGCCGCCCCTGAGAGCCTTGGCGTGACGGGCACGCGCCTTTATCCTATGTCACATGTCAGCGACTAGTGAATGGTTTAGTTAGTCATCATGTCCCGAAGGCTTCGCGCAGCCTGCGACTTCTGCCATACTTCCAAGATCAAGTGCTCGGGAGGGAAGCAGTGCTCAAGCTGCAGCTCGCTTAACATGGCCTGCTCGTACAGCTATACGAGGCACACTGGTCGACCACGAGGGGCTCGTAATAGGAAGACTCTCGAGCGCGTCCAGCAGTTTCAAGTTGAGCTGGACTTGCGATCGATCACCGACGGCGGAGGTGCGCCATCTATCCGGGACATGACGACTTCCGCCCCTGAATTGCAATCAAGGACCGAAACGTCTGCCCGCGAGAATGGCACAAGCTCCCAGAACGAGAGCCTCTTGCACCTCCAGTCGAATGATCCCTATGTTGGAGACATGCTCGATGGCCAGAGTGGCGGAAACTCCGCGTTTGACGACGCAATGGACTCTGACCTGTACGAAGTCGAGTCTGAGTTTCATTCCGATTCCACTCTCATTCCGGGCCTACTCAGTCCTGCAGTAACGGTAACTCCTTTCCAGCCGATAAGTAAGACTCCTTCGTTTGGAACTGATGATGTAGAAGCTAACCTGATGCAGTCAGTGATAATGAACGACGAGCGGCCGCTCATGCGGCAATTCAGCAGAACGAACAGCTTCTTGAGCATGAGCATCAGACGACATTCGAAGCATCGAACCCAGCGGAGCCCTCGGATATCTCATCGATGGATATGCTCACAGATATGTCTGCACTCGATCCTCAACTCCCACGGTCCAACATATGTAATTGTATTTCCAACCTGTCACTTGGCTTGTCCCGATTGGCAACTTCTTCGTATATGGCACAAACAGTAGATACGCTGGAAGACACTCTCTCTAGTACCCGAGTTGTTCTCAGTACCACGGCAGAGTGCTTCGCATGCCACTGTCATTCGGCAGGTCCGCGCATGGTAGTCTTGCTACTCATCGCAAGCAGCATCAGCCTGATCGCAAACATCATCAGCAACCAGTGTGCGAGCTCGGGTCAAACGGCGGTGGTCGTTTCGGACACAACCTGGCCAAACAGAGTCATTCAGCATAGTCGTAGCCCACGTCGTCTCTCCGAATCCGACCTTGTGGATTCGTCCCTGCACAAGGCATCGGGCATTTCGGGACCCAAGTTCAACAGATACCTACCTACAATGAGAGAGGAACGGCTCATGCGATCGGCCTTGTTACTGAATGCGATCGATCAGACTTGTACCGCCAGTCGTCGCTTGCTGCAACTGGCGAACAACTACAGACTCTCGCTGCAGTCCGGCGGCGGCTTGCATGTGGACCAGACAAGTGCAATGCTCTTTTTCTCTCGCCTACCATCAACAATGCGCATGTCTTCCACCGGCAGACAGTCAGAAACGACGATGGTTCAAGGGCTGCAGTACATCTGCGAAACGATGGAGCAGATTGCGCGCGACATGTCTCGGCATGCCGAGGATTTTGCAATCTTTCATCGCGTGTAAGGAGTTGGGAAAGGTCATCAAGCAAGCAAGCAAGCGGTAGAATACATATATCTATCCCGGCAAAAGCACTTCCTCTCTATCGCTTACTTGACACCGCTGCACTCAGAATTTGACTGAGTCGTAGGCACTATAACACACACGGTACTGTTAGCAAAGTCTTCGGCTCTCTCGTAACATGCCCCAATGGGGAAAGGTCAGTGCTGGAGATTCACCTACCTGCGGATGTCGAAGCAGATTGAAGTGCGTCCCCGGGGCTTGAGATATTGTTATGCTGGCGTGAGGAAGCAGCTGCTGCCATTCGGTGTTCGGAAGCCGCACAGTTTGTCTCGGAGCCAGGAGGAATCGAGCAATTTTGGAGCTACTAGAGGAGGTGGTCACAAGGGCTTGTCGACCACTCAATAGGTGCTGTTGATCCTCTAGCACTCCGCACGAAGCCCAGATGATATGTACGTCGAGAGAAGCACCGCCAGATCCATTACCTGCAAGCGGAAATTGCTTGTAACCTGCGATGGCCTGGACAGTTGCTTGGAAGTGGTCAGTGACCCATCCCGGGCATTCTCTGCCATCGTCACTGAAAGCTCCCAGCTTCGAAAGAACGGAAATCAGCTCCTCCGACATGGCTTCGAAGGCGTTCCGAGGCGCCGAATCGATCAGAATCAACTTGCTCACACTCTCGCCAGCACGTTGTAGAGCCCGTGATGCTTCAAAAGCGTAGTACCCTCCTGCTGACCATCCACCCAGAAGATATGGCCCGTGAGGTTGATGCTTCCGAATTTCTTTCACCCAAAGCTCCACAAGACTTTCCACCGTGAACATCCCTCTGTGCCCTTGTTGCCGGATATAAGGACTGCTTAGACCAATGACACAGGTATCTGGGCCGAATGCGGGAAAATCGAGATTCAGGTATACCGTTGCGGATCCACTTCCATCTGGGAAAAGGAACAAGAAGGTCTTCGCCGATCGTGGATCACGATTGAAGGCGTTCGAGAGATGGCTTGCCGCATGGCCGTTGTCCATTCGGGTATGGTGAGAATCATCGCCTCGCCTGTCGTGGGCCTCAGCGCGGGACGGTAAAACGGCCTTGCTCTCATTCACCTCGCGTCGAACGTTCACCGGAGAGGAAGAAGACACCGAGCTCACAGGAGTAGGGCAGAGCTTTGCCAAAAATCCCGCCTCGAGCTCGGAGTAGCTGCTAATACCCCCGTGAAGTAAATCCATCGCGTTGAATCCAAGTTGAGACTGTACTTCGCCCATTATCGATAGACGCATCAAGGAATCTACGCCGAGGTCATCGAATTGGTCCTGTTGAAGTAGCTCTTCAGTACTGATGCCAATCTGCTGTGCAACAATTGATCGGAGAATGGAAACACTCTGAGAACTCATACCTTCCCGGCTCTCATGAAGTCCGTCCAGCTGGCTGAGTGTCGTCGGTGGTGACTCGAGAGTAGAAGGTGTTGTTTCGGATCCAGACTTCTCGGATGTTCCATCGCTGGAATCGCCACTTGCCCCGAGGAGGAATTCTTGCAATTCCCCAACCGTTTTACAGTCATGGAACACGGCTTGGGCTAAGTCGACTCCTAATTCATGGCGTACAGCTCCTAGTATCGTCAAGGTCATGAGCGAATCGATTCCTAGGCTTTCCAGACGTGTGTCACGAGGCAAAGTCCGCAACTCCGCGCCGCACTCGCGCGAGATTATCTCCATGGTTTTCTCACATTGACTGGACAAGTCGAGATTGCTTTCGCCGGTCTTCTCGGGCGGAGCATGAGTGACTCCAGGGGTCTCTTGTCTTGATCTTGTAAGGATGATATTTTGACCAGCGGGTGGTGTTATAGGTCCATCGTGCACTGCAGCCAACAACATTGGTAGAGCTTTCTTCGGTATACGCCTGAAATCCACTCCTTTGGCAACCCCAACAAGTGCATCCTGCTCGAAGATGTGTACTGTACCAGTGTAGATCCCGGGTCGGATGTTGTGCATTCTGACGTGCACTTCATACTGCTTTTGTGGGTTGATCTCGGTTGGAAGACGTAATGACCGCCACCCATGGGAGATATAGACCGCGTCTTTGGATGTGAAAAGAGGATTTCCGTTGAGTACCAAGCCAGAAAGATGGAGCAAGCTATCGATCCAGTATGGAGAGCAGAAGAACTTCTCCTCCTCGTTTTCCGCAACAGGCAATCTGATCGTTGCAGTCGCTTCGAGGCCTGGTGCTAGGTACACCTGATGCAGTCCTTGGAATTGGGCACTGTAATCCACCAGCGATGCGAACAATGTGTACGCTGATTGCCTTCCGAACTTATTGATATCGTCTTGGGCCACATTTTCGTGGATCTGACGTCGTCGTTCGTTGATCATAAACTCTGACGATGCCAGTTTCGAACTCCAGGCTTTGTCATCCGAGAACACTACTCGACACTGAGCGTGTTGCTTCTTCTCGCCACTGAACTCGGAACAAAGCTGTATGTCTAGACATCCTGCCGTCAAATCCACGAGTGCAGTAATGTTGACTAATTGTGGGCCCGGTGGACATTGTTCCGGAACCAAGATGGGCTGCATGATCTCCATACGTTTTACTGTCATTCCTGACGCGTCTGTGGTGAGAGGATAAGTCCTTCTCGCATGATCCGCGATGGTCATGGCCATGTCCGTGTAGACCGACTACGGATATATCGTCAGCCCGCACTCACAAGTGATTGTCAGACTTCTTACCGCCGGGCAAAGATACTTGCCAGCCACCGCATGCCCCTTAATGACATCGCGGAGTGGAGGGTAGGCAAAATCGGTTTCGAAGACAACTTTTGCGGCCACATCACTGATTGATTCCTCCAGCACGAGCCTATGAACGGTCGTGGTCAGTTGCTTCGGCAGGCTGGATGGAACCTGCGTCTTCGGCATGTTCGACTTAGTGTGTACATGTAGACGCCAGTCGTTCTCGTATGGAATCCAGTAGTTCTTCTGCTCCCATGCATACGATGGTAGGTGCAAGACCTCGGGTAAGCCCTCCAAATCCGCGTAGTACGCATCCCAAGAGACATTGTAGCCGTAAGAGTGCATTCGAGCTAGACTGCATGACAGAGTCTTCCAGGGATGCTCTTTTGGGCGCATGGACGACAATAGCAGCTTGCAAGGCCCCATAGTTGCGTGAATCATAGCCAGGCAAACTGGGGTCGTTCCAATCTCTAACCAACACGTATTCTGGGGGGAGAACCCTTCTGCCTGAGAAGCTTCCAGTGCCCCTCGGAAATGGACTGGATCGCGGATTTGGCGAACGATGTATTCTGCGTTCAGAGTTGGACTACTTCGTACGACGGTTGCAGAGGCCGTTGGCGTGGCTACGGCAATGCTAGGTGTCTTGAAAGTTAAGCACTCGAGTTCTTCTCTCAGGTCACCTAGCAAAGGCTCCATCTGCGCCGAGTGATGGCCGAATGGCATGCCCAAGATCTTGCAGCGAGTACCTCGAGGCTTAAAGATTTGGAGCAGGTCTTGAATGGTATCTGCAGATCCAACCAGCACAGTATCTTGGGGACTGTTGAAGCACGCAACTTCCACTGTCGACAATTTCTCGTCCAAAGTTTCACGAATGGTATCCAAGCTTGCGTTCACCGCCAACATGAGGTGGCTCTCCGTTGAACAATATTTCTCCAATAGCCTTGCCCTGGTTCCCACAAGGCGAATCGCGTCTCTGGCCGTGAGAACCTCAGCGGCGACCAAGGCAGCATATTCTCCAAAGCTGTGGCCCAATACAAGATCCGGCCTAAGGCCAAATCTTTGGAGGAGTCTGAGCAGTGCCATCTGCACACCCAAGATGAGGACTTGCTTCGAGACGAAGTCTGGTTCACCTCCCTCGTTCGTGATGAATTCCTCGAAGCTTGGAATTCGCTGAGAAGTCGCGATCTGGTTATAATGCAGCAAGGTGGCTCGGAAGTATCCACAGGATTGCGCAAGCAGTCTTACTGAGTGTATATCGAATGCTCCCTGCCCTGTAAAGATCAAAGCTAGCTTTCGTTCCCCAGAAACAGCATGTTCGACCCCATCGTCTGAGATGGAATTCAAAGCTTCTTCAGCCTCTGCAACGGTCGAAACCACTTTGACTGCACGCAGTCTGTGATGGATTCGCCGAGCCATGGTGGTGTACGAGAGGTCCACAAGTGACGGCTGCGGAACTTGCTTGAGATACTGTCGCAGCCCCTGAGCATTTCCTTCCAGTGAGGTCCAGGACTTGGCAGAAATGGCAATGGGAAGCCAATTGGGAACTTTGGTAGGTATCTTCCGCCGTTCCTCGGTAGCCTTGCTCGCTTGGCTGATAATACACGCCGCGTTGCCACCGGCCGCATCGAAGTTGTTGATAAGAATGGTAGTTTTGTTCTCTTCGTCAGTAGTGATCGAGTCGGGAAGCGAGATAGCTTGTCGAGGTATGGCTACGTTTCGCTCGCTCATGGGAGGGAATTGGCTGTTGATTACGCTCTTAATCCCAACATGGGGCGGAGCGAGCTTCTGGCGGATCATTAGAAGAGCTTTGATTACTGAGGTGATGCCGGATGCCGACTCTCCGTGACCAAGATTTGCCTTGATGGATCCCAGAAGGAGTGGGAAGTGAGAGGAGTGACGGGGTGTGGCGAAGGTGTTCAGGATCGAAGACATCTCTACCGCGTCTCCTGCCTGTCAGTGATCAGTCATAGTTGCTCGGCAATACAAATCTCGATTGGGCGATAGATTACCTGAGTGCCTGTGCCGTGCATTTCGATGTAATTGACATGGCCAGGACGAATGCCGGCATCTGCTACGACCTTTCGGAACAGTCTCTGCTGCGCCGGAGCCCATGGATGGGTAATGGAAGACGATCCCCAGGAGTGATTCATGGAGGAGGAAAGCAGTGTCCCCAAGATCTTGTCATTGTCAGCAATGGCCGCACTCAGTGGTTTGATCACAATCGATGCCACTGCTTCGCCTCGACAGTAACCGTCCGCTGCGTTGTCGAAGGTCTTGCAGGAACCGGTTGGGGAGAGGAAATGCCCTGAAATCAGGCCGTTGTAATTGTCCGAACTGGTCACAATGTTCATTCCGCCAACGACGGCCGTGTCACAGTCGCCGTTCCATATAGCATTGCATGCGACATGTAAGGCGACTAGGCTGGAGCCTATGCGATGATCAGCAAGATACATGAAGATTCTTGGAAGCCAACCAGCACTGACTACAGGCGGTGTCAATAGTCATAGACGGCCCACCGAATCTGAAGAAATGGCTAATGCGACCCGGACCAAATGCCCGCATGGTTCCTGGTATGAAATAGGTCCCGACTTGCTGAGTGGCGTTCTGTTCTTTGTACTCGTCTGCAACTTGTCCATAGAACGTCCCGACTCGCTCAAGCTGAGACGATGGCGTCCGATTGGGAACGAATCCGGCCATCTCCAACGCCTCGTACGCCGTGGTCAGTGCCAGACGCTGTCCCGGATCGGTCTGCAGCGCTTCCCGGGGCGAGATATTGAAGAATCTCGAGTCAAAGAGCCCCGGCTTGTCCAGGAAGCACCCAAAGGCTGGTGCATCGAGATGTGATTGTGCATCAAACCGATCCCGAGGGATCTTTGCCGATCTGTTAGCTGCCTCCTCCACACGTGATATGAGTGCCAGTTATCTACTGTACCTCTGTGTGGAGATCCTGTCCGTCCATCAGAGCTTTCCACAACTCGTCCACATTCTCCGCCCCAGGAAATCGACCTGCCATGCCGACGATCGCGATCGGGAACTTCGCGGATGAGGATAGTCGCTCTGGGGATACCGCGTGGTATACGCAGGGCTTGTTCAACCGTTGATTGAGATATCGATACAGCTGTTCAGAGGCGTGCTCCGGTAATGTGAGCATCGGGCTACCGAAGACAATGAATTCCAAGGACTCTCCTTCCTCCTGTTGGATCGCCTCGGCGCAGCTGACCTGAATGTCTTCTAGGTTACGGAGCTCTGCGAGAACATCGAGGAGTGTTCTCTCCAGGTATTGTTGCTTATTGACGACTTGATGAACGCCACTACACCCAACATGTCCTCGAAACGGATCAAACTGGTCGGCTTTCAAGTATGACGGAGTTTCCGAAGCCCAAATTGGAAGATGGCGAAGGACATCTTCTTCGCCGAAGTGCCCTCTCGCAGCTGCGGACGGAGAAGTCCTAGTGCCCAGGGCTTTCTCCTCTGTGCTGCTCGTGCAGAGAAAGGCTCGAAAAGCGACCAATATAACCTGGACCATGAGCTGCACGAACTCGTCCAGGCCAGTGGAAATGGCTGCAGTAGCCGCAACTAACTCGCCAGATGATAGTCCAACGAGAACATCTCGATCCGGAGTGGGCCATGGTGCTTGTGGACTGCGTTCAAAGTGTCTTTGGACCATGTCAGTTCTCGATCTGTCAGTCTTGAGGGGGTCTTGTGGTACTAGCCTGATGAAGGAGATACTCTGAGTCAGCAGCAGCTGGATTTGCAAGGAGAGATATGTGTCTTCGAATGGCTCGCTGTCCTTGGAGAGGTTATCCAACCACTTCAAGCTATAGAAATGATTGTTCAGACTCGTTGCACAAGCTTGACGTTTCCATTCCTCTCGTATTGCCGTGAGGATCTTATCCATGAATTTCGAAGCCAATGAGCTCGCTCCGATTGAGTCAATAACGGAGCGAGTTGTATACCGCCCATCACCCGCGTGGAGCAAGTCATCCGAGAAAAGAAACAGCCTGGGTTGAGCCATTGTGGGTTGTGCTCTTGCAGATCGTTGAGGATGATGTGAACCAACGACCTTCTGGAACTTCTTTGCTGCGCCGCTGCAAATGCGATCGCTTGACTTTCAAGTGCAGGTCTGTTACCGTTCTGCGCCAAATTCCAAGTCTCGGCGGGCTCGTTGGAAGCATGGCTCTCTATGGTCGATCGCCGACTACCCTACAGACTGGCTACGGCGACACAAAGGGCGGATGAAGTGTGCTCGCTAAGCAATTTTCTCGGTGAGTTACTTATATAGTGACAAGGGTCATGGATACTGCAGGGGCTGTAACTTCAAACTAACGTCGATTCTGGACATTCGTTTCGTCGGTTGATGCCATAGAGTCTGCTAAGGCACTTGAATCTATCCATCAGATTGCAAAGCTTTTTCCTGACGTCCGTAAACTGCGGTGGTGCAAGTTCAGAAATGGCTGAGACACAACACCACGTCCTCATCGTTGGCGCCGGTAAGTGATGAATATGCTATGATAAGATTATGAACGTGGACTGAACTTGTTGTCAAGGTATAACGGGGCTGCTGTTGGCTCAAGCCTTGAAGCAGGTGAGGACGCCATTCGTCGTTATCTCTCGTTCACGGGATCTAATCATCCACTTCCACGCAGAGAGACATCCCGTATACCATATTCGACCGCGAACCATCCAGGCAACGATATCGAGCCAGAGAGTGGGGAGTATCGCTTCAATGGGCCCTGCCACTGATTGCCGAATGCTTGCCCAAAGAACAATTCAGTCGGATCCACGAGACAGCAGTCGATGCTAGCTACGTACCTGAAGATCCGGGTAGATTCCCTACGTTCCATGGCAAAACAGGCGCACACATCAAAGACATCCCTCTTGTGTACATGTATCGCGTGTCGAGACATAAGTTTCGGGCCTTGTGTCACGAGGGAATCGACGTTCAGGTATGATATTACGCATCGTGCCCCCTGAGGGTTCCGTTATTGAATATACAACAGTATGGCAAAACGCTTGTCGGCCTGAAGTATCCACAAGCTGGAAGCGTCGTAGCCTTGTTCGGAGACGGGTCTGAGATTACAGGAACCTTGGTCGTGGGAGCTGACGGTGTTCGCTCAAGCGTAAGAGAGTGTATATTTGATGAGGTGGATCGCAGCCTTGGGCTGGCCCGAACAGCCCCATATATTGTAATCAGTCTGCATGCTTGCTACGGCGACGCGGAGAAAGCTCTTTTCGTACGGCGGAATCATCCTGTGCTATTTCATGGCATACACCCTGATGGATTCTGGCTCTGGCTGTCCGGTAGGCTCGCGCGGAACTTGTAGCTGCTGTCCAACGCTGACTGTAGACAGTACAAGACGTTCCCAGCGATGATCCCGCCACCTGGTCTTTCCAACTCTTGATTACGTGTAAGCCGCGAGTGGGACTCGACCCAAGCGTGGAGCCCATCACTCTTGCTCGAGTGCAGCAGATGGCTGAGTCTTTCGGAGAGCCATTCCGATCAGCGTGGCGCTGGGTCCCTCCAGGAACTAGCCCATCGTCGAACTACATGTCGTACTGGGAACCGATTCCTTGGAACCATCGTGAAGGACGAGTAACTTTAGCCGGCGACGCTGCTCATGCGATGACAGTGCGTAAGTACAAATCAACCCACATAAGCCTCTCACCTCGCCTCAATCTAATGTGCTTCAAGAAAGAGGGCAAGGCATGAACAACGGCATAGCAGACGCTGTTAGTCTTGCCAAAGGTCTGCAGCGTGTCGTGGAGGGAGAATCTAGCATGGAGGACACGATAGAGGAGTATCAGCGGGAAATGATTGAGCGAGGCGCTGCCGAGGTTAGGCTGTCGAAACAGCAAACGGAAATGGTTCATGATTGGAATCTTGCGTTGAAGTCCCCGTTGCTGAACAAAGAGGCGTGTTTCCCTCAAGAACGAACGTCACACAGACTGTAGTCTACAGATACTGGGACTGTGTGTCAAGTGACATGGGCATTGGGCCTTGGAAGCCGGATTTTCACAGCAGTTTCGGAGCCTCCTGATCGACGATTACATGCAATCACAGGAGTACACAGCCCACCGCAGTCGTCATTTGTCTTAATCGTAATGCTGAAGTGATTGCTACCAATCTCCGGTTGCGAAGCACAAATTTCCCATACTCGGCTGCGTCAAGCGGCAGACCTATTGTTTCGGCGCCCTACTTGGTGAAAGAACCTTTACATTAGTCAAATATAAGTAAGATACCGAAGCTGAAAAGCTAAAGAACCGCGGGAATTTCTACTCCTTGTTCATTGCCTGGCAAATTCCTTGTAGCTTCTTCGATTATGCACAAGTTCCCCGCTGCTATTGAATACCGTGGAGACGGAAAGGTAGATGTAGAAGAGACCAAACTTACATCTGTGCTTTGAAGATTCTCGGCAAGAGTGACTGTTAAAGCTGGTATACTGATGGACTGAGAGAGAAAGTGGCCTAGAAATGGAGAACGGGCGAAGCAATGTAGTCGAAAATTATGATATTGAGCAGCAAGATGAACTGAATCTTGAATTCAATAGGCATACTAATGCCATTGAAACTCAAGAAGGGAATTCGCAATACCTGCAATGTTGTTAATCGCGCCAAAGCATGCAACAAAGCTCCAAGCGTTGTTCGCATTGAGGAAAATGTTCTCAAACTCCTTCAGGCTTCGCTCTCGAGCATTATGTGCTCCCATCATCACGAGATCATCGATTCTGAGATCGATAGGTCAGCAAGCTCTGGGCGATATCGCTTCGTCAATGAGAGACCATGCTTACCTTGCTTGTCGTTGGTCAAGCAACGGACTGAATTGTGCCGGGGGTTCTGGTAGGACAACTTCATTGATCAACACCGTCGACCCTGGACTCAAAGCTGGTTCCAACGCTCGCAAAATCTCGACACACTTCTCATCAGACCAGTCATGCAGAATGTTCCTGAAGTAGTACACGTCTGCTCGAATCGACTGCGGAGCGAAGAAGTCATGCTCATGGAATGTGACATTGCTCAGCCGTGCACTTGCGATGGCGGACGTGCCTTTTTTCATGGCCTCCTCGTTCGTGTCTTGTACAATGAATTGTGCGTTGGGTACTTCAGCTGCCAGGAGACCGGCAATCTGACCAGATGATCCCCCAACGTCGACAAGAGTTCCGCTTCCTCCTAGACGCCCTTTCCAGTCCCAGCTTGAGAGAAGGTCACGAGCGCTGTATCTCGGAAGCTGAGCGCGGCCGTCTAAGAAATTGTAGTACTCTTTGGCCTTTTCAGGTCTGAGCGCCATGAACTCGAAGCAATCTTTATAGCCCGGATAGGTCAAATTGAAGGGGGCAGCAGGCAGAGCACTGTCACCGTTGACACTGTGCCCGTTGAGCCTGTCACCGCCGAGACATGTCTTTCCTTTCTTGGCTTCACGCCACATCTGCTCCCAGGGACTTATATTGGCACAGATGTTGGTGATCATGCTCGCGTTATGCTGCGCAACATCTCTCAGATTCCCATTCCAAGCAAGAGTAGCGGATGCAGCAGAGTGTCCGATGTAGCCTTCCGAATCTTCGATGAAAATCCCATTGGTAATGGCAAAGCGGACCAGCCGCGTGAGAATGTCCAGGTCGGCGTGCAATAAAGTCGCGAGATCGGTGAGAGGGATCGTGCCTTGCAACGGTACCTGCTGCGGAACCCCCATCCTCAGTAAAGCCTCCAAGTTCGCTGCATCGAGTGCCTACCGTTGATTAGCACTTCGCATCCGGGGATCCTGTCGTTCGGATGCTTTACATTGTATGACAACGTGACAACGTGGTCGACGGGGCCCTGTGCGAGTCGCACAATGGTATATGCGGCCTGGACAATCTGGTTGCGAAGTCTGATGGTTTCTTGAGTCTCGATTGAAGCAGTGGCAACGTCAACGTAACCCGATGCTTCAAGGGTGCACTGCGGTCGTTGTTGCGCCGACAGACGCTTTTCTAGCTGGGCGGCATCCGCAACCACCGACTTGGCGAGATCAGATAGCGACATGGCGATTGGGAAATGCGGCAAGGCAAGACAAACGTCCTGCATCAGCACAAAGATGCGTGAGTTGAGTCGTCGCTGATAGAACTATCGACCTGGAGGCTCTGAAGACTCGAGTGCATGTGACTGCCAATGCTGCCCAGTCACGTGTGGAAAGGTGATATGCATGGCGAATGCGGATCCATCGACAGCGGATTTGCCGAGAATACATATTCTCGGTGAGCCAGATTCGGCGTGGACAGGGGATGTGCAGAAGCGCAATGATTGACTTCCAATGTTTGTCGGGGAGTCTGTTCGGCACTCGACCTCGCTTTCTTTCCCGCACGAAGACTGAATCCATGCGTTTGTGTCATGTCCCTGGGATAAGTATGTAGGTCGGTAGAAGACAATCAACAATCCTAAGCTATACTACTGAATCTTCCACTGCCAGCATGTCCGTCAATGTCGTTGTGATTGGCGCAGGAATCGCCGGACTGACGGCCGCTGTCTCGTTGTCGCAGGCGGGCTACAAAGTAACCGTCTTGGAAAAGTCGCAGTGTGCCGGGGAGACAGGGGCAGCTCTGGCACTGTCGCCCAATGGTGCCAAGGCTTTGGCCTCCCTCAACTTCTCCTTCCAGCGAGCTAGAGCGGTCCCTCTGGAAACATGGGAGAGTTTGGACGGGAGAACCTTGAACACTCTCACCAAGGTTGATCTGAAGACGGCTGAGCAGAAGTATGGCCATCGAATGTGGTCGGTGCACCGGGTGGATTTGCACATGGAGCTGCTTAGGCTGGCGACAGAGCAGACTGGAGGCTCTGTAACTCTGCGCCTGGGTGCTCCAGTCCGGGCTATCGATCCACAGAACGGCATTGTGTACCTAGATGAGAGGGAGTGCATTCAAGCGAGTCTGATCGTGGCAGCCGATGGCCTGCACTCTGTCGCCCGCTCTGTGGTGCTGGGCACGAACTTTCCTCCAACAAAGACCAATTTCAGTGCCTTCCGTTTTCTCGTCCCTACGGCTCATTTGGCACGAGATCCTTCGCTCTTGGGCTTGCAAGCGCGGAAATCGCCTGGTTCAACGATCTTTGCGGATACACTGAGCACAGAAGAAAGGCATCTTGTTTGGTATGAGTGCAGAGAGTAGGGTTGCCGCCAAGCTCCTGTCCTATCCGCCAACTCACCTTTTGCAGTGGCGAAATGCAGAATATAGTGGGCATACATCCGACACGAGACGATTGCGGTGTCACTCAAGGCTAGTTTCTCCTCCCATGCCGTCGATTTTGCTGACCCTGAACGATTTGTAGACGACAACAAGACCAAGATGCTCAACGAATACGCGGATTTCCATCCAGACGTTCAGGCTCTGCTTCGGTTAGTGATCCAATGTCGTTGGTAGGCACGTCGTAATGGATCAACAGTCTTGCAGGAGAAGTCACTTACTGGCCACTATACTCCTCGGAGCCAATCACGACGTGGGTCAATGGCCAAGTGGTGTTGATTGGCGATGCTGCTCATCCGGTATTGCTAAGTAACTTCATGATTGTGCGATGATCGCTGACTAGAGTAGATGTTGCCGTTTGGTGGTCAAGCCGCCAACCAGGCTATCGAAGACGCTGTCGCACTCGGTCGGTTGATGTCGGGGCGTGAGTCCTTGCTCTCGGTCCAGAAACGCCTAGTTGAGTTCCAGAGTCTGAGATACACAAGAGCGTCGATGATTCAGATACTCTCTTCTACAAGAATCGGCCGCGAGAGAGACGTCGACTCACTGCTACGCACGTTTGCTGGTGATTCCAAGGGTATGCCTATTCGTCTACAGGTTGCGTCGTACTGGCATTGACATTACAATGCATTAGTTCCAAGCTGCTTCGAAGATCGAATTGAGCACTCATTCAAGTGAGTTTCCAGCCAAGACCTGCTCTCATGGAATGATAGTGCTGAAATTATGTTTTCTCAGCTACGATGTCATCGCCGAATGTGATAGGAGGATCAACTTGAGGCAAGATAATTCTGGAGATTGCCATGTGTACTAGGACCAAGTCCGCATGGGAATTGATTTCCTATAGAAAACACGGCAATATATTTTGTTTCGATTCCCAGGGCAGTCATATCTCGAAATACGATCGTTGTAACAGCGGGTCACATTTCTATTTGCTGTCTAAGCACTTTTTCGATTTAGGCTCACCAATGCGTTGGCAATTTCCTTCATCCTGCGTATCGTGGTCTCTCGCTTATGGTGCAGCCGCTTGGAGTGCCTCATACCAGTGAGGAAAAAGAACAAGAGCCAGTTCGTGACAACGAATGAAGCAAACAGTCCTAGGCTCAGCCACTTTCGTTGCCGATGAAAGCCCAGGCTGGTGAAGTACCCGGTGCCAGTGGCGAAAGGACAATACATGCAGTTGCTCGTCGCATCTGGGGCCAGTACGTAACCCGGGTCAGCGTTACTGATGTACTGGCCACAAGTAGTGTTCGCGGGAGGATCGAAGTGTATCAGCTCGCTTTCTGTACACTCGATGTGCAGGTTGCCGAGGATAGTGGATAGAATGCCGCCGATCCACCAAGTCATTGGATTTACCCAATACAGCCAGCGGCTCCACACGCTCGGAAGCTGCGAGAATGGTCTCACAACTCCATTGCACAGCCCAGTGACGGCAAAGAAGAATGGCAGGGCATTCGACACCATTTCGATGTCGGGAAGCAGCATGCAGATCCATTGAGCCCAAGAGAACAGGAACCAGAAATAAAACAGTGTCATTGCAAACACATAGCAGCCCGTGGAGAACTGATGTGATATCCCGCTTGGAAGGTACCACGATAAGAAGTAGAGCAATGCAGAGACCGTTGCCATTGGAATTTCGGCCAATATACAGGCCGCACAGAGTGCTGTGAAATCGTAAGTCCCGGATGGCAACTCTCTTGTCGTCCACAAAAGCAAATTCTGGTAGAAGCGCACTTTGACGGTGTTGACGATGATGGGTGGCAAGAGTATGATGAGGAATACACTAAACATTCGGTCTTGGAGACTGGCCAGAGTGTTTCCGACCTGCCAGAAACAGAGTCCATTAATGAGGCCTGATGTGAGTGACACGCTGATCCAGGTGTACCAGTATGATGGTTCTCGCCAGTACTGTAAAAGCAGTCGCGTAGTAAGAAGCCTCACCTGCAGCGCCAAGGGTGCAGCATGAGGCGCGAACGATCGCCGCTTCTCGGATATTGAGGACGGTTTATCATGCTGAATGACTTGAATCGTGGCAGATAAAGCTCTGATCTCGTCCGAATTGGACCATTCTTCTGCCCACCCTTCTCCGGTGGAGCTCCGCATGGATGAATCGATGATAAGTGCAATTCCATGTGCATCGTCAGTACAAAGGACGCCGCGTGTGGCCAAATACTGTCTGAGATCCAAGGCTGAGCCAGAGTAGACACACCGGCCACTGAGGTCGAGAGCGAAGAGCGTGTCGAAGTGTCGAAGAATCTCCGTGGATGGTTGATGTATGGAGCATATGATTTTCATGCCAGAATCACAGAGCCGACGAAGAAGGCGAATGATCGAGAGAGCAGCTTGTGCGTCTAGACCACTTATCGGTTCGTCCATCATTACAAGGGACGGCCTGGCGACAAGCTCATATCCGATGTCAACAAGCTTTCGTTCTGCATAGCTGAGAGATCCGATGATTGTGTTTGCGATGCCTTGGAGTCCAAGGACAGAGAGCAAATGGGCCACGTACTGTAGCTTCTCTATCTTGGAAAATGATGGGTCTTGTCGAAGAATTGCGGAGAATTCCAGCGCCTCGCGAACGGTGGCGGTTTCTTCAAGTATGCTGACTTGTGCCACAAGTCCGATAGACCGGCGGAAGTCCCTCGCAGCCGTCTTTCCACTCATGGTGGCAATGCCCGTCACCACGGAATTTGCGGCCTGCTGACCCGAGAGCGCATGGAGGAGGCTGGTCTTTCCAGACCCAGAGGGACCTACAAGAGCCATCAAAACACCGCGGGCCACGTAGCCATTGATGTCTACAAGCACCTGTCGTGAGGAAACACCATCCTTGACCGTATAGTTGATGCTCTTCCATGCAAAAAGATCGTGAGCAGCTCCTAGGGAGGGGGGACTTTCGTTCATTGTTTCCGTTGTGCCCGAGTCTGACGCTCCTGAATGGTCGTTCAAGTTTTTCTCGACATCTCCAGTACTCGCCTCCTCTGATCGGTGGGGGTAGTCTGATCCGTCAACATCACCAGTACCGGTGGACTCCTCGTCAGCGATTCGGCGACGATCCTGACCAGTTTGAACGACTACGCGCTGACGAGCTGGCTGGTGTATACGCCACATCTTCTCAGATGCTACCCAGGTCCCGAACAGATACACGCCGGTGAGCACGACAATCAGAGCAAAGTTTCTCCAAAGATGCGCAAAGTTGTATTGGAACACTTTGGATAGATATTCGTGGCCTCTCACATCTGTGTTTCCCCGACCAGTGCCCGGAATGCTGCACGTTTGGGGAGAAATTCCAGATCCATTTTCGTAGGGAACAAGGTGTTCTGGCGCGCATGGAATCCTGTCATCATGAAGTTGGCTGCTCAGCATACCTTCGAAGCCATAAGCCAGTGGGTTGATGTAAGCAATCCAGCCGATCCAAGGCCGATCTGCCATGAGTCGAGACTTGGTAATGGTGTATCCTGCAAACATTAGGAGAACGTTGTGAGCGACGCCTGCAAAACGGACGGCGTTGTCCGGACTTGCGCTTGAGATAGCCAGAAGTCGGAATAAGGCGGTAACACACAATGTCAAGATCCAGACAAAAGCCAGGAATGCAAAGAATTTACCAGCATTCAGGGCGAAATTTGCCATGAAGTAGATGATAATGACCAACGGGACCACTAAGGTAGGTATCATGATCCAGTCGACCACAAAACGAGCCAGCATAGCAGCGCTAGGCCGGTAGAGTCCATACTGTCTGTGTCGCTCCAAGAAAGCTCGGCTCGATAAAGTTTCATCGACCTCACATAGTTGCACCCAGATGAGAAGGAGGGCCGCAAAAAGTGTCGCTCCGCTGCGTGAAAGGAGTCCGGCTGTACTCTCCGGGATATCATAGTAGAGACTCGCGACTACCAGAGCGTCCGCAATGGCAAGGAGATATTTCAACACCTGCCGTCTCCAATCTCCGCTCTTGAGCCAGAATTCACGCCTGACACAATTGATGACCTGCTGTCGATAATTTGGCACGAAAGATCTGTGGTGTATGTGCGTCTGGCTGGAGTCATCTCCTGCAGAGCCATGAAGTGCCTCGAGCTTCACCTCCTGGCGCTTGACCTCGGCGAGAACAAGTTCATTGGCTTTGCTGTCGCGGAAAATCTGTTCCAGGTCTTCTGCAGTTCGACCGCAGTTGTGTACTGAGTTTCCCGATGATATCAGGTTGGTCAGAAATTCCGCCATTGGCTGGTTAGTCTTGATGCGATATCCAAGACTCTGAAAGTACTGCCGAGCGTCTCCAGTCGGACCCTGGTACAGCATCCGGCCTCCGTGGATTACGAGAACTTTGTCAAAAAGATGGTAGATCTCGTCTCCTGCCTGGTTCAGAGCGATGACGGCTGATCGGTTGGTTTTGTGGGTAATCAGTCGGAGGCAGCGGATGAGTCTCAGAGCGGCATTTGCGTCGAGACCGCATGTGATGTTGTCCCAAGCTGAGATAGGTGATTGCAGCGATAAAGCTTCCATCACCGAGACTCGTTTCCTCTCTCCGCCACTGATTCCTCTTTTCAGTGTATTGCCTATCAAGGTATCACTCGAGAGCTCCATTCCAAAGATCTCAAGGAGTGCATTGGCGAGGGATCCAATTTGCCGTGTGGTTTCTGTTGGGAACGAGCTTCTCAGCGCGAATTCCAATGTCTGCCGTACGGTCAGGGCTGGGAAGTGCTGGTCGTCTTCTGGACAGTACGATGACCTGCCAGCGCAGCTGACGTGCCCAGTTGCAGAAGTGTCTTGATCTTGTCGATGCGATATGGCCTTGAGGAATGTGCTGCATCCGCTTCCCGCACGCCCCAGCACGAGCATCATCTCGCCATTGCCCACGACGCCCGTGAAGTTCCTGATTACTGGGTGCGGAGTGCAAGTAGCTTTCGTGCCCGATGCTCGGAGACACTTCAGAATGCGCGATAAGATGTCGCCAAGCGCAGCACTGGCAAATGTGTGCGGCGCTGTACATTGTTGGACGCTTCTTGCCACGTACAGGTCGCGAAAGACAACACCTGATGCGCTGACGTTGGCAGAGTGTTGACCTTGTGGCAGGGCATTTAGGAAGACGTCCACGGAGCGTTCCTGGCGGGATTCCCATTCTTCAGTTGGAGTCGCCCCAACCTGCAGCGAAGACGACGACTCATCTTTGCCCGTGCTACTGGCAGATAGTTGTTCGGATGCAATAGATTTGGTCTGCTCCATGGTATGGTCACGTTCCAAGATTTGCTAGACCTTAAGGCTGGGCCGACCTTCACTTCACCTGCTTGTCTCTACCCAAAATCTCTCGTTGGCCCATATAACACGAACGTCTCTTCTCATGGTAGGCATGTTGGGCCAAGATCTGCAGAAGTGACAGCGGTACATCTGTTCCCTATTGGGTTGCAGCCGGGCGAGGTTCATCCGCATATTTTTATACTCGCCGGGAGTAGATTCCCGATCCTTGGTCGAAATTTGGGGACGTTGCTATCGCTATCGTATGGCAGGTCGTCGCGTCACTGGCAGGTCGTCGCGTCGCTAGCAGGTCGTCGCTATCGCTACTGAGGGTTGGCTTTTACCTGTTACTCGGCCGCGGGGAAGCCTGCGAGTGCTAAGCAGCTTACCGCTACCAATTTTGTTAGGCACTTTGCTCGTAGAATAGTATATCTTCCTCCCTTCTACGTACCTGCGTATATAGTGCATTTTGAAGCCAAAGTTGTCGCTATAAAGCAGTAGTATAGCCGTTTCCGAGGTATTGCGAGGTAAAGAATGCGACTAGGTAAAGAGCTTAGCGTAGAACACTAAGAGTTGCTAAAGGACTACTTTGCGTAAGGCAAAGATATCTATTAAACTATAGAGACAAGTCGACTACCTATCTATAGGCGTACGGTATATAGAGCCCTCGATAACTAGCGGTTATTTAGCGAGATCTACCCTCCTCGTATTATAAAGCGAGGCCGTAAGACTATTCTTAATAATAAGTAAGAGATATTTATTAAGGCGTTATTATCTAACCGACCGGACTCGTACTTCGTAGAGGTAATATAGGCGCTTATCGACGAGTAGCTAAAGCTTTAAGAGATATTAAAATATACGCATTTATCGAGTGTCTTAAAGTAGCGTAGTTAGAGGCGTAAATCGGTATAAAGGAAGGCGAAGGAGCGTAACCTATTGCTAAGGGCTCTATAAATGTTTAGGTACGCTAAATAGCCGGTAGATAGGCTAATATTTATCAACGAGACTACCTATAATTAGAAGACTAGTTAGCGGAAGTATAGATAGTCTCCGAAAGGCATTAATTATAGAGACTTCCGGTACGCGTAGCGAGAAGTAAGGTAGTCTATACTGCCTACTTTTACTATTAATAGCTATCTACCTTATACGATTAGTCGATAAGGCTCGATAACTCGAGAGATCTTCGTCGCTTAGTTAACTAAATAGGTAATGCCTTACCTCGAAGGCTATCCGCTAATAATCTTTGTAATAGATAATACTAGTATCTACTATAGCTCGGAGGTAAGGGAGGCGATATTATTAGCTAGTTACTAACTCGAATACCTGCCTCCGTACTTACCGGATTTAAATCCTATCGAATAGACCTTTAACTGCTTAAAGTGCTATATTAAGAGGCACATTCGAGACGTAGAATACTTCTTAAACTTCGGCGACTTCTTATATTATTGCCTATAGCGATATTAAGGGCCGAGGGCGTAGAAACTCTTCGAATATGCCGGATACAACGTCTACTACCTAGATTTCGCGTTTTCTAAAGAGGGCTTCGTTAGTACCGCCGGCTACGTATAAGATCTAATAGGTCTCGATCCGGAAGAGTCTACCTAGTATAACTAGTGTCTTTATACGCCGCCGGCGTCGATTAGTAAGTAGATTAAGGATATAGATAGCGACGAAGAATCTAAAGAAGAATAGGAGTAATAACGTAACGTAGCGGCAGAATTCGCTAGTGCGACTAGCGCGCTCGAGCCCGAGAAGTGTTATAAATGTTCGAATTCTAGGCTTTTATATAAAGATAAAATCTCAATATATAACGCAATATAATACTAGATATTTAATATATAGAATGTGTTTAGTCTAATTAGTCCGCGCCTACAATAATTACAAAAAATAATAGCATAAACGTTATATAGCACTACGAGAAGTAGAGCCTAAATTCGCACTTTATATAGTATCCTTAGCTCCGGCTAGCTCCGCCGCTATAATCTTATCGGCTTTTAGTATTAGGAACTTCTCGATTGCTTCCTTTATTCTATACCGTATACTCGCCTTTATTTTAAACTCTTCCTACTATTATTTCTTGCTTATATTAGCGATAGTAACTAGGTCGAAGTCCTCGTCGATATAGGTCTTCTATATAGCTCGCATTTCCGCCGAGTCGTAAAATAGCGGTATCTCGAGTGCCTACTAGAAGAATCCGACCCTTAGCTCCTTACCCTCCTTTAAACCCTCCGGTAGTACTATCGGTAACGATATATCCTTTGTAAGACCTAGTCTTAGTAGGGCACGAGCTAGTGTCTTCGAAGGAGTCGTAGGAGTAAATCTAGGTCCTATAGCTACTTAGAAACTAGCCGCTACTTTGTCTCCGAAGATAATATTAATAGGAGCCTAGACCTTTAGGCGGGCTTCTAAAGCCTCGCTATAACCGCTAGTAACGCCCTTCTTCTTTAACTAATTAGCGACCTTCTTAGCTATATCTCTCTCGAAGTATAGCTTAATTGTTGTAATAAGGACCTCTATATATATCGGATCGCTAAATTTCCGCTAGCCTTGAGCGATTAATCTTACTAGCAATTTAATTACTTCGGAGGTTATAAGCTAGTACTTATTAGGCACGTCTTGCTTGTCCGGATTGCGCTAGTAGTAGGTCTTAGGTCCTTTAATCTTAACGTTGCGACAAGTGCTAAGATTATACGCAAAGTAAGCTCGAATATTAACCTCGAAGTTACCCTTCTCGTTTAGTTCTATTACTTAAACGTTAGCGAGAGCGGCTTGCTACTAACCTAGCGTCTTACTAAGAGGTCTCTTGCTAGTAGCCGTGCCTTGCCTCTACGCTAAGCTAACTAGACCTGCGCTAGTAGGCCTTAGTTTAGTATAGAAGAATATATTAAGTTAAGGGTTAGTTAGCAACTCCTCGTCGATCTAGTAACCGAGACGGTTAAGGGTACGGCTATAAGCCTTATCTTCTTCCGTAGCCTTATTATTATTATTATTATTAAATAGTTGTAGCTAGGTCTCTTAATAATAATCCTTCTCTTTAACCCCTTTATAATAAGCCGACAAAGTTACCTTTAAATAGCGCTCTAAGCTATACTTCTCGGTTACTTTGCCTGCCTATTTGTATCTATTCTAACCCTCGGCTAGATCCGTAACGTCGAAGATATTACGCTTTAAGGCAACCTGCCTATCTTCTTTAGTCTTCTTCGTAGTGTCTATAAGGTACTAGCAACCTCTATAGTCTATTAAAACGAGGCCCTTCTTATTAGTAAGCCGCTCTCGAATGTAGCTCTCGGGCGTAAGAGCTATATTGCTACGACCGAGAGCCTTCAATCTTCTAGTCGTAGAAGAAGACTAAGACTCGAAGGACGTTGTTATAGAGCCGCCTATCTTACCGCCTATCTTACCGCTAACGTTACTAGCTACCTCTTTAAGCGAGTTAAGTACTGCTTGTTCCTTAGTACCGGAAGCCGTAGTGCCTATAGTAGAGCTATTATTTACTCTATCGATTAGCGGTACGGATTTAGCTATAGGCTTCTTCCTAGCCGGATTAGCTATCGGCGGCGGCGTAATTGGCTTCTCGAGCGTCTTTAAAATAGGCTTCTTCTTAACCGCAGCGGTTACCTTAGTTAGACTCGTGTCTAGTCGCTTAGGAGCCTTACCGGCAGTTAAGCGAGTCGTACGACCTTCTATTAATGCTTAGCGGCTTGCAGAATACCCTCGTTCTTAACCCTAATCGACACCTCGGCGTAGGTTTAGATAAATTGGAACTATTAGCGCTATTCTATACAGTCTTAAGAGCATCTATACACTAAGTTTGCTAAGAGAGCTGCTCTTAGTACCCCTAAAGCGTATTCTCGAAGATCGCGGCTCTGCGGACCGAGAGTAATAGGCAAAAGCTAACCCTTAGTAGGAGGACGTCGCTATCGCTAGAAGGCTTCTAGAAGTTACGCTAATAGCGGCACGTACTATATAGATTTCCGAAATCTGAGAATTTAAATAACTCTTCTACGCTTTAAGTTTAGAACTTAAAACTCTATATATAAGTAGTCTAATACTATAAGAGAAGTATAATTTTTTATAAGATTTACTTATACTAGATCTAGAAAGCTAAAATATAGCTAAACTCTTATTTCTTTAGTATGTCTATTTTATAGAACTACTAGACTCTATAGTACTAAAACCAAATTTTAATAGGTTTTCTTAGTACTTTGTAGTAGAAAATGTAGGAATTCTATAAAGCGTTCTCTTAGTAGTGTCTAATTACTATAGAATATAGATTCTAAAAACTAGTAGTAGACGGAAACTGCTACTACTGCTACTACTACTACTACTACTACTACTACTACTACTACTACTACTACTACTACTACTACTACTACTAGCTATAATAGTATATACCCCGATTAAGCGAGATAGCGGACGGGGGTAATCCCTAAAAACGGGATCTAACTAGTTAAAGCTAGTACACTACCTAAAGGAATTATCCGTACCTTTAAAAAGTTTATACCTAACGTTTTTAAGCTAGCTACCGCTTATAGGGATTATCCCCGTCTGCTATCTCGCTTAATCGGGGTATAGGCCTCTATAGATAGTATAACCTATTATAGTATAGGTAGCTATACTAGGTAAAATGGAATAGTAGTATAGTAGGGAAACCCGGCTTAGCGTAGGTATATACTTATCTTTCTTTCCTACTATACGATATATAGAGTAGTATATATATAACTATAGATAATAGTATAGCGGTAGATATATACTAGAAGTATTTATAATCCCGCTATAATATAGTCCTTTATTATTTACCTTCTCTTCTTATATATACTTACAATACCGCCCTTAAACTATATATAATATAGTATAGACCCCTTATAGTTCTATATAATATACTATATATAAGGTATATACTATTTAGTTCCCTATATATATAGATAGATAGATAGATAGATATTTCATTTGCCTGTTGTAGCGCCTTTCGGCCTATATAGGTCTATTTC